TCTGTTTGAGAAAAAGCTGAGTTTATTTTTGCCACCTTGTACAACATTAAATGTATGTTTTGTGTGCTGTCGTATGTGCCCATTGTCAAGTCACAAATACTTGTATATACTTCTCCTACCTTGATATGTACATAACATATAAAGCCCTGCTATTTAAACCACAAGCAAGGTTTTCTTGGCGCTGTATTTTTCTCGTTCCATGGTTCTGTTGAAGCACAAATTACCTGTCTTATCCATGATGTATTTTGTGTGCCATCTTCACGTTGTATTGTGTGGCAGTCGGTCACCTATGAACAGTTACTCCAATAAGCTTTAGTGTGTTTGTGCTGTATAGTCCACAGAGCTTCATTAAGAGTTCAGCAACTTACCATCAGGACATGACTATCTCACGAAACATGGAGTGTGGTCGAAAAAGCCAGAGTACCTTCACATGATCATATATATTGTATCTCAACTATATCAGCCATGTTAATACTCTCCCAACAAATATATTACAGTGCGCATTTGCTTTCAGCTATCAATGCATCAGGCACTTGGTTAGGAAACAGTGATCACTTCCGTTGGTATAGGAGGAAATATATACATTCTGAATTTCGATAGAGTGATATGATAATCGCGTATTTGGGTTAACCCCTGATAAGTCGACTCTGTTTCGAGATGAGAGGTGACTGTATGAAAATTTCAAACAGATACATTTCGTCGTAGAATAATACGCTTCCCTCCCGCTATGCTTCTGATGAGGAGGCCAGTGTGTTAGTGGAGGCACTTCCTGCTTCGAGAAGAAAATCATTTCCGATCTGTCCGCTCTTATACAACTATAGCATATAACAGTACAAGAGAGGGCACGGTCATCCTGTTACTCCAACATGCCTAATGCCGTGTGTCCACTGTAAGAACCATGTTGGTCAAGCTAGTGATGTTTGTTTTCGTGTTTGCCCGGTGGTTAGGCGTGTGAGAAACTAATCAGATGTGGTGGTCAGTTGAAGTGAAATGTAAACACAGTATTGACATGGCCAGGTGTACGTGGTGAGCAGGCTTCAGTCCGCGCTTTTCGCTGTGCAGCTTTAACTACTAGACTTTGACGCTAACAGCACGACGTTTCCATTTAAACAAAACAACATCTAGTTAATTACAGATCTCTCTTTTAAATGTGCATTGCTCTTCGACTGTCAATCTGAAAAAAACTTAGTTCTAAAACAGATCATTACATTATGACCACAGCTTCAGTTGTTTCGACATTTTGATTGATCCGACAGTGATTCTTTTTAAATTACCGTTCTTCTGTCGGGGCGGTGCGTAGCCTAGTGGTTAAAACATTCACCGAAGACCCGGCTTCGATTCTCTTCATGGGTACGCGTTGGGGAGCAGTTCTGGTGTCCCCTACATGATTTAGCCGTAATATTGCTACAAACGCCATACAACCATACTCAAGACCTTTAGCTCTGCTCACTGTTGGTTACAGCAGGGGCGGATCCAGTCCCGGGGGAACATTTCTCCCAAACCTTTGAACTTTATGATTTATGTGCACCCCCTTCTCCAAACTCCTGGATCCGCCCCTGTACAGGATTGGCTTCAATTGGCTCTTATAATGACACAGACTAGTGTTCCGGCCACCGACTAGTCCCAGTCCGAAGATTGGATTTGAATTGTACAGACTCTCCCTGGTTTATCTTTAGATTAACAGAAAGCTTATTTTTTTACTGTCAGTCCATAGGCTGTTTTCTTTCAATGTTTTGATTATATATGCTTATATGCACGATACAACAATTTTTTGAGCTTGGAATGCAGGTCTTGCTTATGGGTAGGGTGAGGCTCCTGGAATAGGAAGTATCAGTGAAGTGCATGTTGACAAACATTCCTGTTGTAGCTTCGCGCTTGTGTACTGCCGCATGGTCCACATGGCTGAAGTGTTTATCCAACAAAGAGCGTCTGGCAGGTGGTGGAGGTCATGCTGCTGCTGCTGCTGCTTGTGTTCACTGTATCATTTCAGTATTATCAGAGTGTGTTGTTTTGTCTTGACGTTGATTGGTGCAAACATATTTAACGTATTTGCTGATAACACAACAGGCGAGAATGTGTATTTGCGTCGCAACCACAGATAGTGGTGCATTTGTTCACAGCTTGGACTGCGGGTCTGCAAGCCACAATATGCTTCCATTGCTTCTAAGGGTACTTTGGGGACAACTGATGTGAAGATACATCTCAAACGGACAATTCGGGGATTGTGTAAAATAGACCTATATGTATGTTGTAGATATTTCCGCGATTACTATATGAATGTTACGTCTGTTAATCACTTGTTTGATATTTATTTCATGAATGCACGTGCTTCAAATGTAAATAATCATCACTTATTAGACATATGTGTATATTTGACTCTGCATACTTGTTTATATTTCTATGGGAAATAAATCACACATACATACACTGTACAGATATAGTCGGTTTTATATGTTGACTACACATCCTGCAGTCAGAGTGATTCCTGCTAACGTCAGCACACACCATCCCAAATGTGTCATGTTGCCTGACGCTGGTACTGGCATGACGTCGTTCGTTAGGACGCCTCAGACACATCGACGCTCATTCGGAAAGTCCGGAACTCATCTGAGTGAGTGAAGGTGGAGGGGATCGACTGAGTAAGACAACATCACGACGGGGACACCAGAAATGGACTTCACGCGTTATACCATGTGGGGAATCGAACCCATGTCTTCGGGCGTGACGAGTGACCGCTTTTAACGACCTTACCGACCCTGAACTTATCTGAAACGTGTCCTCAGTTTCAAGCTCTGAACACCAAGGGTGTCACGATACAATTTGTCGGTCTGTACTGCGGACCAGGTCAGTGTGTTGAACTCCCGTGACCTGATACAAATGAACGCTGATTTGATTGGATCTTTGGGCTCGATTTTTAAAGTCAGGGTCCCGATCCACAAAGCGTTCGTAACGTTACGTCCTGTCGTAGCTCTATAGTTTATCATAGGCTTACGAATGTCGTAGCACTACGAACGTTTTGTTTTTATCGGGGCCATGGTTTCTGATTAATCGGTCCTGAACTTATGCATAAATGGGTGATACATTACCAATCTGACCACAAGTACTGCATTAACGCAAGAGAAGTACAGAACTTACGTGCTGTGGATAATGAAAATCAACAATGCCAGTGGTTCAGAGCAATTTGCCGACCTCTCACGTACATATCAAACTTATGATTACGCATGTGAACAGAGGAACGGCATGGTTCATGTTCACTGTTCCGTATGGTTTGGGGCGTTAGGTTTAGGTCATCATTTTTCAAAGTTGATCTTTCTTATAATGACCGATCATACCATTCATATTTATGATCGCTCAATCTTCTGGAAAGTGTAGAATATCGAACTAAAAACTCATTATAGTTTATCTGTTCCCTCGTGAATACATTTATATGACTTCGTCCAAATCTTGGAGCTTACACCATTCGTTCTGTTGGGACAGACCTTCCCTAATCTCTCACACACATCATTAGCATTTGGACCTATCAGTGTTAGCTTCGTGGTTGTCCTCTACGTCTTACAACAAGCAATACATTCGCGGTATCTGCGCCGTTGTTACATGTAAGTCGTTGGTCAAATGTGGCTCACTGACTAACTTCAATACGTCTTCTGCAGTATACATTATTCATCACGTTTCTTACTTCCATTCCATTATATTTAAACATAAACATTGTGCAAACATATATCCAGTTTGTAAATACATTAATTAGTTCCACCCTGCAATTGTTCTACATGACACCTAACCACAAGAACAGATGTTCCACTGTCAGTCGTCCTGCTCTATTCTCAGCGTTGCTGCAAAGGTTACCGGTGCATCTATACATAAAAGACAAGAAGATATTTCCATGTTTTTATTTCATACCATCAGTGCAGTTAAGTGGTATGTATGGTGTATTTATAAATACATATAACAACATGATTACACATGGATAATACGCTGAAAGATATGACCAGCATTATCAGACTAAATGCAACAAAGTGGCCGACATTGACTAACGCTCAGCAATATGAAATCTGTTTGAAGGTTGTCTGTAAAATAACCAAGTCTTTAACTGACAATCTGGTGACTGACATGATAGCATCAATCTACATGATAAAATGAATCAACCAAGTCCTCTTAGTCGCTTTTCACAACAAGCATGGGTTGCTGAAGACCAACTGAAGGCAGAATCTTCTCATGAGGCCTTGCATTTGGCATCAGTACACACATATTCCATGACTGAATGTGTATGTATACAGCCTCAATCAGCCCAGACAAAAGCAAACACATTATATTGCACATGATATAGGAATGCTGCAGAGGGTGGTCCACAACATACATCAAGCAGACCAAAATAACTGATCCCTTTTGTCTCATGTTTATTGTTATAAATTACTATATACAATAGTGAAGTTCATGGTGTGACCTGGTGTGGTGTGGCGTGACATGGTGTGGTGTGGTGTGGTGTGGTGTGTGTGGTGTGGTGTGGTGTGGTGTGGTGTGGTGTGGTGTGGTGTGGTGTGCATGGCTTGGCATGGCATGGCGGTGTGGTGTGGTGTGGTGTGGTGTGGTGTGGTGTGGTGTGGTGTGGTGTGGTGTGGTGTGGCGTGGCATGGTGGTGTGGTGTGGTGTGGTGTGGTGTGGTGTGGTGTGGTGTGGTGTGGTGTGGTGTGGTGTGGTGTGGTGTGGCATGGCATGTGGTGTGGTGTGTGGTGTGGTGTGGTGTGGTGTGGTGTGGCATGGCATGGCATGTGGTGTGGTGTGGCATGGCATGGTGTGTTTTGGCATGGCATATAGACTGGTGTGGCATGGTGTGGTGTGGCATGGAGTATAGACTAGTGTGGCATGGTGTGTTTTGTGGTGTGGTGTAGACTGGTGTGGCATGGTGTGTTTTGGCATGGAGTATGGCTTGACATGGTGTGGCATGGTGTGTTTTGCATGGAGTATAGACAGACTAATGTGTTATATAGCATGGTGTGTTTTGCATGGGTATAGACTGACTGTGGCATGGTGTCTTAATGCCAATGCATGGGTAACTGTATTGAGTGAGGTAAATATCCTGGCACGTAATTTTGTTAGCACTAAGAATAACAAGAGTTGAGTCTTAACCTTTCTTGAGGCTGTACATGCTGCTGATGCCACTTACAGTCTTAACTCACTAACTCCCTCACTTGAAGCTATACAACAAAACAATTATAACACCCATTGCCAGTTCATGAACCACTTGAAGAGCAAATACTTGTAGCTGTAACTGTTTCAGCCACCCTAATGGTTAAAGCGATGCCGAGGACCCGTTCGACACCAGGCATACAGCTTTCTTGTGTCTGGAATATTGCTTAAACTTTAGAACAAATATCTATTAAAAACCCAGCTTTATATCTGAAAATACCATTCCTACACAGATCTTTGTGATCCCTTCATGAATTCGCCAGCTCTGAAAAGATGCCCTTAGGCTTGTTGTTAGCGTCATCCTCTCCAAGCGTGTCCACAGCCATCTGTCAACACGAAGACAAACACGGGTTATAAACATTATTGTTTTATGTGTGAACAGAGAGGCTGGGGAGAATGCACAAGATTTACTTTTGCCCCGAGGCAACCCGTCCACAAGTCACTGTCTAGCTGTATCTGTTGACAAATCAACAAAAATGGACTCTGCCGTAAGAGTTTAGCTGTGAGGCTCGCGTTGGATGACGGTGATTTTTTTATCGTTTTCATTCCGATCTGGAATCAGCGCCTTTGGGAAACAGGAAGCCTTTGGACGCAACTAAGAAAACAATACCGTATTGAAGGAGAACATGGAATGGATTATTTATTCAGAGCAGGATGTCTAGGAGGCTGGTATTTGTAGGGGATTGTATTATTAGCTTGGCTCTTTCATCACAGGAAATGGCATTAATTAAAAATTTCACTTTAAAGGAAGTATGGTATGGTATAGGAAGTGTTCTCTTGCACGATTCTTTCTGCTCATGGCTCTCAGCGATTATATATTATGTGCAATACAAACAGCATTACAAACAGACAGGAGAAATGTTCAAACTCTTCGTCATAAGTTATTTATTCCTAATTACAATTACTGAACATATACATTTCCATATTTTTAAACCAAATAAAAACGTCCCCTGAAATCTTTAAATTTACTTATTTAAGACATTGTAACAATTGTCAAAACATATTGTTTTACTCTTATTTTAAATTAGGAAAAGAATTATGTACTTGGAAAGAATTAGCTTGGATGTTTTACTATCAAATTCCAAGCAATATCACATCCGATCACGTTAAGTCCATGTTTCAGTAATGGTGACAACTGTAATATCGTGATTAGTGACTTTGTTTCTTGTTGATAATTATGATGTTAAGATGGGTTTGTTTTTTTTGTGTTTTTTTTATTTTTGTTTTTTTATTCCATTTCAATTCTCAGATGAAATACATATGACATAAAAGACAATATATATAACACATCATTGGTGTTTTGTAAGGTTATAACAAATATATAGATACATAAGATATCATTAAAGTTTCTGTAGAGGGAATATAAAATTGAAGGAATAAGGTTGAAATAGTGTGATTGTAGTGGGTGGAGTCTGGAAATATCAGCTGATATTTTATAAGTATGGTTCAATGCTTAGTACATAATAAAGTAGATAAATGTTTCCACTTCCTTATAAAGGAACCTAAGCTATTGTTTTTCCTAGCTATATATTTTTCAGTTGTACATGTATCTTTTAATAACTTAAGAAATCCCTCAAGAGAAAGTGCTTGTTGTTTTATACTTGAAACATAAATGAATCTTTTGGCAAGAAGTATAATATGCTTTTGTATTTTATTGTTTGAGTACACTCCAAACATGATAGTGAATATTGTAAATGTGACATTACAATGGAGGTGGGTAGTTAGAAATTGTTCTACATTTTGCCAAAAGTTTTAAACTAAATCACAGTAATAAAATACATGCAATATGTCTTCTGAGGTATTTTTACAAAAAGGACAAGTATCACTATCAACTAGCTTCATCCTCAATGTTCTTTCTTTGTATAGATTATTCTGGAAATAAATCTGTACTGAAAATCTAACAGCTTACAATCATTTGTACATTCCTGTAATATCTGACTACATCACTCCACATTTAATCATGCTGCAGACAGTATTCCAATACTCTAGTACCTTAAGGGTATGCAAGACAGTAATCCAATACGCTTACTTTAGTTCTTAATCAATTTATCATAGAATATCCTTGAACCTTTAACATTTGAGATCATATCTTGGTAAACTCTATTAACGTTTAATTGATTTAAGCAGAGAGTTCTGTTTCCTACAAGTTGTCTCCAGTTCACTGGAATGTTATTTAACAAATGATGGTAATCTAAGAAGGTTCCTCTTATTTTGTACCTCTGTTTTACATCTTCAAAACTGAGAAATCCATTTTCATTACAAATATCTCTGACACAATATATACCGCAATCAAACCAAGTTTTTAATCATGTATGAAGATTTAAAGAAATGATTTAACCAAAGTGGCTCAGCCAAGATTTGGTCTGAGTCATCACTGTCAAAGGTGTGCTTTTATAAACTACTCCCCAAGCAGAGATATGATGCTAAGATGTTAATTATTTCGTTATAAGAGTCATGCACATGTCTGTACCTCTTCATATTTATGAATAGTTTACCTCATATTTCACTTCGCATACACAACCAGTAGTACAGAAATATTATTGTGTTCAGAAATGGAGGTGTGTTAAAAAAAGGATGAGGTATGGTATTATGGTAATACAAGGCTGATATGTGTTTCATATTATAAATATTTGGGTTTAATATTCTCATCCAGACAAAATTGGTAAACAGCCTGTAAAAGTTTATCTGTTCAAGCATCAAAGGCTATGCAATCTGTATACCAGTTATTCAAAAAGAATTCTTTTATTTCTTTCAAAACTGCTTGTACCATCTTTGATTGTAAGATTTTACCGATTCTTTTATATGGGTCCGAAATTTGGGGAACTAAATATTTTCACTGTATAGAAAAGGTTCATGCATCATATTTTAAATGCTTCCTAAATTTGGAAAAGTATGCTTCAAATAAGGCTGTATTAGGGGAAACTGGTCGTTGCAATATATTTGTACTCACCAGATTAAGAGTAATAAAATTTTGGCTGAAATTATTAAAAATGGATTCTTATAGGTACCCTAGGCAAAGTTATATTTTCCTAAAGCTACAAGATGATATTGGCAAGCTTATTTGGGCATCAGAGGTTAGACAGTTACTTTTTTCAACTGGATTTTCTCATGTGTGGATTTCACAAAAGGTTGGAAATGAATGTAATTTTTTATATGTTTTTAAGTAACGTCTTCAGGACATTTTCTTCACAGAAGGGTCTATGTCTATAAATAATTCAAGTTTTTTAGAACACTATTCTTCCCATAAATCTTTGCTAGAACCGGAGTTTTATATTATGAATCTACAAGACAAATCGTTAATACGGGCGTTGTGTAAATTTAGAATTGGCTTTCATGATTTTAGAATTCACTATTTACGCAAACACAATAGAGCTTTCAGGAATGTAAATGAATCCATCTGTTAAAATTGTAATACAGGTAATATTGAAAGTGAATATCATGTATTATTTGTGTGTACCAAGTATTCAGATTTAGGAAGTAAGTATTTATCATTTATATCAGCACCTGTAAGAGATAAACAAATATTGTCCAGTCTGTTTAATTAAAAAAATATTGATATTATCAAATCTATTGCAATTTATTTAAAACATGTTTTCAGTGCAAGAAATGTCACCACCACCACGTGCATTTAATTGTAGCAAGTGTATTTGTACTATAGGCCTTTAGGCCCAAAATGCTGAATAAAAAATGAATCTGAAAAATCAGTAGTTTACACTTTACCCACACAGCTAACCCACCAACCCTGGAGCCACACAGCTAACCCACCAACCCTGGAGCCACACAGCTAACCCACCAACCCTGGAGCCACACAGCTAACCCACCAACCCTGGAGCCACACAGCTAACCCACCAACCCTGGAGCCACACAGCTACCCCACCAACCCTGGAGCCACACAGCTACCCCACCAACCCTGGAGCCACACAGCTATCCCACCAACCCTGGAGCCACACAGCTAACCCACCAACCCTGGAGCCACACAGCTACCCCACCAACCCTGGAGCCACACAGCTATCCCACCAACCCTGGAGCCACACAGCTACCCCACCAACCCTGGAGCCACACAGCTACCAATAACAGCTAATCAAAAACATATAATATATAATTATCACAGAGAATTATGTATACCACCTTTTGTTTTTGAAAAGTGACATATGCTAAAAACTAAAGCCATGAAAATCATAACTAGCCATTAATCTGACATAAGATCATGGTTCCAAAAAGTATCAACTTCCGCACTGACCAAGTGTTATATTGTCTTGCAAATCACATCAAGCAAATGGGATTCAGTGTGACAAAGTTTCCCTTTAAGAAAAGGACCAAGAAACCTTGCAGACATACAGGAAAGCCTGCTTCAATGCTCAGTTAGAAGGAAAACCAGGTTCTATGGACAGTCAACTTCTTTATTGCAATGAGTGCCACGTTTCGGTGTAGGTACTAACACTGTCATCAAGCAAGCAATACTATTAGTTACACAGTGTTTTGAAAGGGTGTAAGGGACTGTAACACCCAATGTACAAGGGTCTTACAGTACCGTACACCCTTTCAAAACACTGTGTGACAAATTTACTACCCTTAAGATCTTTTTATTTAGCTTATCTTTAAACAATAACATTCAATCATCGGCAGAATGAGACGCAAAACGTTTCGCCATGATTTTTCCTGAACTGTCATAAGGGGAGATAACTCGGGATAGCTCATTTTATGATAACTATTTTCGAATTTGAGGTTTCGTTAAACGACAAATGAAATACAGAAACATTTTATTTTTGGGATATATTCATAAACACAAACAAATAAGAAATTATGAAAACTATTTAATTACTCTGTTTATACTCATAATTGTATATGCCAACTCTAAAATTTCAAAGGAATCAGCCGTTTGGCAGCCACATTCCATCTAAGGTCAAGGTCATTCGTAAAACCTGTGTAGTATGTCACATGACAGATTTGACAGGGTGTACAGTTCGTACACCCTGGCAAATCCACTTACATGGTTTGATATGCTTTGGCTATCGACCAATCAGAATTCGACAAATATATCTTAAGGGTAATAAAAAGAGTTGTAACATGGAGAATATATACATAGTTGCATAGTGAGTATATACAATTGACAAGGTTGATATACATTGTATTGCTAATTAGTGATTTGAGCAGAGTAGGTAGATGTACAGAGTGATAGTGATCAAAACAATATGCAGAATGAGTTTATACAATAGATGAGTTGATGTACACTGAGATGGTAGCAGTGAGTTGACGAGAGTAGGTTATAGGAGTAGGAAATACGGAATGTACAAGAGAATGTACAGTCCCGTACACCCTTTCAAAGCACTGTGTAACTAATGGTATCACTTGCTTGATAACAGTTTTAGTACCTACACCGAAACGTCGCACTCATTGCAATAAAGAAGTTGACTATCCATAGAACTTGGTTTTCCTTCATCTATACAACTTCTAAAATGCCTCCCAAAGAAGCTCAGTTAGAATTCCGAAAGGTAATGAGTTAATGCTGTTGGTTCATTCAGTTTCCGTTGATCTCGACATGAAACACTTGTGTATCAGCAAAACGACATTGTCATGCCCATAAAAGTTAAAACAACATCATGAAGTGGAATATGATGTAATAAAAATAATAAAGTTAAATATATTGTAATGAAGCTGAACGTATTGTAATGTAAAAATCATGTAATGAAGTTGAACATAAAGTAATGTAAAATATAATGTACAGTGACTATACATTTATGTAATGTATTGTTACTATTTCATATATGTGAAAATAAGGCAATGAAGTTGAACGTAATGTAAAATGTAACATAACTTGAATATAATATTATCCTACTATGTTACCTGTCTGGCATCCGACATCATGTTGTGAATGTTACCTGTCTATTCTATGACCACCATACTGTGTGTGTTACCTGTCTGGCATCTGACTATCATGTTGTGAATGTTACCTGTCTATTCTATGACCACCATACTGTGTGTGTTACCTGTCTGGCCCCCGACTGTCATGTTGTGAATGTTACCTGTCTATTCTATGACCACCATACTGTGTGTGTTACCTGTCTGGCCTCTCACTATCATGTTGTGAATGTTACCTGTCTATTCTATGACCACCATACTGTGTATGTTACCTGTCTGGCATCTGACTATCATGTTGTGAATGTTACCTGTCTATTCTATGACCACCATACTGTGTGTATGTTACCTGTCTGGCCTCCGACTATCATGTTGTGAATGTTACCTGTCTATTCTATGACCACCATACTGTGTATGTTACCTGTCTGGCCTCCGACTATCATGTTGTGAATGTTACCTGTCTATTCTATGACCACCATACTGTGTGTGTTACCTGTCTGGCCTCTCACTATCATGTTGTGAATGTTACCTGTCTATTCTATGACCACCATGTTGTGACCACCATGTGTTACCTGTCTGGCATCTGACTATCATCTTGTGAATGTTACCTGTCTATTCTATGACCACCATACTGTGTGTGTTACCTGTCTGGCATCTGACTATCATCTTGTGAATGTTACCTGTCTATTCTATGACCACCATACTGTGTGTGTTACCTGTCTGGCCTCTGACTATCATGTTGTGAATGTTACCTGTCTATTCTATGACTAACTGGCTGTGTGTTACCTGTCTGGCCTCCGACTTGTTCATGTCCCCTCGACACAGGATCAGGTTGATGAGCTGCTCCAGACGGATGTCGGGGTTCTTCTTCACCAGACCCTAGTCAACAACAACAGTGTGTGAGAAAGTGGGGCTATAATAGTCACAAGCAGGCACCATCGCAGCATCACTATTCTAGCTCTGTTAAAGGTACTCTGTTACAACAGCACTATCTTAGCACTGTCACAGAAGCACTATCTTAGCACTGTCACAACAGCACTATCTTAGCACTGTCACAACAGCACTATCCTACCACTACCCTTGTAACACTATCTTAGCACTGTCACAGGCCGCCTCCGTGGTGTAGTGATTAGAGCGTCCGCACGGAGAGAGCGGAAGGTCGCGGGTTCGATCTCCGACCGTGTCATACCAAAAGTCACAGTGAACAATGATCCTGCTGAAGCTAATGTGTGTAGTTAATAGTGGGATGACACAATCATCCAGCCATGCTGTCCTCACATTGACCTTAGCATTATCAATGTGTATGTCCTAGTATTGTAGTCACTCCTCGAGTAATTATAACCATGTTTATGTTGCATCTCTGGTCCACTTACTGTGACTTCCAAAGACAACATGGAGTTATCTTTCAGTTTAAGAACTTCAGCCAAGGAGTACAGCACATCAAATATCGAGTTGTCCTGCAAAACACAAGTAACCATTTAATACACAGAGGTAAAGATTATTATGCAATATTCCAGCTATATGGCGGCAGTCTGTAAATAATCGAGTCTGGACCAGACAATCCAGTGATCAACAGCATGAGAATCGATCTACGCAAACTGGGAAACAATGACATGTGTCAACCAAGTCAGTGAGGTGACCACCCGATCCGTTAGTAGCCTCTTACGACAAGCATGGGTTACTGAAGATCAGTTCTAACCCAGATCTTCACAGATTCTACGATTCGGACAAGACCAGTGGTTACCATGGCTGTCAGCTGCAACTTGTGCCATCAAGGTGACATACACAAGATCAGGCATCAAATAAGACATAGGACCTAATCATTAGCTGTTCATCAGCTGATGGATGAACATATGGCCAGGTCAGTCAGCGTATCAAAACTTGTGATTAGGTGGGTGAGCCTCACCATGATGAGATGAACATGTCTTCACACTGTGAGTCAGTGTGTTACTAGTTTCAGCATTACACAACCTTGACACACTGGCTGCACCTCTACCAAGGGAGATGACTCCTGCTGAGGTACCTGTTTTGGAGACACATGGTGGAACAGCTCTTTGAGGCATGTGGCTTCCTTCAACATCTTGTCTGCAGACTCCCGCCTTTCCTTGTAGTTCTTGAAGGACAGTTTTCTGTTGTAAGAAACATACACTTTACAAAATGCTATCAAAATCAGTTTAGAGTCCACCAGAAATGGTCTCAATGTCAGAGTAAAATGAGCAAATTTCCATGTACCAGTAATAATTATTGTAAACCAAAATTCACTTTGCTCTTTAATCTGATTGGTTGAAAAACATGATCGAATGGTATTGAAGTCCCGGAAATTGCAAGACCATTCGCTGTGTACAACACACCATTGCATTGTTATGTAGTCAGCAGTGGTGACATCATACAAATCATATTGTGACGTAAAGACAGAATGACGTCACAAATGAGCAGTTCCAGATGCTACCATGGGAGACAGCTGAAACGGCCGGCTGATGACATTTCACTGCTGTACCCATACTCGATGTCAATGAGTGCAGACAAAACAATGTGTGTGGACCTTTTGGTTTCTTTTGTGTTTACAATGTCAATAAACATCATGTGTTGGCAAATTTCCGGGTGTTATTGAGTATTTGAAGCATGGGAATATTTCATTTGGAACCGACAGCATTAGCCGTGCTTCCCGTGCTTCAAATACTCAATAACACCTGGAAATTGGCCAACATATGATGTTTATCTCCTAATTTATGGTTCACAGCACAGGTTCAAATCTTACAATACATACACAAAGATAGCTAACAACTAGCTCTCTTTGTGTGACAACATGCGCTCATGATATCGTCCGGTGGTTGTAATTAAAAGAGGAATCACTCATAAAATCAAAAATCCCCTGCAAGATGGTTTTCAGGAAGCTAGAATCACGTGGGTAACAATTCCTTACCTTGACAACAGTGCTCTCAGATATTCTGTGAGTATTTTCCTCTGTCCAGTCGTCACCAACATGTCAAAGTTTTTAGGTCGAAGATGCAGAAAGTCTTCATTGTAGTCTGCCCAAGTTGCACATATTATGTCTATCGCATTAGAACTGGACATCCTGCAAAACCAAGAGTCTGTGTTATCATGTTATCAAGTAAACAAGAACTTCAGCCAAGGAGTACAGCACATCAAATATCGAGTTGTCCTGCGAAACACAAGTAACCATTTAATACACAGAGGTAAAGATTATTATGGAATATTCTAGCTATATGGCGGCAGTCTGTAAATAATTGAGTCTGGACCAGACAATCTAGTGATCAACAGCATGAGCATCGATCGACACAATTGGTATACAGTGACATGTGTCAACCAAGTCAGCGAGTCTGACCACCAAATCCCGTTAGTCACCTCTTACCAAAAGCATGGGTTGCTGAAAATTAATTCTAACCTGGATCTTCGCGGGTTTTAAAAGGTACTACTTCATTGCTTAATAAGAAAGGCAACCAGCCAAGAAGGTAGCCACTGTACCAAATATGGTTGTCTAAGATGCTCTGGTTATTTAGAAAACTACAGACATGACAGGGAGAGGACTTCTGGTACTCACCAGGCACGAGTCATCAGTTCATTCAAGCAGTTGCTGTCTTTGAGGTCGATGAAGAACTCATCCAGAATTATTCTACAGCTGAAATAGACAAAAGGAGTGAGTCATGTGATGGCAGCCTAGAAATTGTGGACCACACTATCCAGTGACTGAATTCAGTGATCCATGCTACAGGTGTACAGTTTAATCCCTCTTACAACAGGGTGATGGAGGCCTGTGGTGGCCAAGAGTCACAACAGGGTCAAATACATAGATGTAATGCTGATCAAATACATAAGCAGCCCAATCCACAAGATCAGTATTCCTTTGTGGCTCTACCTAGTCACTTATCATCCATCTACTCACCAGAATCTGCTTATCTGGGAGAAGGTGTCAGTCAGCTTCTGGAACCTGTCTCTCCTGATGTCTGTCTCTTCTTCCCCTTCCTCTGCCTCCTCCTCGTACTCATTCTTCAGATAGCGCTTCCGAAGTTGTTTCATGTACTCCCCAAAACAAAGGCAGTTGTTAGCATTGGCAATCTGTAAAAGAAACAAAACAAAAGTATTTATCAATGACTAAAACATGACCTGTGAAAATACTTTCTTGAATTTTATCGTTTAACCACAACCACATCTCCTTCACTTGAAAACCATCATCAAGAACAGTTACAAATTTATGACAAGTAACAGTAGGTATTTCCAACACTATTTCTATATAGATACACCATGAGCAAATAAAATATAAAGACTCACCACATAATGCAGAAAATATTTTTGCTCATTTCTGTTTGCAAGATGTCGCTCTTTGAAGTTTTTGATTTCTCCTGGAATTTGAAGAAAACATTTGAAGGCTTTCCAACATGCCCAATACAATGACATGAATACAAAACATGAGAAGAATCAATATCCATAGAATTACCTAAGAACTTGTAAATGATATGCAGTACTAAGGATTTGCCAACAACCAAAGAAGCATTACAAATGATAACAACTAATATAGCAGAACCTAGAGTTTCTTTCACAACTGAAAAAGTTGTACCTAAAAATAACCAATTATAGTGACAATTATCCAACAAATGATCAAGCAGTACGACAATTATCGAACAAATCATCAAGCAGTATGACAATTATCGAACAAATCATCAAACAGTATGACAATTATCCAACAAATCATCAAACAGTATGACAATTATCCAACGACAATTATCCAACAAATCATCAAGCAGTATAACAATTATCCAACAAATCATCAAACAGTATGACAATTATCCAACAAATCATCAAAGCAGTATTGACAATTATCAACAAATCATCAAACAGTATGACAATTATCCAACAAATCATCAAGCAGTATGACAATTATCCAACAAATCATCAAGCAGTATGACAATTATCCAACAAATCATCAAGCAGTATGACAATTATCCAACAAATCATCAAGCAGTATGACAATTATCCAACAAATCATCAAGCAAGTATGACAATTATCCAACAAATCATCAAGCAGTATGACAATTATCCAACAAATCATCAAGCAGTATGACAATTATCCAACAAATCATCAAGCAGTATGACAATTATCCAACAAATCATCAAGCAGTATGACAAATTATCCAAGTATGACAATTATCCAACAAATCATCAAGCAGTATGACAATTATCCAACAAATCATCAAACAGTATGACAATTATCCAACAAATCATCAAGCAGTATGACAATTATCCAACAAATCATCAAGCAGTATGACAATTATCCAACAAATCATCAAGCAGTAGTATGACAATTATCCAACAAATCATCAAGCAGTATGACAATTATCCAACAAATCATCAAACAGTATGACAATTATCCAACAAATCATTATCCAATCAACAAATCATCAAAGCAGTATGACAATTATCCAACAAATCATCAAGCAGTATGACAATTATCCAACAAATCATCAAACAGTATGACAATTATCCAACAAATCATCAAGCAGTATGACAATTATCCAACAAATCATCAAGCAGTATGACAATTATCCAACAAATCATCAAGCAGTATGACAATTATCCAACAAATCATCAAGCAGTATGACAATTATCCAACAAATCATCAACATGATTACAAATCATCAGTATGACAACAAATCATCAAACAGTATGACAATTATCCAACAAATCATCAAGCAGTACGACAATTATCCAACAAATCATCAAACAGTATGACAATTATCCAACAAATCATCAAGCAGTATGACAATTATCCAACAAATCATCAAGCAGTATGACAATTATCCAACAAATCATCAAGCAGTATGACAATTATCCAACAAATCATCAAGCAGTATGACAATTATCCAACAAATCATCAAGCAGTATGACAATTATCCAACAAATCATCAAGCAGTATGACAATTATCCAACAAATCATCAAGCAGTATGACAATTATCCAACAAATCATCAAGCAGTATGACAATTATCCAACAAATTATCAAACAGTATGACAATTATCCAACAAATCATCAAGCAGTATGACAATTATCCAACAAATCATCAAGCAGTATGACAATTATCCAACAAATTATCAAGCAGTATGACAATTATCCAACAAATCATCAAGCAGTATGACAATTATCCAACAAATCATCAAGACAAGTCAACAAATCACAATTATCCAACAATTATCATCAAGCAGTATGACAATTATCCAACAAATCATCAAGCAGTATGACAATTATCCAACAAATCATCAAGCTACAGTATGACAATTATCCAACAAATCATCAGTGCAATTATCCAACAAATTATCCAACAATTATCCAACAATTATCCAACAAATCATCAAACAGTATGACAATTATCCAACAAATCATCAAGCAGTATGACAATTATCCAACAAATCATCAAACAGTATGACAATTATCCAACAAATCATCAAGCAGTATGACAATTATCCAACAAATCATCAAGCAGTACGACAATTATCCAACAAATCATCAAACAGTATGACAATTATCCAACAAATCATCAAAGCAGTATGACAATTATCCAAAACAAATCATCAAGCAGTACCTACAATTATCCAACAAATCATCATCAAGTAGTATGACAATTATCCAACAAATCATCAAGCAGTATGACAATTATCCAACAAATCATCAAGCAGTATGACAATTATCCAACAAATCATCAAGCAGTATGACAATTATCCAACAAATCATCAAGCAGTATGACAATTATCCAACAAATCATCAAGCAGTATGACTATTATCCAACAAATCATCAAGCAGTACCTACAGTATTATCCAACAAATCATCAAACAGTATGACAATTATCCAACAAATCATCAAACAGTATGACAATTATCCAACAAATCATCAAACAGTATGACAATTATCCAACAAATCATCAAGCAGTATGACAATTATCCAACAAATCATCAAGCAGTATGACAATTATCCAACAAATCATCAAGCAGTACAATGACAATTATCCAACAAATCATCAAGCAGTATGACAATTATCCAACAAATCATCAAACAGTATGACAATTATCCAACAAATCATCAAGCAGTATGACAATTATCCAACAAATCATCAAGCAGTATGACAATTATCCAACAAATCATCAAGCAGTATGACAATTATCCAACAAATCATCAAGCAGTATGACAATTATCCAACAAATCATCAAGCAGTATGACAATTATCCAACAAATCATCAAACAGTAATGACAATTATCAACAAATCATCAGTAACAAATCATCAAAAAGCAGTATGACAATTATCCAACAAATCATCAAGCAGTATGACAATTATCCAACAAATCATCAAGCAGTATCCAACAATTATCCAACAAATCATCAAACAGTATGACAATTATCCAACAAATCATCAAGCAGTAGTATGACAATTATCCAACAAATCATCAAGCAGTATGACAATTATCCAACAAATCATCAAGCAGTATGACAATTATCCAACAAATCATCAAGCAGTATGACAATTATCCAACAAATCATCAAGCAGTATGACAATTATCCAACAAATCATCAAAGCAGTATGACAATTATCCAACAAATCATCAAGCAGTATGACAATTATCCAACAAATCATCAAGCAGTATGACAATTATCCAACAAATCATCAAGCAGTATGACAATTATCCAACAAATCATCAAGCAGTATGACAATTATCCAACAAATCATCAAGCAGTATGACAATTATCCAACAAATCATCAAGCAGTATGACAATTATCCAACAAATCATCAAGCAGTATGACAATTATCCAACAAATCATCAAGCAGTACATGACAATTATCCAACAAATTACCAAGCAGTTCCTTCTACTATCCAAAACATGATCAAGCAGTACCTACAGTATTATCCAACAAATCATCAAACAGTATGACAATTATCCAACAAATCATCAAGCAGTATGACAATTATCCAACAAATCATCAAACAGTATGACAATTATCCAACAAATCATCAAGCAGTATGACAATTATCCAACAAATCATCAAGCAGTATGACAATTATCCAACAAATCATCAAGCAGTACCTACAGTATTATCCAACAAATCATCAAGCAGTACAACAATTATCCAACAAATCATCAAGCAGTATGACAATTATCCAACAAATCATCAAGCAGTATGACAATTATCCAACAAATCATCAAGCAGTCCAACAATCATACAACAAATCATCAAGCAGTATGACAATTATCCAACAAATCATCAAGCAGTATGACAATTATCCAACAAATCATCAAACAGTATGACAATTATCCAACAAATCATCAAACAGTATGACAATTATCCAACAAATCATCAAGCAGTATGACAATTATCCAACAAATTACCAAGCAGTTCCTACTACTATCCAAAAAATGATCAAGCAGTACCTACAGTATTATCCAACATATTATCAAACAGTATGACAATTATCCAACAAATTATCAAGCAGTATGACAATTATCCAACAAATCATCAAACAGTATGACAATTATCCAACAAATCATCAAGCAGTATGACAATTATCCAACAAATCATCAAACAGTATGACAATTATCCAACAAATCATCAAGCAGTATGACAATTATCCAACAAATCATCAAGCAGTATGACAATTATCCAACAAATCATCAAGCAGTATGACAATTATCCAACAAATCATCAAGCAGTATGACAATTATCCAACAAATCCAACAAAATCAAGCAGTATGACAATTATCCAACAAATCATCAAGCAGTATGACAATTATCCAACAAATCATCAAGCAGTATGACAATTATCCAACAAATCATCAAGCAGTATGACAATTATCCAACAAATCATCAAGCAGTATGACAATTATCCAACAAATCATCAAGCAGTATCCAACAAATCAATTATCCAACAAATCATCAAACAATTATCCAACAATTATCAAGCAATGAAATCATCCAACAAATCATCAAGCAGCATGACAATTATCCAACAAATCATCAAGCAGTATGACAATTATCCAACAAATCATCAAGCAGTATGACAATTATCCAACAAATCATCAAGCAGTATGACAATTATAAAACACATGATCAAGCAGTACATAGTATTAAGCTCAAGCTCATTATGTAAGTACAATAATGTAACACAACATTAAATACCATTAGTCCCACACAAAACTTGGTCCTCATCAGGGTTGTTGAGATCCCACCGTTCAACTAACCTTCATACTCTGCAGCATATTGACTTAGTTCATCAGCAAACAACTCCAACACCTTCTTCACTAGATCTTGACTTATCAGCTGTGCCACTTGAAGCTGAAGTTGACAACAAAACAACCAGTGTATACATTTCTACATAACATGTTCTGCTCTGGTTTAGTTTTGCAGAAGCATTACAGACAGTAGAAATTAGAAATCAAATCTAACCAGCTGCCATGGTTTGTTGACCAGAGTGGTGTGAGGTGTGTGTTTGTATCTTGTTTAGCAGGGAAATAATATTGCAGCTCTATCACTGGTGGCCTGAAAATGATCAAGTCTTGGCCTGACAAAACCATTTAAAAGAAAGACAAACATATTTGATGTACGATGCCACACCAACAGACATATTTCATACTTCTCAAAAGAATGTCATGACAGATTAATTCATGAAAATAAAGAGAGGTCTCATCATCATCATCATCATCATCATCATCATCATCATCATCATCATCATCATCATCATCCATCCATACTACTCACATTCTGCTCCATCATCTGGAAGATAATGACCGGGAGAGGAGTGTTGTAATAGCCATCTCCATCTGCTTCCGGCTGCTCATCCTTGAACCAGTCCTGTAAATAATGGTGAACAACAGAGTCAGTGAGTCAGTGAGTTTAGTTTTACACTGCACTCAGCAATATTCCAGATATATGGCGGCGGTCTGTAAATAATCAAGTCTGGACCAGACAATCCAGTGATCAACAGCATGAGCATCAATCTGCACAATTGGGAACCGATGACATGTGTCAACCAAGTCAGCGAGCCTGACCACTAGTGGTGTTCGATGATCGAAAAAAATCGAAAATCAAGCGAAAGAAGGATTAAAAATGATTATCGATTGTAACAAAAATATTTTTGATTAATCGGAATTTTGTTGTTTTTGTATAACACCCTTGAATTAAGTATACTAACCATTTAATTTGATGAATATTCACGAACAAACATGTGCTCAACAGCGTAAAGTTATGCGCATTGTAAACTTTTAACCACTTTTATTGCTTAATTACAATTCCAGTGTCTTACTTGCATGCGTGCATTTCATTGCATGACAGTATTAGTTATAAAAAGTCATTAATTAGAAAAAACCTGGGGAAAAACCCTTAAAATTGGTGATTACATTAAAAATGTATATATTTCGATTATTATCGATAATTGTTCACCACAAGTCCTCCGATAATCGATAGTGGATTTGGTTTCCGATTCCCAACACTACTGACCATCTGATCCCGTTAGTCGCCTCTTGTAACAAGCATGGGTTACTGAAGATCAATTCTACCCCAGATCTTCATGGGTAGATGAACAACAGAAGTCTAACATGCAAGTAGATAGGAGATACACAGAACAGGAAATCCTAGATAAACACATGCCTTGACATGTTTAATACAGGAACCTGTAAAGATATTATCCTCAGTGTGTCTGACTAAATATACTGACTGCAGACTGCCCAGTTTGTGGAATGAGAGCATGAACAGTATAACATGCTAGTGAGAGGAGCATTACACATCTAACCCTCGTTAGACACCACTGGCCCCTCCCTGGCTAAGTATGAAACACTAAATGTTAATGTGCTCACAATATCCCAAGTACATCATGGTGTGTTTGCATGATGCGAGAGGAAAGCCAGGATTCTTGACATTTACCATTTTTGTGAAACCCACAAGTCAGCCCTGGTACTAACAGTCCTTGAAGGGGGACATGAACCCAAAGTCAGAGGTTACTGGGCTGCCAAAGTAACACAACACAGCACAACACAACCAACCGCAGCTCCTTAGACTGGGTAATCCATGCCTCCACTACAATCACTGTGACTTTCTATTATTTACTGAGTGCAAGACTTAAGGACTGACCTTGTAATCTGACTTCAGGGCGTTTCTGGTCCACTCTGCTATGTTGGTCTTCATATTTTTCAGGTAACTAAAACAAAGAAACAAAAGCCATGGACACTGTTTGCTATGATAGCCTTGTCAGACAGGAGCACACTTGTACAGACCCTCGTGTGGTCATCAGAAATGACAGACTGAATAAGCAAGTTTTACACTACCTAATGTGTTAAATGTGATAACTTACATCTGGAGTTACAACCTGTTACAGCATGCTGTTTTACAGCCCCTCGTTACAGACACCAGTCTCCTGTCATGCCCTAATGTTACAGTCTCCTGTCATGCCCTAATGTTACAGTCTCCTGTTATGCCATGCTACAGTCTTCTGTCATGCCCTAATGTTACAGTCTCCTGTCATGCCCTAATGTTACAGTCTCCTGTCATGCCCTAATGTTACAGTTTCCTGGCATGCCATGTTACAGTACTCCTGACATGCCATGTTACAGTCTCCTGGCATGCCATGTTACAGTCTCCTGGCCTGCCATGTTACATTACTCCTGGCATGAAATGTTACAGTCTCCTGTCATGCCATGTTACAGTCTCCTGGCATGCCATGTTACAGTCTCCTGTCATGCCATGTTACAGTCTCCTGTCATGCCATGTTACAGTCTCCTGGCATGCCCTAATGTCACAGTCTCCTGTCATGCCATGTTACAGTCTCCTGGCCTGCCATGTTACATTCTCCTGGCATGCCATGTTACATTCCTGGCATGCCATGTTACAGTCTCCTGGCATGCCATGTTACAATCTCCTGGCATGCCATGTTACAGTCTCCTGGCATGCCATGTTACATTACTCCTGGCATGCCATGTTACAGTCTCCTGTCATGCCATGTTACAGTCTCCTGGCATGCCATGTTACAGTCTCCTGGCATGCCATGTTACATTCTCCTGGCATGCCATGTTCACAGTCTCTTGGCATGCCCTAATGTTACAGTCTCCTGTCATGCCATGTTACAGTCTCCTGTCATGCAATGTTACAGTTTCCTGGCATGCCATGTTACAGTCTCCTGGCATGCCCTAATGTTTCAGTCTCCTGTCATGCCATGTTACAGTCTCCTGGCCTGCCATGTTACAGTCTCCTGGCCTGCCCTAATGTTACATTACTCCTGACATGCCATGTTACAATTTCCTGGCATGCCATGTTACAGTCTCCTGGCATGCCATGTTACAATCTCCTGGCATGCCATGTTACAGTCTCCTGGCCTGTCATGTTACAGTCTCCTGGCATGCCATGTTACAATCTCCTGGCATGCCATTTTACATTCTCCTATCATGCCATTTTACAGTCTCCTGGCATGCCATGTTACAGACTCCTGGCATGCCATGTTACAGTCTCCTGGCATGCCATGTCACAGTCTCCTGTCATGCAATGTTACAGTTTCCTGGCATGCCATGTTACAGTCTCCTGGCATGCCATGTTACAGTCTCCTGGCATGCCATGTTACAGTCTTCTGGCATGCCATGTCACAGTCTCCTGTCATGCAATGTTACAGTTTCCTGGCATGCCATGTTACAGTCTCCTGCCATGCCATGTTACATTACTCCTGACATGCCATGTTACAGTCTCCTGGCATGCCATGTTACAGTCTCCTGGCATGTCATGTTACAATCTCTTGGCATGCCATGTCACAGTCTCCTGTCATGCCATGTTACAGTCTCCTGGTATGCCATGTTACAGTCTCCTGGCATGCCCTAATAGTACAGTTTCCTGTCATGCCATGTCACAGTCTCCTGTCATGCAATGTTACAGTCTCCTGGTATGCCATGTTACAGTCTCCTGGCATGCCCTAATAGTACAGTTTCCTGTCATGCCATGTCACAGTCTCCTGTCATGCAATGTTACGGTTTCCTGGCATGCCATGTTACAGTCTCCTGTCATGCCCTAATGTTACAGTCTCCTGGCATGCCCTAATGTTACAGTCTCCTGGCATGCCATGTTACAGTCTCCTGGCATGAAATGTTACAGTCTCCTGTCATGCCATGTTACATTACTCCTGTCATGCCATTTTACATTCTCCTATCATGCCATTTTACATTCTCCTGTCATGCCATGTTTCATTCTCCTGTCATGCCATTTTACATTCTTCTGTCAAGCCATGTTACAGTCTCCTGTCATGTCATGTTACATTCTTCTGTCAAGCCATGTTACAGTCTCCTGTCATATCATGTTACATTCTCCTGTCAAGCCATGTTACATTCTCCTGTCAAGCCATGTTACAGTCTCCTGTCATGCCATGTTACATTACTCCTGTCAAGCCATGTTACATTCTCCTGTCATGTCATTTTACATTCTCCTGTCAAGCCATGTTACATTCTCCTGTCATGCCATTTTACATTCTCCTATCATGCCATTTTACATTCTCCTGTCATGCCATGTTTCATTCTCCTGTCATGCCATTTTACATTCTTCTGTCAAGCCATGTTACAGTCTCCTGGCATGCCATGTTACATTCTTCTGTCATGCCATTTTACATTCTCCTGTCAAGCCATGTTACAGTCTCCTGTCATGCCATGTTACAGTTTCCTGGCATGTCATGTTACATTCTCCTGTCATGCCATGTTTCATTCTCCTGTCAAGCCATTTTACATTCTCCTGTCATGTCATTTTACATTCTCCTGTCAAGCCATGTTACATTCTCCTGTCATGCAATTTTACATTCTCCTGTCATGCCATGTTACAGTCTCCTATCATGCCATGTTACAATCTCCTGGCATGCCATGTTACAGTCTCCTGGCATGCCATTTTACATTCTCCTGGCATGCCATGTTACATTCTCCTGTCAAGCCATGTTACATTCTCCTGTCAAGCCATGTTACATTATCCTGTCATGCCATGTTTCATTATCCTGTCAAGCCATTTTACATTCTCCTGTCATGCCATGTTACATTCTCCTGTCAAGCCATGTTACATTCTCCTGTCAAGCCATGTTACAGTCTCCTGCCAAGCCATGTTACATTCTCCTGTCAAGCCATGTTACAGTCTCCTGTCAAGCCATGTTACATTCTCCTGTCAAGCCATGTAACAGTCTCCTGTCAAGCCATGTTACATTCTCCTGTCATGCCATTTTACATTCTCCTGTCAAGCCGTGTTACAATCTCCTGTCATGCCATTTTACATTCTCCTGTAAAGCCATGTTACATTCTACTGTCATGCCATTTACATTCTCCTGTCATGCCATGTTACATTCTCCTGTCATGCCATGTTACAGTTTCATGCCATGGCCCACTACAGTTTACTCACTGGTTCTGCAGATCTTCTATGACGCTGTTCTCAAGGAGAGGTCCTAAGCCTAATTCTCGTGTGTCGATATTTAACCCTGGATGACGTAACAGGTCTGGCGAGCTACAGAAACAAACAGGTTATGTAATGATGATAGAAAGAAAAAGTATGATAGCTTATGGATGACAATCTCTATATCATATTATGCTGCAAATTTGGGATTTGATTCTCATATGGTTCTCAAGCGTGTTGTCTTGCTTGACAGAATAAATATTGATACTGAAACTTTGCAACATAATAAAATACAGAAGTTGTCACCCATATAGTATCATACTTTTCTTATTCTTCATCAACTTCTACAATGCCAGTCAAACAGATAACTCTAGAAAGTATGCATATGTTCCACACAGGCACTGGGACATCACTCTAACATGGTAACTGTTGTCCAAGGCTAGCTCAGTGCTGGTATAAGAGCATTCATTCAGTATACGCTCCACACAGGCACTGGGACATCACTCTAACATGGTAACTGTTGTCCAAGGCTAGCTCAGTGCTGATATAAGAGCATTCATTCAGTATACTCTCCTCACAGGCACTGGGACATCACTCTAACATGGTAACTGTTGTCCAAGGCTAGCTCAGTGCTGATATAAGAGCATTCATTCAGTATACTCTCCTCACAGGCACTGGGACATCACTCTAACATGGTAACTGTTGTCCAAGGCTAGCTCAGTGCTGGTATAAGAGCATTCATTCAGTATAGGCTCCTCACAGGCACTGGGACATCACTCTAACATGGTAACTGTTGTCCAAGGCTAGCTCAGTGCTGATATAAGAGCATTCATTCAGTATACTCTCCTCACAGGCACTGGGACATCACTCTAACATGGTAACTGTTGTCCAAGGCTAGCTCAGTGCTGGTATAAGAGCATTCATTCAGTATACTCTCCTCACAGGCACTGGGACATCACTCTAACATGGTAACTGTTGTCCAAGGCTAGCTCAGTGCTGATATAAGAGCATTCATTCAGTATACTCTCCTCACAGGCACTGGGACATCACTCTAACATGGTAACTGTTGTCCAAGGCTAGCTCAGTGCTGGTATAAGAGCATTCATTCAATATAGGCTCCTCACAGGCCAGCATTACAACCTGTTGTCAATAGAACCTCTTCTGGGATCAGTTACAAGGCTTATGCTGATATGGGCTCTGCTAAGAGGATCATTTTACACTGTCTATGTTTATATACAAACTCTACAGAGCTGTCAAGGTTTTGCTGTGCATGTATTTTTCACATGGTCTAGTTTTTTCTCCCTTCATGATCCCAGCATAACATTCAACACAAAATAATCACAACTTGGTACCTCAACACAGAAAGTATCATCTTTTACTTCATAACAAATGTCCTGACTATAACCTGCCATGAAATATCCACCACTTACTCATAAGCATGGACCCACTGTAGAAGGGAGACAATCTCATTTCCCTCCAGTTCCTGATCTATCAGCTCCACCAGCTGAAACATCAGGAGCACACTTTACTATGACACAAGCAGCATTTGGAGTAAACCAGCTGAGCAATGCATTGCAGTCCTAAATGTGTCATCATATCAATAATATTTTACCTATGCTTCAATTGTATTATGTGACCCAATGTACACCTACTGAACTGAAAAAGATGAGGGAAGAGGAATAGGGAGATTCACAATGTTGACCCAAAGTAATTGCTTCAAAAGGAATTCTGGGAAACGAACTCTGCATTAATGCTAAGCCACGTTTGTCGAATTTCAGATTAAGGACAAAATAGATACCTAATATCCAGAAATATATTAATACAAAGCTAATAAACTACAAAAGAGATCCGGTTAGGCCTCATTTTACAAAATATTACCGGTAATATCCAAAACCATATTTGTAAAATTATAACAACTTAACATGTCAGCCTCAATGCCTTGGTGAAGGTTATTCTTTACACTTACATGACTGCCGAGGGCCTTGTGATACATCTGGACGTACAGCTTGACTATGTGGTACTCTGGGGGAAAGACTGGAGGCAACAGCGTCTGCAACAAAGAGCTACTTTGTTATGACAGTAGCAGACATGTATGTCTATGTCTGCGGTAAACAAACACCACTGTTTGAAACCATTGTTTTCACTTTGACATATAATAGTGTATACCAATCATTACAGTAAACTATGGGGCATAGACCAAACCTTACTGTGTAATAGGCAGCCAACATCATCATAAGACTCTCTCATCTGACACACCTTGACCTTCTTCAACTAGACAATCATGAGCTGTAGATATAAACATTGCTACTGACCCACCTTGACCACCTTCAACTAGACAATCATGAGCTGTAGATATAAACATTGCTACTGACCCACCTTGACCTTCTTCAACTAGACAATCATGAGCTGTAGATATAAACATTGCTACTGACCCACCTTGACCACCTTCAACTAGACAATCATGAGCTGTAGATATAAACATTGCTACTGACCCACCTTGACCACCTTCAACTAGACAATCATGAGCTGTAGATATAAACATTGCTACTGACCCACCTTGACCACCTTCAACTAGACAATCTTGAGCTGTAGATATAAACATTCCTACTGAACCACCTTGACCACCTTCAGATATAAACATTGCTACTGAATCACCTGTAGATATAAACAATCCTGAACTGTAGAAACATTCCTTCACCTTGACCACCTTCAACTAGACAATCTTGAACTGTAGATATAAACATTCCTGACCCACCTTGACCACCTTCAACTAGACAATCATGAGCTGTAGATATAAACATTGCTACTGACCCACCTTGACCACCTTCAACTAGACAATCTTGAACTGTAGATATAAACATTGCTACTGACCCACCTTGACCACCTTCAACTAGACAATCTTGAACTGTAGATATAAATATTCCTGACTCACCTTGACCACCTTCAAGTTGTCAATCATGAGCTGTAGATATAAACACTCCTACTGACCCACCTTGACCGCCTTCAAGTTGTCAATCATGAGCTGTAGATATAAACACTCCTGACTCACCTTGACCATATTCAAGTTGTCAATCATGAGCTGCAGATATAAACATACCTACTGACCCACCTTGACCACTTTCAAGTTGTCAATCATGATCTGCAGATATAAACATACCTACTGACTCACTTGACAACCTTCAAGTTGTTGTCAATCATAAGCTGTAGATATAAACACTCCCACTGACCCACCTTCACCACCTTCAACTAGACAGTCATGAGCTGTAGATATAAACATTGCTACTGACTAATCTTGACCTTCTTCAACTAGACAATCATGAGCTGTAGCTATAAACATTGCTACTGACCCACCTTGACCTTCTTCAACTAGACAATCATGAGCTGTAGATATAAACCTTGCTACTGACCCACCTTGACCTTCTTCAACTAGACAATCATGAGCTGTAGATATAAACATTGCTACTGACCCACCTTGACCACCTTCAACTAGACAATCTTGAACTGTAGATATAAACATTCCTGACCCACCTTCACCACCTTCAACTAGACAATCTTGAACTGTAGATATAAACATTGCTACTGACCCACCTTGACCACCTTCAAGTTGTCAATCATGAGCTGTAGATATAAACATTCCTACTGACCCACCTTGACCACCTTCAAGTTGTCAATCATGAGCTGTAGATATAAACATACCTACTGACTCACCTTGACCACCTTCAAGTTGTCAATCATGAGCTGTAGATATAAGCATACCTACTGACCCATCTTGACCACCTTCAAGTTGTCAATCATGAGCTGTAGATATAAGCATACCTACTGACTAATCTTGACCACCTTCAAGTTGTCAATCATGAGCTGTAGATATAAGCATACCTACTGACCCATCTTGACCACCTTCAAGTTGTCAATCATGAGCTGTAGATATAAGCATACCTACTGACTAATCTTGACCACCTTCAAGTTGTCAATCATGAGCTGCAGATATAAACATACCTACTGACCCACTTGACCACCTTCAACTTGTCAATCATGAGCTGCAGATATAAACATTCCTACTGACCCACCTTGACCACCTTCAAGTTGTCAATCATGAGCTGCAGATATAAACATACCTACTGACCCACCTTGACCACCTTCAAGTTGTCAATCATGAGCTGTAGATATAAGCATACCTACTGACCCATCTTGACCACCTTAAAGTTGTCAATCATGAGCTGCGGATATAAACATTCCTACTGACTCATCTTCACCACCTTCAAGTTGTCAATCATGAGCTGTAGATATAAACATTCCAACTGACCCACCTTGACCACCTTCAAGTTGTCAATCATGAGCTGTCGTGTCAGCTCTAGGTGCTTCACCAGCCACATCTTGTCACCTGACCGGTCATTCAGCTGGTTACCCTCAATACTGAAAGGTCACGATGACAGTTTATTACTCACATAACTGCTATTAAGGTACAAACTCTAATGATTTCATGGAGTTCAGAAATATATTCATTAAAGCTTGGTGGCTTGACTATGTCACCTACATAGATACAGTTGTGTGGTTTACAAAACAAATTTAGGTAAAACTCACCACATTCTGAGCAAAGAAGTCCAAATGATAAAATGATAATCTTTATTTACATTTCAAAATTTCATTACTAATTCACTTTGAGAAAAGAGGAGTTGAGAAGATACTTATCCTCTGACGGTCAATACACTGAGACAAATAAGAACATATGTCAGTGACTCTCGTCACTTTTAACAATCACAGAAGGAAGATACCCCTGTAACAGCCTAACCAGTGCAAAAGGATGATTGCCAACTATGCATGCAGATCATGCTAGGCACACTAGTATCCTCATGTTGTAACTGTGAAACCCTCACATGTAAGTCATCAGATGTTTACAACCATCGTCAAAATGCTTCACTCACGTGGCAGTAATGGATTCTTCAAACACAGCAAAGGCCCTTTGCACGCCAGTTCTTGGGACGTCCTGGTGGCATGAAGCCTGTCTGCTCCTTCTTCCTGCGCCATGCCTGGTCCATTCTGAAGGATAAACATTTCACTGCATCTTATTGGTTATTTAAAGACACTCAGCAATATTCAGCCTGTATGATGGCAGTCTGTAAAAATATCAACTATGGACCAGACAAGCCAGTGATCAATGTTATTGGCAACAAATTGTGCAGTTATTGTACTATAACATGTTATCAGCCAGTTGACCAAGCCTGACCACTCAACATACTGCGACCAGGATAGGTTTCTGGGGTCACATTCTATCACAGTGTCTCCACAATAGCAAACTATGTGCTAACTCATGACAACAGTGGACAATTCAATAGCTGTACATGTGAAACAGAAAAGGAGGCATCATTTTATAATGAATTTTTACTGGTGAAGAAAACATGGAGCAAGGGAGATAACTCACCTCTCCTCCCTCTCAATGAGCCTGAGAGCAGTGACAATGAGTGTTGGTTCACGTCGGACAGCTTTCAGGGTTTGGTGCAGAATTATCCACAGTTGTTTGCCAAGATCCTCTGACAGCTTTTCTACTTCAGCAAAATACCTCTTCAGTGTCTGAAATGGGAGTGAGATTGGAGGGTCAGTCATAGTCATAGTGTGTGTGAAGTATGTGGGTGAAATCAATATTAGCATCTTCCACGGTTCAAACGTTATCATTGAAACTATATGACTTATATCAACCTTTCTCAGACTTCAAATGATTTATTACAAACAATGTCTTCCTATTCCACAAAGTCATTTATTCAAGTTTCATTTATTTTAAAAGCATTGCTGAGAAGGCCAGAATGTGACATCACCAGTTACAGTTTTACAGCTCATTAGACTGCTTGCACAATTTCTACAGAACTCTGTTATTGCAACTTGTTATTGTGCTACATTAAACATCACTCACCCTTTCCAATAATTCATTCCAACCTATACATATTTGAACATGACTACAATCATAAGAGCAGTCCAAAAGGGTACATGGAATTTGCATGCATAATGATGTAAAATCACATTATTTACACATTCCTATCTCTACGTTTGAGGGGTTAAGGAGCAATGCACTCACATTATTATCAGTTGGGCTCTGGTTGGGCTGTCGATGAAGTTCAAGTAGAAGGTCATCTCGAGACATCTCAAGGTCAGCCAGGCTGCAGCAAACAAATTAAACAATATTCACTCAAGGCTTAAATGCTAAATGGTATGTTTCTCTACTCATTCATTGGACAACTATTATCTCCTCCATCTGTGTCAAATGTTTTGCAGAGATACAAACTCACAAGAAACATGGCCACAGTCACCAGACACAAGTAACAGTGGAATAGTTACATTGCTTCTAAACACAACATGATGCACTGTAACACGCTTATCATTTTGTGTCAAATGACTCGTGACTATCTTTGATCTGACTGATTGTTGATAACACCTCACTCATCAATATTAAAGTTGTAAGATGACGGTGTGTAAATAATGTGGTCTCAACAAGACCTTCTAGTGATTGACATCATGAGCATCAACTGGCATATCATGAGATGCAGTCACTGTAGTCACCAGGCAACTCATTCCAGGTTTACAGGAGACCTATAATCCTTGCAACTCACTGTTTATGTGCCTGTAACAGCTTCCCATCAGTGATGAGGTCCCTCGTGCGGGACACACTCTCCGGAACTGTAAATATGTGCTTTAAGTTCTCCTGGGCAGCTGCGAGCTGAATTACAACAAAAGAGTGTCATTTCTTCACAATAGAATAACATACATTGTCACCACTCCATCCATTTAGTTTCTTCTACAAGCATAGGTTGATAGGGACATTCTATATCGGAAACTCTATTTGGCTCTAATAAATTGTGCAACAACACAAGCTTTCCCCTCTAAAACACATTCTAAACAAAGCCATGTTCACATTCCAGTATTGTTATTGGAGCCAAAAGGACAAATAGCTGAAGATTTTTTCAGTAGTGACAATTGTATTAGCATATTTTGTATAAAAGTCAAAGCGAAAGTATTCTAACAGTAATTACTACCTTACCACTGACATTTCCCACCACATCATCACAAAGTTATAATGTACCGAGCAATCAGCCCTTATATGTGGTTTTGTATGGTATTGGGAAGGTATACCTGGCAGAACTCAGAGTTTTCTCTCTTCACCTCCTTCAATTTCTCGTGTAATGGCTGAATGGACTTGTAATTTTCATCCACCTCGTCCAAACTGGTAGAAAAATAATACCAAGAGTTACCTCCCTGCTGTTTTCATGATGGAGAATCCATTGAGTGACCAGATTTAGGTCATATTTCTAACTTATACCATGTTACTGTTGATGTTTAAAACAATTGCATAGTGACCTATTGTTATACCAGTTTTACAAATGTGAAAAAACACAAACAAATAAATGTAGAAGAATTGTTTTAACTATGATAAAAACAACTCTGTGACATGACATACAGACATGACATACAGACAGGCCCAAGGGAAAAGGAGGTGAGGCTTTTACAACTCATTCCCCCAAATTAACTTTGAGCATTATTTCAACACTTCACTCATTCAAACTTCACATGTGTCTTCACAATCAAGATAATCAACAGACATGTTAAATAATTGTCAAAAATAATGCTAATATGATCATGGATTTGTGTAAACAAATAAAAGTGTTATCTTTCTTCTAGCATTTTAGCCTAGGAAATCTTCAAAAGAGCTTGACGCTAGTCTGTCCTTACGATTGTTTGATCTCGACACATCCTGTAGAGCACTCTGTAGCTGGTTGAGTCCGGTCTTCACGCCGTCCAGCTGTGACTGTACAGCTGTCTTCAACATGGCCTCCACTGATGCCTGTGATTACACCAGCCACGTACGTCACACAACAACAACAACAACAACAACAACACTGTTTCACACGTTCACCTCTTCTCTCTAATGAACACAGTATTCCCATTTTCCCCAAAACCTTTCGGATATGTGTTACAAAACATACCTGTTGAATACAACAGCCATATTCTAGTCATGACAGGTGGTAGGGTAGCCTAGTGGATAAAGCGTTCGCTCATCACGCCTAAGACCAGGGTTCGATTCCCCGCATGGGTACAATGTCTGATGCCCATTTCTGGTGTCCCCCATCGTGATATTGCGGGAATATTGCTAAAAGCGGCATAAAACTAAACTCACTCACTTCTAGTCATGAAGATTCGTAAGAATGAAGGTTTGAGTGTGGTACATGATTTGGTGGTCAAATGTAACAACTGTTACCTAAACCACTCAGGCTTCAACAAAATAGAACAATGGACAAAACTCGGACAATGAATGGAATTCATACATTGTTCCCATGTGTAGAAATGTATCTGGATACAGAGTGGATTAATTTATCCCAATTCTTACTCCAATACCACCCCACCTGTTCCCATAGGACAATGGCAAACATTAAAATGGTCTGTTATTTTGAAAAAAAACCCTCACCTTCTTACGAGCTGCTCTTCTCTTGAATTGATCAACCTTTTCTAGCTGCTCTGGTCGCTGAAAACATCAATATGAACTCAATACAAGAATACTACAGATTGAAACTGAAGAAGACTCTCAAATAATTTGTGCAGAAATTGAACCTACTGCAAACCACTACATAAAATTATGTGATCGACAGATTCAAGTCATCTAGAAAATGTTTTGTCTTTAAGATATGAGGTAGGACCAGGTAAACTTTCCAGCTGACCAGTTACTATCTCAATTCTAAGTTCTTGGTACTAATGAGCGAAACATCCAGACTAGATCATCTGATTTCTGTATTTTGAAAACAATAACCTATTGCACACTCAAAAGTGTGCTTGGAGTTCACTGTTAACCAATAGTGGATATTTTGTGAAAACTGCCATTTATGACATCCATGACATCTACACCCTGTTCTACTGACAGGGGTTTCCTTTTTCTAAGATTGAAATTTCTGAATTAAAGTGCTAAAGAGATGAAGCTGAACTGTTTCAGAAAATCTGATCGGCTCAATAACCCATGCATTCTTCAGGACCACTGGGCACTCAAAAGTGTGCTTGGAGTTCATCACACACAACCTTCTATGGGAATGTCCTCATATCTTCTCTGAGATATACATCACATCGCAGTGGAAAATCTGATATTTTTAAGAAACTATCAATCAGATGCCCTGTGTCTGAAAAGTTACAGCTGTGTCTGAAACACACATTTCTACCACAAAGACATTAGAATAGTCTACGTCAATAGCGGTGGGGTAGCCTAGTGGATAAAGAGTTTGCTCGTCATGTTCGTTAAATAGACCTCTTGTCCATGACATACGACTCCCAACAAATAATAGCCCAGCCTCAACAACTATAGTACCGAGGATATACCTGAAGATTCAGGGAATGATTCCCACATATGTACAATGTGTAAAGTCCATTTCTGGTGTCCCTCGCTGTGATATTGCTGGAATAGTGCTAAAAGCGGCATAAAACTAAACTCACTCGTTCACTATCTCAGAAGAAGCAATTTTCCTGTGTTCAGAAAGACTGCTCGAATTTCCTAATGAAACCGGAATGAAGCTCAAAGCGGGACAACTTATGTGACATTGTTAGTGTGGATATGTTGACACAAACTCAAAGTCAACAGTTCCAAGTATGACGTCAAATGTGATGACATGAATGTTGTGGAGTTGTCGGCCCAGGAAAGCTAAATTTCAATTTTCCCTATTCCCGGGAGAGCTAAACATCAGGTTGTGGCAGGTAGTTCCGCAAAAGCTAACAAGGAGTAATTGCTAAGAAAATATCGGATTACCATACTCTAGATTAGCATACCGTAGTGAGTAGTCGGTGTTGTTTCTAACCATTACCATTATACCATACATTAGTGAATCCTGTTCACTTGTTTCTCAGAAATGTATAAACACCAAGAGTAGTGCATGACGCTGTAATTATATTACAATAAATAAAGTGAGTGAGTTTAGTTGTATGCTGCACTCAGCAATATTCCGGCTATATGGCGGCAGTCTGTAAATAATTGAGTCTGGACCAGACAATCCAGTGATCAACAGCATGAGCATTGATCTGCGCAATTGGGAACTGATGACATGTGTCAATCAAGTCCTGACCACCCGATCCTATTAATCGCCTCTTATAACAAGCATGGGTTACTGAAGATCAATATTTTAACCCAGACCTTCACGGGTTGCAATAGATAAACAAGAAAATCAACGAAAAGTCACCAGCACCCTTACATATAGCATCTTTAAACTCACAGATTTAAATTTTACATAAGCTTTTTTTCTTTTTTTTTTTTTTTTCTTTTTCTTTGATGGTCCCCCACCGTGATGTTGCTGGAATATTGCTAAAAGCGGCGTAAAACCAAACTCAGTCAGTCAGTCTTTTATCTATTCTAATATAATACCTTAATTTTACATTTATTGTAGCTTTTTTTTATCTATACAATAAATTTTACATTTATTGTAGCTTTTTTTTATCTATACAATAGATAAAAAAAATGAAGCTACAATAAATGTAAAATTAAGGAATATATAAGGGTGCTTGTGACTTTTCATTATCAAAATGGCGACCGCACAGGTGAGAGATACCTTTATCGAGTCAGTGGGAGGTGGCCAGAATATATTCTATGATCAGTACACGTTTCGGTGTAAGAAAATCCGTGGAGAAAAGAAGTCCAAGAACAGTCCAATGTAGATGTTTCCATTGAAAGGATCGGAGCACACTGGACTGCCCCACCCAGGAAGAGGAAATACAAGAATATCGACACCCATCTGCAGGCACTCAAAGACAACCTCCTCAACAACATCATCGACGACATGGACTACAGGGACCATGTCGCTGATCTCATTCAACGGCAGTAATCCACAGACAGGCAGTCAGTCAATCAAAATACAATCATTGTGATTCCCCAATAAAACAAAACATGCTTCATAACTAAAGAAATGAACACTGGGATTCTGTTACTTAGCAACATATTTATTGTTATATATCTGTTAAATGCTTTTAATTTTTACTGTCACTACGGTATTAAATGGAGACACAAATTTCTTTGTTTTTCTTGTGTATTGCGAGTGCCGGGAGAGCTCAATCCAGCATTCACTGCAGTGTGACAAGTCTCGCAAAAGCTACATAGGTTTTGAGGAGTTTTGGTTCAGGTTTAGCTTTCCCGAGGCCATGACCGTTGTGGATGGTCCATGAGCAGTACATTTCTACTTTATCTTCCTTTCTACTCACCTGTAACAAGTTAGCAACATATTTCATTGCTGCTTCCCTAGCAACTGTTTCTACTCGACCGAGATCTAGAGGAGCAGGAGCTGGCCCCTGATCATGGCCTTCATCCGACATCATAGAATGATTTCCTGACACCTATAGGTAGTTTTCAGATCTGCAGGAGCATCAGTCTGAAAAGACCATGATGATATGATAATGCATTTTGTGGTGTAATCAATACAAATACTGAATTTCTTCTAAAAATTATTTACCTTCATAATTTGACCATGTTTTATTTTCTAATCAATGTTCACAACTGAGTTTTAAAAAACTGTTTGTTTGATTATCTGCACATACTATAAAAACAGAGCTTGCCCAATAATTTAAATCATGTACGTACTATGATGTAGGGCTTGAATACGAATGTGTTTGAGAGATTTGTTTTACGGTCCTTGAAGCACTTCAGTTTTATCCTAGTGTTTTCTCAGTTGAAGGAAAATAGGGGTAAAATGTATATGTAGGGTGTAGACCGTTAAATAGACCTCTTGTCGATGACATACAACTCCCAACAAATAATCGCCCAGCCTCAACAACTATAGATTAGTACCGAGGATATACCCGGAAGTCTGCCTTGAAATCACTATACAGGCCACTCAGCTCTAAAATAAATGTCGCTCGTTGACAGTCACGGTCTTCATTACGATCAATCGACATAAACAATCTCTTTTCCTGTATAAACATAAAAGCTACAAATAAGCGATGCGTGTAGTTGTCAAAGTAATTCAAAATCTCAACAGACTAGTGCACAGACCTGTGATAAGTACGTTTCAAGACAAAATGACAAGAATATTGTACCGTTTTGTTTACGCCTACAACATGGGCGCCGACATATTGGATCTCGTAACTTCACGGAATCTCTCGGTATTTTATGTGCGCTTCCCCTTGAACGTGTTTTCTTTTGGAGAAACTGCATCAATTTAAAAAAGATGTTACATGCATAACGAAAGATACACCATTCTACTTGTTGTGTTTTTATTTATATTACAGTGTCAGTATAAATACGTTTTGTTTGTTAAACGTTTGAGCCTACAAGATATTTAGTTCAGAATATCTATCAGAGTTAACATTGCAAAGATCCCTGTAAATGTGTCTCTCTCTCTCTCTCTCTCTCTCTCTCTCTCTCTCTCTCTCTCTCTCTCTCTCTTTTATTTATGTATCAGTTATGACTTGACAAAGAGTTGTCATGTCATTATGCATCGCTCTCATCATAATTAACTGAGCATCAATACTCATTCATGTTGTTATTACTATAGATCGTTATATATGTATTCCATCTCAAATATACAGCAGGTGCCTTGAACCAAAAGACAGTTCAGTATATTCATCAGTTCATTGCTTAGGTGGATCCAGAGGGTGCAGGGGTGAGCAACCCCCTTTTGTCCTGAAAGTTTATTAAATGACCATTGAAACTCTTGTAAAAATGAAGCGTGCAGCCCCCCTTTCTCAAGGGTGCACACACACACACACACCACTCTTTCTGATAAAGCTGTATCTGCCCCTGCATTGTGAGTGTGTTTGTCATTAACGTTTATGTAGATTCTTTGCATAATTAAAATCGAAATTAAACAGTTAACTTTCTTTTTAAATCTCATTCCTGTTTTTGTAACCCTTCCAGCTGTTCTCTGTTGTTTGGACTCCTAGCAGGTAACTGAAATATTTCGAGGAATATAACTAAATACTGACAAACCCATGAAAGCACTGACTTCATTGTAAGCAATGTATTCTTTGCCTTAGTGCAATCAAGATCTTGCTGGGACACAGGTGCAACAATTCACTGTTTTGAGTTGCATCCTTCAAATATGACATGGGTTTAAAACCCAAATTCACCTTTGTATGAACTATACCCAGTGATGCCCGAAGGTTGCACCAAAGCTGTAAACATCTGCACCAAAGCAGGTTTTCCCGTAGACTAGAGTTACTAAAAATAGATTTTGACATCAAGCTATGACGTCATTTTATTGTTTACATGTCGCAGTATTGTTGACATAACATTATTGGTTTGTAGCTAAAATTACTTTTCTTGGACATGTTTTGGTTTTTAGAAGCTTTTTTCGGTAATTTCATAATAAAACAATTATGGACTGGTGAATTCGGTCAATACCTGTTTTTATGGACCCACGAAAAGCAATATTGAGCGAGGACAAAGTCAATATTGCTTTTCGCAGGTCCATAAAAGCAGGTATTGACCTCATCACCAGTCTATAATTGAATATAAGTGTCCTGTGCACTTAGAAAACTGATGTGCACATGTTAGATTATTGTGTAAGGTCCAACTGTTGTAAACAGTGTCAGTTGAACGTTGATGAAAACACAACATTTTGATAAGATACAAGGTAAAACCTTATACCCACTTTCACTGCTACTGTTATTGGTAAGAAATCTGTAAGGTCAAGAGCAAATAGCATCTTAGCAGGAGCTCTCACAAAGACTTCACCTACATGCTCATTGGAACCAGGATTATTAATACATTAAATACAGTAACTAAACATAGAGACTTTTCTGGGTTTCGTCTTCTTTTTATTGTTGAAAGAATTAAGATGAAACCCAGAAAAGTCTCTATGTTCATCAAATAGCATCTTCTAAAATGCCAATCAAACATCCACAGTAACTGAAGTTTGGTTTAAAACAGCGTTAAGTGCAACACTGAACCTCCCAGCTTTGTTGCGAGGCAATGGCTTAACCTTCAAGTGTAATAAATACATGAAACATATTCCTATCAAATCTTTATTTACATAAGTATACATTCAACATACTGTAGAAACTAGCAGAACACATTTGGGATATTGAAAACTGTGAATGGAAGGTATGAAAAACATGGTGAAGAAATAACGCTTGTGAATGACTTGATCTGGACTAGTATCATGGCACATGGACCACACTAAGTGTAATGGGAGAATCATGTCATTGTAGACTCCATTCTGTGATATCCATACCTCAGTATCTGATAAAAAGAATTCCACTACATTATCCTGTGTCCAAAAACTCTTAATATTTTTTCAAGTTTGTGGAGTACAAATCTTCATAAAACAAAGTGCAAATTATATACCAGTATATACTTTGTAGCTTGCTTGTTCAGGGCATTCTACAAACAAGGAAACATATATATATTTCTTCCCATATAAATTATAAGTGCCTTTAGCAGAAATAATATCAGGCACTACATCGTTTATCACATCGTTAATTTTTTCAACAAACTTCCAGACCCAGCGCTTATTAGAGGCCCTGCACTTTTTGCCCTTACTTGGTGTACTGTGCTCATTTCTTAAACCTCTGCTTTACCCCCTGTGCTTACTAGAGGCACGACGCTTATTAGAGGAAATACGGTATATTATATTTTACAACACTGCTACCTATTTATACACACATCGCCTGAACAAGTTAATTTCACCTCCAGGACTCCTCAGCATGTCCAGATGCGAGTGCTCCTTCAGACGTACTCGCTCACGTACAGAGACACATCATTTACATACAATGTTCTCCTCCCCAACTATAGTTTTGTGAATCACATCAACATGCCTTGCATCACAAGGACATGAAAAGAGTGAGTGAGTATGGTTTAGCAATATTAGAGCAATATCACCACAGGGGACACCAGAAATGGGCCCACACATTGTATGAATACACAATGCCATTTAGAAAATGGTGAAATGTAACATTTGTTATATTTGGGATTACACTTTCTTAGTTAAGTACAGATTCTAGTAAAGTACGGATTCTACTACTTTTGTTGGGTTGTCCTCCCCCAAGGACATGAAGAACAGTCAGAGGCCCAGATAAGCTGCGTATCCGGGTAAAATATGCATAGAAACTTTCCAATTACGCATTGAAAAATAATTGTTGCGTACCAATTACGCATTTAAACTGTTAGATACGCAAAGAGTTTAAAACAAATGCGTATGGAATATACTTATAAAAATCGCTTGCGTAATGAAAAAGACATCGATTGCTATCAAGTTGTACTGTGAGTATAAGGACAAGTGTTGTACTGTCAGTATAGGATGACTGTTTTTTTTATAAAATCATTTCCCTTATAATTAAGTTGGTTTTGATTAGGTATGACATAAGGCAGAACATACCTGCTTAGTAAACTTACTCAATGACATAGTACTTAGGTGTGTAAAATGACTGAAATACGTACATATTTGAAAGCAGTGGGTAACGATAAATGAAATACCCACTCAACATTCATAATACCCACTCCAAAAAAAAATACAGTGGGTACAGTACCCACATTAGCTAAATCTTATCTGGAGCTCTGAACAGTGCAAGCCACAGTGGCTGAGCGGGCTAGGCGACTTTGTGTGCTGGCGGTACCTGACAATGAGGGTGTGGGTTCGAATCCCGGATGGGACTCAATCCAACAAAAGTACTAGAATCTGTACTGTACTAAGAAAGTGTAATCCCAAATATAACACATGTTTCACACATTGTACCCATATGGGGAATCAAACCCAGGTATTCAGCATGACGAGCAGACACTTTAACCATTCAGCTACCCCACAATACCCAAGGACATGAACAGTCTGGCATACAATGCCTTGCTAGGCAGGGGCATTAAAAGGGGACTACAAATTGTGGAAAAGATTGATAATGCTCTCTTGATATCTTGTAGTCTGTTTTGACCCATTTTATTGGCAAAACCTATAAGTATGACAAAACAAATATGTGTTACTTCACTCGCTCATATTTTCTTTGTCTCATTCATATCATGTGACCAACAGTTCTTGCTATCAGTCCAATAAATATACTATTTACAGTTACAGTTCACAGAAACATCAGTGAATGAAATGCTTAGGAAAAAGGGAACAGGAAAACAAACTACTAATGTTTCCATTGTCTATAAAATGTACAAATAAGTCACGTTCCAAAGACTACTTGTGTGTTACAAAGCAATTCCTGTATATGCCAGCAGGTAACACTAAATGTACAAATACTCCAGGTCACCAAGCAAGCTTGATGATGAACGTCACACTGACAGAGCACTAGACATGCATGAAGTAGATGCACAAGTTCTAATGATCAAATTCAACACCACAATGTTCACTCAGCCTAAAACACATCTCCATTAAACTTTCATCATTTAGAAGTAACAACATGAAGACATGAACAAAACCGGACATACACTTCCTTTTATTTGTGCACATTTGCCCTTTTATTCATTACACATAATAAAGATGTTATCTGGAAATTATTGCATGAAAATGTAATAAGTTAGATCACCTTGAACACTAAATGCATTTATAGTTCAACAAAAATACACAGCCAACTGTAAATATGGCAACTGTCTATCAATTCAGATTTGTTTACTCTGTGACAGTTGAGGTCAAAGCAATTCCATGATCTTTGCAGCAAATTGTTCTTATTGTATCGAAGTAAATCAGAAAAACAACATTCTTAACTTCTGCATTGCATTGGTGAAAATGAATAAGAATATACAAGATTGAAACAAACCTGACAGCCTAATATCAAAATCCACTACCTCACTGTTAATCCCTTACTTAAGGTCTAACAATAAATATGAAAAACTTAACAGTGTATAAACAGAACAACTGATTAATTGCTCATTGACATTTCGAGAGAAAGTATGTACATTTCTTAAATATTTCTAAATGTCAAATACATAACAGGTCCTAATTTTAGCCAATTTTAAGACTTAACATGTTGGATGCTTGCTAAACAGTTCTCAATGAATGCATGTAACACATAATGACACTGTCATAAATATGCTTTATGTTATTACCAACTATTTACAAACTCAGACATCCAAATTATCCACAAAAGCATCGTCAACAGCTAAACCATAAACACAAGTACAACAGCTATCTACAGCAGACACTAACTGCCAACTTGAATGCTGTGAATGTTAATGAACATGGAGACAGTACTGTATACGCAACATGCACAAGTATACCCATCAAGACTGATGTAGTTAGTATGTTTAGCACATGAAATCATGGGATAATCCAAAGGGAACAGATGGATGAACACATACACACCTTGTTTCAGACACCATACACGACAACCTATCACATGTTTCTGTTCACTTGGTTACATGGGAACAGATTGCACACCACCTGTTTTCATGATGCTGGATTGCATCTGGGATTATTTCATCATGAGTGATGTTGCTGGAATCATCCAGAGGTATCCCATTTTTAGATAAGCACAAGAAGATTCAGTATGTTGCCATTTGATCAACAAATGCACACACTGTAGAAATCTTATAAAGGAAGCTGACATCCATGCCATATATACACATCTACTCCACGTCCCAAGAAAACTTATGTCTAATTTCAGTCATATCTGAAGGTTGAGACCTCTCGATTGTATAAAGCTTATCAGGACTGTCCATTTCGGAATCTGTCTTTCCTGCTGGTTCAGCGGAATCTGTCTTTCCTGCTGGTTCAGCTTCAGTGTCACCTACTTCGCTGCCGCTCTTCACACCCCATGCAAACATGTGGGAAGTCTTGCGACTTGATCGACGAGTATTCACAACTGGTTTTCCTGTTACATGTGATTTTTCTTTTTCTTCAGATTGTGGATGATTTTCCCGCACTCCATCAATAGGTGTCTGACAACCACTTTCAAATGTCACCTTACTCAGGTCACTTTCCATTTGTGCACGAGGGGCATTTTGCAAATGTGGCAAAGGGACATTGTAGAACTGAGTCTTTGATTTGGGACCTGGTTTCCTTTTTCTCACTTCCACTGTCCGGACTACATTCTTCACCTCTTTAGTAACTAGAGGTGAAGGGGTATTTTTAGTGCTCCCACCTGGTGATACATGAGTGGGATTTTGTTGGGATTCTTTAGTCACCATATTATCACCTTCTTGCTCCATCCTACCACTTGATGAGAGAGTATTTGTGCTGGGGTTATATGTCACACATGTTGGGGCAATGGATGTACAAACAGTCTCAGGCATGATTTTCATCACTGTGCCTGTTTCATCGCTGGCTTCTGGCATTATGTTACAGCGAGCAATGATTTTTATTTTCTCCTTCACTGGTCCAGGTTTTGGAGCAGCCACCATGTTCTCATGTTTATGAACACTGGCTGACGCCTTAGAGTGTTCAGATGGTTTTGGTGACATGGACTCCTTGAGTTTCATCACAGCTGCCTCTTTCAGTTTCTCAAGTGCCTCACCATCATTACATGTGTCCATCAAGACCTGACGTATTATTGTCCCCTTCTTCACTTTGTCTGTAGTCTTTGGTGGGACTGACACAGTTGCTGAAGGTTGTGGGAGAAGAGACACGGTCGCTGATGGTACATGAGACACTGTAATTGGTGTCAGGGAGTTGTTCTTAATAACAAAGCTGTTGCTACTGTCAGCAGGAAGGGTGGTTATTTTGGCAGAAGACAGATTTAACATGGAATGTGAAGACGTGCTGCTGCTGCTGCCGCCGCTACTTTCGGTAGGCATCACAGCACTTGTAGGCACAGTGACCAATCTTTCCTGAGACTCTTCCCGCTTCAACTCCTCATCAAGTCCAGGAGCATCCATGGTATCCTCATCATCATCCTCATCATCCTCCTCCTCCTCCTCCTCCTCATTCTCGAAGCAGACGTCAACCACCTCCTTCTCACCACAGCTATCATTGTCTTCCTCATCAGAGTCTGCATTCTTCTCAATGATGAAAGCTTTTTTGTTGGCACTCATGTCCATGAGGTACTCAAACTTCTCAGATTTTCGTTTCAGGGCCTGCTTCCTCAGCTCGAACTGTGTCACCTTCTGTTTCAGTGCTGAAACAAAAAAGCAGGGAGAAATCATCTTAATCTTGTATTTCTTAAGAGTAAACATTTCTTAAATGAGTTGTATATCAATAGAAGGTACAGGACACTAGAGAGATTGAATTTGGTTTTATGCCGCTTTTAGCAATATTCCACCAATATCACAGCGGGGGACACCAGAAATGGGCTTCACACATGGTACCCATGTGGGGAATCGAACCCAGGTCTTCGGCGTAACAAGCAAATGCTGTATCCACTGGGCTATCCCACTGCCCCATACAGGACATTAAACCGTTGGCTTAATGCATTATTCCATGTGGGGACTAAACTGCATGAGAAACAAACACTTGACTGACGTAATTACAAGTGAAACAAGGGATCTTCATTGAGAAACAGGCCTGGTCAGAAACAGAGATGACATAATTATCAGGGGTGGAAATAACTTTAAAATTGCTAGTGTACTCCGGTACAGTGGCACATGTAAAATCACTTGCCCTGATAATTTGTCCACTATACCGGCCGTTTTCTTGTTGATTTTTTAAATAAATAACATAATTAACATTGGAATATCAACTGGACATAGGTACAGTGTGATATACAAATTTGCTTGCCCGACAGAAAAAAACACTGGACTTGGGCGTCGGGCAATGGGTTATTTCTACCCCTGAATAATACACTTGGGGTAATGAACCCGAGTTTCTGAAGCAGGGGTACAAGAAGTGATCACAAAGCCATCTGCAGCTATCATAGTGCTGACTGTCATAATTCTATGCTAAACTGAGTAATGATAATTACAGTGCTGAAATTTCTGTATGAAATGGGGCCTTTCAGTCACTATCCCCTTTGTTCCAGTGAACTTTCTACCTGACTCTTCTACAAACTCTGATCTGATGACAAATGAATGGCTATTCAAACATATTTACATGAAAGCAGAACAGGGTTTGAAACACTGATTCTCTCTGGTTCTGGTTCTTGGATTGTCAGCACCATAACTGTGGATCCGACAAAGTGACTAGCAGGAAGTAAACATTAGGAAATCAGAAAGCAGCTTCATTGAGCTTTATGGCAATATTCCAAAATGTAGACTTCAATTCCATATATTTTGATACATATAACTGCACAGTTCTCAATTCAAGATTTAAAAACTTGACAAAAGAATAATCTGGAATATCCAATAGATAACAAAGACTGCCTGGCTGTACTTTCACATGCTATTGAAAGTCTTTCCCTTCAAATGTCTATCCCAGTGAAGCAAGACAATTTCAAGCAATCAGAATTGGTTGTACAGCCTGAATGGCTGACACTGCGAGTAACAATCCACACCACCAGGGTATGATGACATACCATCACCCTGTCGCCAAACTTGACCTTAATAACATCAAATATACTGAGAGAAACAAATATAAGATCACAGGAAAATTCAAGCGTTCCTTTAACATTTTCCAGTTTTCATCACCAGCTTTGAATAGTGCTAAAAACTGGAAAATAATAAAGGAACGCTTTAATTTTCCTGTGATCCTTCATATGTTTCTCTCAGTATATTAGCTTATGTCCAGGTTTGTTTGCATGGAACCAATCATAACTGGAATCCAATGAAGTGCTTTCATTACTGCATTCCGCAACTGGTGTCTCACCTGCCATTTCTTTGTCAATTTTGGCCTGTTGTTGGTCCATATCAGACTTGAATGCTGACAGCCTCTCTTTCAGCTTCTTCATCAGGCCCAGAGTACGCACAATGTTACTCACACGAACAGCATCTGTTAACAATAAGCAGTCATGCTGATTGATTAAAAAGAATAATTTTGATCAAGTCTGTGCGAATGCAGTTACTTCTCATTTTCCTTTAGGGAAGTGTACACCAAAAAATCAAGTTTTTCATATGTGAAACCAAATGGAATTTTTAATTAATTACTATCAATCCTTGAAAATATACACTCATTTTTCTTACAATGAAAGTATAACCTTCAATATAAGTGCTAAAATGTTATGCCATTTTGAGACCTTTGTTTGTCGCACTAAACAGACCAGAGTTACCGCCCTTGGATTATGATGTAATTGGTGCCAATTGATTTTAACTGGTCTCCTGTCTAGTCCCAAAGCAAAAGATATGAATACTGACATTAATCACTTGAAAAACTATGAAAAAATACGAATGAAGCATTAGAACCGAAAATGTAAGCAGCTAGGTAGATATTGATCATGTGTATCTTCATTTATAATCTCGCCCAATGAAAATACCAAATATGTATAACAATGTTGATGTACATATGACATCACTATCGGGACGCGACATTCTCAAAATGTGAGTTCGCGTCAGTCATGGCATTATGCTTACAGAAACTATAATATATTGTGTTGAATATAGGAAAAAATTGGAGTACACCTGTTTTTATTTAACTTTCTCTTGGTACCATCCTCTTACCATGCATGTTCTAAAACCTATGAGCAAGTGTATGCAACGAGTAGACAAACGGATCTCTCACAGTATGAGAAACTGATACACAATGTAAAATCTTAGATTGGCTTTGTTTACACTTCAAACAAGTGGTCCTTTCCCACCGCAGCATCTGATGTATTTGGCTAGATTTCTCTGAGACACTTGGTATTGGTGACAAAGACCATTTATCATTATATTTTGAACTGTATGAGGAATTCAGAGATTCGAGTAAGGAAGATGATTTGAATTATAGTTGTGATGTTATGAGTGTGTGAGTGAGTTTAGTTTTACACCGCACTCAGCAATATTCCAGCTATATGGCGGCGGTATATAAATAATCGAGTCAAGACCAGACAATCGAGTGATCAACAGCATGAGCATCGATCTGCGCAATTTGGAACCGATGACATGTGTCAACCAAGTCAGCGAGCCTGACGACCCAATCCCGTTAGTTGCCTCTTACGACAAGCATGAGTTATTGAAGGCCAATATTCTAACCCGGACCTTCATGGGTCTGCGATGTTATGGGTGAAACATAACCAACATACATGTAACATAATTTTTATAAACACTCTGGATGAATTCTCTTCAACGTTTTCCAAAACATTCTCAGCAATTCTCGGTTCATCGAAGATGTTTCAGAAAGAGCATTGGTGATTTGATCTAACAACAACAACAAAAATACCAGTGATCACAATACGTTGGGTTTACAAAAATGGATTCTCCCAGTGAAATTTGACATTCAAATTAAGACATTCTATAAATTACGAAAAACACAATGAATGGTGATTTAGTGTCAAAAAACTGTAATTTTCAGTAATTATGCCATAAAATGAGTGGATAATATCATAGAAAAACAAATTTCAAACAGAATTCAAAACTGCGAATAGAATCTTCATGATGTATTTGGATATGGTTTCCACATCAAAATGAAGGTCGAAGAGGAGGGACATATATTGTTTGATTTATGTTGGAATTAAGTAGCAAACATAGAGTGCCTTTACATTCACCGATGGCTAGCTAGATGTAGTGCATACGCTTCAGTTTTGTTGAAAGAAGTTACTGTTGGAAAGACGACCAACTCATTTTGTTATACAATCTGGTTCTGTGGTAACCCTTTTTGTACACGTCCTCACACTGTGGGGCGACCACATAGCCAGCTGACGGCCAGGCAACAGGTGGATAACATGGGTCCAATAAGGTCTAACGACATCATTTTTTTATCAGTTGGGCATCAATGACATCATTTCCAAGCGACATAAGCCATGGCGTGTTCATTGTGGACATAGAACTCTCTGTTTACATGGAAAATACGATCCATGTAACACAAAAAATAAATTAGTCACTACTGATATCTGTACTCTTTTGGCTATAAAACTACTTGACAAACATTTTTTATGTTGAAAAAGGTTCATTTTCGTGTAAACTTGCCCTTTAAAGAGAACCTTAATATTTCCTTTGATGTTAATAATCAACATCACCATATCTCCGCTGTGATCAAACGACAAGTCTAAATGGTACTTACCACTGGCCCGGACTTGGTGTGTGACTAGGTCAGATTTGAATACATCCAGAGTTATTTTGATTTCTCTGAAGAAGTGTTCTAGGAGTCCGAGTTCCATGATTCCAATCCAAAACTGACGGTCTTCCTCTGCTGACTCGACATCGACTTCCAGGGGCTCAATATCTATTTCCTTAGCCTTGGAGAAAGCTGCAGCAACATCTGGGGGCAACACTATAACAAAGCAGCATACAGTTCATAAATATTACCTTCATGTGGTACAGATTGATAAAATAGTCAAAAATAGGTTGTAGTTGTCGAGGGTGATAGTCCAGTGAAACAACTTTGATATCAACTAACCTACACCTCTTCAGTTTTTCGGCGTTTTGGTTATGTTTTCGGCTTCTGAGTTCATAGAAATGTTCTAATTGCGTTTTAGGAATTCAAGACACTGAATTGAACCATAAAAACTGCTGTGAAAAAAGCTCACCTTCGGTTGATGTTGCAATAGGTTTTTCCAACAAAGACTGCAAGAGCGCCACGTTAGGTTTCACATCCACTGGCTCCGGAATACCCTTCATCTCAATAGTTGGAATATTGGCCAACCGAGACTCACTGTCATCTGGTAGATGGCAGTAAGTGTGTTCATTTATGCTGCTCACAAACTCCACTTTAGGAATCAGAGCTGGTGGTGAGATTACACTGTTTCTGTTAACAGGTGATCTGGCTATACATCTGCCAGTGCAAAATTCATCATGGCGATAGAAATCCAGAGTAGAAGATTCAATGTACTTCCTATAAAATCAAAATGAGATAAACGTAATTGAAAAAATTAAACATAGTGAAATATACAATGGAAACTTCTAATACATGATGCCTCGGACCTGTTCCACAAAAACATCTCAGCACTATAACTGTAAATCTATCTCAGAATGGGAGTTATGATCATCTCAGCACTAGAACTTTAAATCTATCTCAGAATGGGAGTTATGATCATCTCAGCACTATAACTGTAAATCTATCTCAGAATGGGAGTTATGATCATCTCAGCACTATAACTGTAAATCTATCTCAGAATGGGAGTTATGATCATCTCAGCACTATAACTTTAAATCTATCTCAGAATGGGAGTTATGATCATCTCAGCACTATAACTGTAAATCTATCTCAGAATGGGAGTTATGATCATCTCAGCACTATAACTGTAAATCTATCTCAGAATGGGAGTTATGATCATCTCAGCACTAGAACTTAAATCTATCTCAGAATGGGAGTTATGATCATCTCAGCACTATAACTGTAAATCTATCTAACTGTAAATCTATCTCAGAATGGGAGTTATGATCATCTCAGCACTATAACTGTAAATCTATCTCAGAATGGGAGTTATGATCATCTCAGCACTATAACTGTAAATCTATCTCAGAATGGGAGTTATGATCATCTCAGCACTAGAACTGTAAATCTATCTCAGAATGGGAGTTATGATCATCTCAGCACTATAACTGTAAATCTATCTCAGAATGGGAGTTATGATCATGTTAGTGCTAAAACTGTTTTATGAAATGGGACTGACAGACTGTGACTGAATCATATGTCAAAGATATGTATCAAACACTGGCGACCGCAACCATATAGTTGGAATATTGCTGAGTGCAGCGTAAAACTTAACTCACTCACTCACTCAAACACTGGTTTATCTGATCCAGATTTAACTATTTACAGACTGCATAAAACATGCTACAAAATGCATATATCTGGGTAAGATGTATGTTTTATATTTATTATTTGACAGTAGTGCAGTTCTTAAGGCTTACATGTCCATTCAATAATTAATTATGTGGAATTGTTTTATTGAATACCAGTGTTTCAATGTTGGCCAGCTGCTGTACAATTTACATTCACATTTCATGTATTTTGATTCTCTACAGCAGGTGGAAAGTAAAATAAATATTTCTTATCTTCATATTTATCAAAATGACTTCAATAAATTTTGAAAAAGAAAAATCAGCCAGCCTCTGATTATAGATTTTGATCTGAAACTGAAACCCAAACAAATATCAATCAACATATACTAAGAAGTTAAAGAATACCGTGACAGAATGCAGACCTTCATGGAAGTAACATTAGAGAAAAATGAAAGAAAACATTTATGAATACTATAAAAAAAATTTAACTTAGTGGGGGGGATGTCACACAATCTATATAATAGCAAGTTCAAGTTCACAAGTCAATAATTGTTTCATTCCGTATCAATCTACTGTAAAAGAAACGCTCAAATACTCACACAATCAATTATTCGAGGTTACTGTATGATATAAATGTATATATTAATTCACGAATGGCATTGGAAATTCTGAAATGACGATAACTGTCACAGTTAGTTGTGAGAAAACATCTCTTTGTACTGCCATGATTCCCTTCCGCTGAGTTATATAAAAACATGATCGACAGCAGTGAACAGGCTGGACAAATTGGTGAATAGCGAAGTAAGCATCATAATTAATTCTGTTTCATTAATTTAACAAATGGCAGAGTAAATCTGTAAATACTGCTAAAATATGGCGATGACTGTTCGGCAGCCAGTACAGTAATACGAACATGCTGAAACAACCAGGTGTTCCGTAACCTCATTTGAGTACTGTATATTCATTAATCTCCACCTACTCAAAGCAGTTCAAAACACGAGAATAACTATAGTAAGAATCTGGTGTTCTGTAACTTTTTTTTGGGTACATATTTCATTTAACTTCTCTCATTAGCCTAAATTTCTAATCTTACCTGACTTGGATGCCATTGATTCTGATTGCATTTTTCCAGTCTTTGAGTTTTTCTTTATCTCCCATCACAGAGAACACCTTTGGTGTAATGAATTGACCTTGGAATTCAATACACTCTCTGTGAATCCCCGGGCAGTAGAACTTGTTCTTGTGTAGATGACCCATCACACTGCCACATGTGATCTTTATTACGGACATCTCTGCCATCCTAAAAAATAAAACAATGACAAAACTATGACTTTCACCATGGTCACCTGATAACGGTGTTTATGACCAAATAGCTTGCGTTACCAGGGACCACTATTTTAATACTCAGCTTACCCAAATACTTCACAAGACATTCAAGTATATGAAATCCTTTTCCATGTTAGCTCTAAATGAGGTAAGAGGTTCTTTTACATGATTCTCTGAATGAAGTTTTGTTTTCATGATAAAAAATATGAATTTTAATCTTCCATTTCTTTGGCCAATCTTGAAAACACATTTCTTGCATATGAGGTCAGCACACGTTACAAAAATATAACAGTATCATAAGTCTTATACTAGTCCTTAGTTTACTGTTACAATCTACAGCTATAGCTGACACCTTTGGGCTCACCAGTGACAAAAACATGCAGACAAATATGAGAAATGTGTTTTCACACAGGCTTTTTTGTTATGTCGTCAACTGAGGTAAATAAGTCGTATTTCTTGCATGATTACACACATGCCAAGTTGAACACGCCAGAATGACTCCTTATGAATTTGCATGACTGGTAGTCATTGGCTAATGGCATCGCTCCTCGTTAAAACAACATTAGATATTATGGTCCTTACGGATTATGCAACAGGGTTGATCAGCTCACAAGTTTTTTTCTAGATATGAAAATAATCATAATAACATGTTTTTGTTACAGATTAATTGAGCTCTGGCATCAGGAGCAATCAAAATAATTTGCTTATCAAGCATGCTATCTAATCATCACTGGCTTGTATTACACCACACAAACATTACTATCTGCAATGTTGTATGTTGCCACAATGTTGGAGTAAAAACATTCAGCCAACATTGACAGTTGCCATGTGATAATAAAAAGACAATTTAAAGAAAATACAAACACATCCAATACATTACGAGAGAAACATACGAAGAAAAAAAGCTTTTTAGTAATAAACATTCCATCATCAACACAATCAAGGAAAACAACTACAGATCTGAGAAAAGCTATGGGGTTAATTTTAATGAATGATACTAACAAAGACTTCAGAACTGTTCAGAACCTGGAAAAGGGTATTCATCTTTTTAAATTTCTCCACATTTCATACAGTTTATATATTATATAAAGTCAATGCAGTGGGACATGTTGGAACTAACATACATGGCAATACATGTACCAACACTAGCAACACTTGGAATACAACTCTGTTCAGTTATTATTTTAAATTTAAAAATTGAAGGTGTTATCTATTACATTTTAATTAATCAAATTGACAACTATATGAAAATCACAGAATACCATAACGTTTCTGTGAGAAAGAAATTAAGATCTAGATACATGTTTATGTGTGTAGTAAATAAACTAATACAGTTTATACAGTTGCATGAACATAAATGCTACATGTAATTATAATTTTCTTACTGCAAAAAAAATTACCTCTGTGAAAAATAATCACAATAATAATTTACACTACCTCATGACAGTCATTTAACTGCAGACGCTAAAACCCCCAAATAGAAACACAACACATGAGACAGTCGAAAATAACATGGTGTGTTTTCACGGTTGAAGCTTCGGAGCACTATGTGTTGAAAACGACGACGATAAAACACCAAAATATAATCTAAACAAGTGTGAAACCTTCCAAATGGCAGCCCACGTAACCCGTACTTCCGTTTGTCACGTCCAACGGCACGTTGTTACTTTCAACAACAGTGTTGCACATGATTTCAAATGCGAAGGTAAACAGACTATTCGGGCAAGGTGAGCGTCAAGTGAGGAAACTTACTTTCGGTATAATTCACAACAATCTTCAGTAAAAGTACTACTTACTTTTTGGACACTTTACCGAAGCCACGGCCTCGACTGCCCACTCTATTTTTCATCATTTTGCTACCAACACGTCAAATTATGGCGGCCAGCACGTTATTTCCTACAAACCTCATGACGTCACCGACGTTCCCGCACACGCCAGTCAGAGCATACTATTTCCCTTACGACGAGTGTCGTATTTTAGAGCGTCATGCGAATCTAACAATATACGAACATTATGAAATGTCGCATTGAATTAAATGTGAAATGAATTGCAAAACAAACATCTATACAAACTATAAGCAAAGTATGAGACAATTTTGAACGTTTAATTGGCTCATTCGTCTAAAATAATTCGATGTGAACAACTGTTGATAATCGAGGTAACTCTTCCAAAGCTAACTGGATTTTCAAAAACCAATAGATTTGCATTACCGGGTACATTAATCCAGTACCCCATTTATACAAGCAAACATTAATGTATCCAGAAACCATATAATATGACTGAATATATTCTAAGATGTATGCAACAATATAGCTTTTTCTTTTTTAAAAAACGTCCCTGCACCTATGCGTTATGCATTATTTAGTGCTCAATTTGTATGTTTTCGTTTGTTTTTTTTAAGGGGATGTATTTATGTCACTAGCATTCATTTTGCCTTTCGACAACGAGAACAATGTATACATATGAGACTAGTTGATAAGAATACACCCTAACATTGTTCTGCGCTGTCAGTGGTATTTAGGGCCGCTCGCCTTCATCGTGGCGTGGAGGGGTTGGAGCGCTGAAATAGATTGATAACGACTAAAACGGCTCCAAATGATGACTTTGTGGGCTAAATACAATCTGTCATACCAAACGTTCATTTCTAAGCAACCGTTTTTGTAGAAAAGCGAATAACTGCTTCAAGAATATGAAAATTGAAGGCTACGGCGAGAGTTTACAAACGCCTTTGTGATTGACAGCTCGCTGGTGAACGTGATTCCGAGGTCACCATGACCTGACCTATTTCCTTCGTCCTGGTTGGTTATGTTCGATACGGCTTCTCACTCGTTTCCGGCGGGTGATTAAGGATTCGTCACACGTTACAAGTTAACTATTATTCTGTGTATTGCCAGCTTATTTGTAAATGTTTCAGTCGTTTTACCGTCGCCAATGTTGACTCAGTATCAAGGATTGTTCACATAACCAAATTTATAAAAATGAAATTGGAACAAACGATGCCAGGCGTAATACTCGAACGTTTCTAATGGAGTATGAATAAATATGTATGTCGAATCCATACATAACTGTAACGAGGAGCTGTGCAATTATAATGTACATACGTCTTGGAATAATGTACTTTCTTTTATATCTTACTCTGCCACGAAATTATTGTGTGAATGAAGATATATTCTGACAATGTATTCACTTCTAAATGCCATTCAAAGACTATATATTCTGACGTTTCAACGGACTTTTGAGTAGGCCATCTATATCAGTGGTATTTAGTCATATTTATTAATAAACACGGATTCTACAATGTTCATATCGTGCGCACTTTTGAGGACAGTAAGGTATACGTAATACTGGTATTTACAGATTCATTCAAAATTATGATTATCTATGATTATAAGCAGGTAACTTTACATAATTCTGGAATTAAGACGTGGAAAGGGGAATGCCAAGTACGCATTATATAATACAGAATAAAAATATACTCGATCAGTGTATCCGGTTTCTTACAGTTTCAATCATAGTGTATCTTTCGTTTTTGACATTATTTGTTTTCATGCTATAAATATGACTGTGTATATATTTTCATTTGGGAGCAGACAGCAGACCAATCTACTAGTACATGTATATCATTTATGATCTAAGGGAGGTAACTCTTGCCCGTTTTAGCTCAGAAATCAAAGACCTCAAAATGGCATAACATGTCAACACTTATATTTCAAAACTATGGTTATCTTTGATGATAATTAAGCAGGTAACTTTACATAATTCTGGAGGTAAGACGTGGAAAGTGGAATGCCAATTACGCATTACTATATTTTTAGGAAACCAGGCGAAATGGTGTATTGTGTGGTAGATTCCTTTGACAATGGGGCAAGTGAGATATTGCAGTTACATCAGTGTTTTTTCTTTCTAATTTTAAATGATTACTGTTGGTAAATAATAGATCTATTTCGAGCATAGAGACCAATGTACCATAGGAGAGTGATCAGCTGCGTCACTATATGTCGCTGACGCACCATCCTTCCAACTGGAAACATTGAAATTATGTTCCTGGCCTAGTAATGGCGATGCTCTCTGCATTCAACAGTTAGTACCAGGGTAAGGGACCGTTCATAATTTATGGCAAAGGGGTTGATGTTGATGAGTTTTATGCAGAAGTATGTACAATGTGAATGCCCCCCCCCCTAAATTTATGTACAAAGTAAGTGACCCCCTTTGCATATCATGTACAAAATCAATGCCCCCTAATGTTTAAGCATAATCTTATAATATATACCCTTGTGTCATGCAAGTTCGATCACTTAAGAACTGTCGCTGAATTTTCAAAGTTACATTCATATAATCTTATTTTCAAATCTCTTACCTCTAAATTTGTTTATTTTTGTCAAACATTTCCAAAATCCAGGTATTTTTACTGCTTTTCACAATCGCGGCATGGACGCCCTCTCACCGTCAACACAAGTGACCCAGAAAGCTACGTCACATAGGTTCGATCATATGATTGGCTGGCTTGTCGCGTAAACAGGATGACTTGTAAGGACGATCTCTTGTGTCAAATTCAGAGCTAGAGCAGTCCCAAGTAATTTTATGGTATTTATGTCCATGAAACGTTCATTTTATGTTTCAATACTTCTAAAAACGACGAAAAGTCACCAATATTCAGCTTATATACAAGTATTATGCAGGGAATTATTCTTCAGGCACATCAAACCTCAGAATGTAGACAAACACCACGAACTGGCTTGCAGAAACGTAAATGTGTTCTGTGCTGACATGTAGGGTGGGTACATTGTGCCCAGGTTGTATTTATCAATGAGGCAATAGCTCGAACTTCATCAGGTACAAATTCACGGAAATTCTCAAAAAGCATTAAGTTTTCTATAAGAAATGGCCCTTACTTGTTTCCAAAGTTTTAAATTTTGACAAGGATATCACGTGTCTGGACATGTTACAATTAGACCAGCAACGTAAACAAACAGAAGGCAGGGGTGCTGACAGTTTACAACGTGTGAAATTTATACTGTTTACATTTTTTGAGCTGATAAAGTTACATTATTGATCTAGGGTTAAAAAGTAGTTGTTTGCTGAAAATTAGCTATAACTTACATTTGGTAACTTGACACGAAACATTTTCCGGTCCAAACGAATGAAAGTGGTGTCACCAGAAGATCAAAGCTGCAGATATCGTAAGTTATCGCTACGAAGTATCATGACGATCGAACTTGTGTGACTTGACGATATATTTTATGTACAAAATTGATGACCCCCCCCCACCCCACCCTAGTTCATGTGTACAAATTTGATGACCCTCTACCTCCCCTGAACAAAATGGGTGACACACACCCACACACCCCTAAAATCTTCAAAATTCCCCTCCACCCCTACCGATAAATTATTAACGGTCCCTAAACAGACAACCAATCTGATTGGACGTTCCCAATCACGCAGAGCGCTACAGAGCATACAGGATTTTGCTGTGAGGTGACTTGTCAAACGCATTCACTGATGCACTGTACACTAGGGAGTTTGATTGTTTGTTATTTAACGCCTTACTCAGCAATATTCCATCTATATGGCGGCGGTCTGTAAATAATCAAGACCAGACAATCAGATGACTGTCGCAGGCCCGTTGGTCAGAAAGTCATGCATGTTCGGTCACACTACACGCGCGCGCACGCACATACACAGAGAAAATTAGGAGTCTGTTGTAGTCATGTATTCGGGGCAGATAATCGAGTAAGTGACATGCTATCAACCAAGTCACCGGTCTGACCATCTGACCGATGAAGTCTCCTCTCAATAGCTTGGGTTGTCTGTACTTCTAAAACACGCTTTTCTTGGGAAATGTAGTGTGTCAGATCATCAGATGCCAGACAATCCAGTGATCAACAGCAAGAACATCGATCTACGCAGTTGGCATACGATGACACGTGTCAACCAAGTCAGCGAGCCTGACCACCCGATCCCGTTACTCGCTTCTTAAGATAACCATGGGTTGCCGAAGACCAATTCTAACCAGGATCTTAACGGGTGTGTTGAAAATGACGTTTGCTTGTGGCATAATGGGAAGGACGTGAGGCAGATGAATTCCCTCTGTGTATACGTTGTGCCGTTAACTTGCCCTGAGCGAGCACCAAGTGTATCCTAGTGGTATGGGGGATGGCGGACCACGTCATTACACTCCCGCCACCAAACCTGTACACTTCCTGTATGCAGTTTCGAGCATAACGTTCCCTACGACGTACCCGTAAACACACCTTTCCGTCTCTGCGGAGAAGAGAAAAACGTGACTCGTCACTTCGGCGTGACGGGCGAACGCTTTAACCACAAGGCTGCTCCACTGCAGCTGTAGATGTGGCCGTGGTGAGTCTTTCAGGTAAATGACGAACCCGCAAGAACCTGTCTTGCGATGCTGTTGTGGCACATGGCCTCCCGGATCTTCGTAGTCAGGTTTTGACCCCTGCGTCGGATAACGGTCCCATAGTCTTGGAGTGGTGTTTGGCGATACGTGGAAAACAGACTACGGTCGAAGCCCAGTCCCCAGTCTGCAGTCGGCCGATGCTTTGACCGTCTAGTGGTGGCATGTTTGAGAATTTCATATTTGGTATTCATTTTATAATGAATATTGGCAATGTCCCTCAGATATTTTGAATTTTTCTACTTTTGCGTTTCGTTTTGGCAGAGTATACTAATATTTAGGAGATATAAATACTGTGTTTGAAAATCAGAAGTATACTAGCCACATAAAAAAACTGTGCATTGTCAAAATATTATCCCAGTTTATAAGTACGATAACAATGTCAAAGGTACATATAAACTTTAATGGATGGATCATGAGACCACAACAAGTCGGGAGAATTTCAGTTGAAAAGTCAATCACAATGACGTCACGAGTCCACAAGCGGGACAGGGGAACGACCATGTCACAAGCTCAATAACGGGTATGTCCACCATCGGCATTGAGAACAGCAGTGCATCGACGACGCATAGAGCCTATCAAACGTGCAAGAAAGGCTTGTGGGATGTCACGCCAGATTCTCTCAAGTTCTGTTGCAAGGTCAAGGACGTTATCTGGCGGATGAGGAAGACGGCGTAGACGTCGATCCACCTCGTCCAAAACATGGTCTATCGGGGAGAAATCCGGTGAAATTGCAGGCCAAGGCAGTAAGTCAACGTTGTGGTGTTGCAAGAAATCCATAGTAACCCTTGCCGTATGAGGGCGGGCATTGTGCTGTTGGAATGTTAACCCAGGGCCATGACGTTGCAGAAAAGGAATTGCCACAGGTCGAAGAATCGGATCCCTGTAGCCCACACCAGTTAGGTTGCCCTGAACAATCACCAAAGGAGTTCTTTGGCGTGCTGTTATTCCACCCCAAATCATCACGGAACCACCACCAAAGCGATTCCTCTCCAAAACACAGGCCTGTGCATAACGTTCTCCCACGCGTCTATAGGCACGTTGACGTCCATCACTATGGGAAATGTTAAACCTGGACTCATCTGTAAAAACAACATTTTTCCACCAAAACAAGGGTCTGCGGACATGATTTCGGCACCACATTCGGCGAGCTTGTCGATGACGTTGTGTCAGGATAGGCCGTATGGCGGGACGTCGTGGCCTGATCCCGTGATGACGTAAACGTTGTCGAACTGTGTTGGGGTGGATACGGCGAAGTCCTGGGATGGTTCGGGCAGTCATCACTGCAGTCTGAAACCTCTGGCGAAGATGGGTCACCCTTATCCATATGTCCTGTCTTGGCGTTGTTACACGTGGACGTCCAGAACGTGGCCGATCGATGACGTCATTTGTGTTCAGGTAGCGTCTCAACAGTGCAGAAATGGTGTTCCGGTGGCAGTGGAAATGTGCAGCCACTTGTTGTTGAGACATTCCCCCACGGATCATCCCAATGGCCTCATGACGTTGTGCAGACGTGAGCCTTGCCATGCTATGCGTTTCAATAGCCGTTTAATTTTTTGAACGATCGCAAGGGCAGGGGTTGAGCTTTCCAATGTGACAGTATTGTGTGGCATTCATTTGCTCTGTTTCTCTTTCCCGGAATGCACGTGCAACAACGTATTGCACGTCTCAAGGACGAACCCACTGACGTCACGGAACGTGGCACGTGCATGCATGTTGGATACATGTCACTAATCTCTGAGTTGAAATCCTTATGTGTCTACACAGGTTTGATAAATTTAGATTTTATTTTTTTCTATGCACAGTTTCTTTATGTGCCTAGTATATATAATAATAATAATAATAATAATAATAATTGATTTATTGAGCGCCTATTTCCAAAAGATATTGCTCAATGGCGCTATACAGAGAAAAGATTGTAGACAATGTCTATGGAAAAGAGAGTTTGAACAGATGAGTTTTGAGGGCAGTTTTGAAAGCGTCAGCAGATTCTATTTCTTTTAGGGCGAGTGGTAGAATGTTCCAGAGATAGGGGGCTGCAGCAGAGAACGCTCTTGATCCCATGGCTGTTTTGACGTGAGGCTGTGTAAGCAGTGGGGAGTTTGACGAGCGGAGCAATCGGCTTGGAGCATGGAGATGAATGAGGCTTTTAAGATATTGAGAAAACATGTTTTCATAGATGCAGCTGTGTGTAAGAAGAAGTGTGTATTGAATTCTGCTTGATACAGGAAGCCAGTGAAGAGTTTGGAGGATAGGTGTCACATTTTGGTAGCGTGGTGCACGGGCAACAACACGGGCGGCTGAATTCTGAATCCGTTGGAGTTGTGAAAGGAGCTGTTGAGGAATGTTGTAATAGAGGGAGTTGCAGTAATCAAGTTTAGAGAGAACAAGGCTGGTCATGAGAAGCTGGGCGGTGTTGAAGTCTGAGAGGGTTCGGATCTTGCTAATATTGAAGATATGGTAGAAGCATCCTTTGCTGAGTGATTTGATTTGATTTTCTAATGACATTGTTGATTGAAAGATGACACCAAGATTTTTTGCAGAGTCGGACTGAGTGATAACATCTTGTCCAATTTCAAGAGATAAACTGTCAGGCACTTTGGAAAGCTGATGCCTGGATCCGATGGTCAAGAACTCAGTCTTTGTGTCATTCAATTTCAGAAAGTTCAAGGTCATCCAGTCTCTTATTTCAGCAATACATTGTTGTATCTTCAGTGCACAACCTTGAGCAAGGTTAGGCTCCGCTGACAGATATAACTGATTGTCATCAGCATAGAGATGAAATTTCAGTGAGTGCTTTCGGACAATGTCACCAATGGGAAGAATGTACAGACTAAACAGTAAAGGTCCAAGGACAGATCCTTGGGGAACGCCATAGTGGAGTGGTGATGCAGTGGAGAGTACAGATTCCACTTTGACGTACTGAGACCTATCAGATAGGTAAGAACGTATCCAGTCAAGGACAATTCCATCAATACCGACTCTGACCTTCAGACGCTGCAGAAGAATTTGGTGATCAACAGTATAAAAAGCACTGGAGAGATCCAAAAGAACATGGCGAGTCACCCGACGCTGGTCCATGGCAGTCATGATGTCATTGTGTACTTGGACTAGCGCAGTCTCTGTACTGTGCTTTGACCTGTACGCTGATTGGTAGGCTCCATCAAGTCAAGTTGCTGAAGGTGTTCCACAATTTTGTTTGCAACTATCTTCTCGAGACATTTAGACAGAAAGGACAAATTTGACACTGGCCTGTAGTTTCTGAAATTGTCTGCATCAAGGGTTAGTTTCTTCAACAGTGGTGTGATCACAGCCTGCTTATAGACACTTGGTACTTCACCACAACTGAGAGAAGAGTTGAAAATGTCCAATACAGCTGGTAGTAGATGAGAAAACGTGGATTTTGTGAGCCAGGTGGGCAGAACATCAAGAGATGATGTTTTCACTTTTGCTGCAGAAACGACCAGCTTCAAATCAGGACCTGTAAGAGTTCTAAATGTGGTGAGTGGTTGTCCGGTGAAAGGAACCTCAACAAAGACCATGGTGCACAGTTCCTGTCTACTTTGCAAATCACTCCGAATGTCTTCAATTTTCCTGGAGAAGAACGTCACAAACTCCTCTGCTAAGTTCTACAGATCACTGTGTTCAGGAAGACAACAGTTTGAATTTCGCTTGAGGATGTTACTGAGGAGAAGGTGTAGTTGCCGCGGATTGTTTTACTCTCCTTAATGTTTTTCGAGATGAATGCCTGCTTTGCGGAACGTAATTCACTGTTCACCATATTGCGAGCATTACAATACATTTAATGTGATCATATACCTCTGAATGACTTTAGAAAAAGTATTTATCTAGTAGTTTCATAGCTAAAACAATACAGACATCACAAGTAATTAGTTTGATTTTTGCATTATATCGATCCATATTTTGGACATACACCGATAATGTTGTTTAACGTGGTGTAGGTAGTTCTAAGTGTGTGGTTCTTCTGTCTCGATGCGCAGACCGTCGTGGCGCCTGGCCTTGGACAAAGAGTATTACAACGTCCATATTTATGCCTTTTTGTTAATCTTATCAATTCCACGTCCTCAAACATTATTAAATTTAAGTATGTATTTTTAACCTTTAACTTTACCGATCGGCACACCAATAATGTTATTATCATGTATTGTGTATTATTATAGTACCACCTTGTGAAATGTATTTATCATTTATATATTGATGTATAACAAAATGTGTATATGCTGATAATGTACGTCCTATGGGCCTGTGACCTTTGACTTGGATGAATAAACGATACATTTCCACCGCTTTCGGCGGATGGAAATCCTCTTGTAAAATTTCTGCCTACAGTGTAACCAAATTCTATACATTATACCAGAGTCCATTCTCATTCCAGCAGTATCTTCCTTCAGCAAATTAGGAGTCACTGGAATGGAGTTTCGGTAAACACGAACGCCGAAGTGAACTCTCCGACATACTGCAGAGTGTTTATAAAATCACGTTACTCGTATGTTAGAGATTACGTCTCGCCTATTACACCCGTTTTGTTTAAACTCAGCATACATGAATCCCTGAATTAGGCAAACTCAGTCACAACGGTCATTGTACTTATCATTTCTGACAATTTCTTTTGGTTACAATGAAAACAATTAAAAAACAATGGATTTATACATAAATTATACGATCCCTAAATCAATGAAAACCTTCCAAAATTCGTCGTACCCACGTCGGTGAACACGCCGCTTTGTGACAGTCGCTTACTCATAGTGATGTCATATACGTAGATACAACACATTGTTACTGTACTTTATACTAGATCTATATCTGGTATTTTCCATTAAGATGAATTTTATGAATAAAAACATACTCGATCAATGTATCATGTTACTTACAGTTTCAATCATAATGTATCTTTCGTTTTTCACAATATGTTTTTTCATGCAATAAATTTTACTGTGAATATATTTTCTTTTGGGAGCAGACAGCAGACCAATCTATACCATTTATGATCTAAGGGGGTAACCCTTGCCTCTTTTAGCTCAGAAAACAAAGACCTCAAAATGGCATAACATGTCAACACTTATATTGGCCGTTCTGCTTTCAGTGAGAAAAAGGAAGAGGGTATATCTAATGACAATAACTAATTCTAAAATTCGTTTCACAAAAGAAAAAACGTGATTTGTTTTTTTGCAAACTTCCCCTTAACAAGTCTACCACTCGTTTCGTACAATCATTAAATGTACAGTTAACATTCAGTTAATCTTATATTACACCAATCTGCACTTTTTCAAGGAGAATATGTTTTGGTCCTGCCAACAATTAAATCGAAAGAATCCTATCAATGCGCAATGTCTCCGCCCGTAGGGCGATCGCTGGTCCAAGGGAACTTACTCTAAATACAATACCCACAGTTCCTTTTCCAAGATGGATGCGCCCATCAACAACGTGAAATAGCAGTGCACTTGGATACGTCGACGTGGGATTTCAGCATTGTTCCCTGAGTCACTGTACGCCAATCCGTCATCATGGATGAAGGAGAGAGCAGCACAGGCGCATCTGGATCAGATGCAGAGTTCGTACCCCGGGAAGATCTCATTAAGAGCGTGATGGAATTGGGCTGCAGCAGAAATGCGGCAATTAAAGTGAGTTTCCTCGGCTTCACGTTGGGCGTTCGTTCGGTTGCAGGGAGTTAGACACGACTCACTTCAGTTATATTTCCACACATTTAGTGCAACTCCTTTTTTCACCTTTGTTAAGACAGCATCAACCGACAAGTGAATTAATGTTAATGTCTTTACCAGTTGGATACCCTCATCGTTAATGCTGCGTTTACACTAGGCCACGATGGCAACGATTCGGATTTTTATTGAAAATCGTAACACATCTTATAAAGCGTGATCGCAAGTGATCTCCTTGATAGTGAGACATCTTGATAATCATGGCAAAATATTAAACATATTTAAACATGCCACGATCATGCTGATAGTTTTAGCTATTGTTTCAGAACGTGGTACTGCGTAGTACTCAGAGTGTGGGCGTAGTGAGCAAATCGTATAAAAGCGTGAGAAAGCGTAAAAAAACACAATGGAACGTGTTGGGATGATCCCCAAGATCTATTGTGATTCCATAAAGATCTATTACAATTCTATAAAGATCTTGCTCTGTGTCACGTTGTATACAATTTATCTCGATCTAATATGATTCAAGGCATTTCTATGAACTTTTTAACATGCAATACACGATCTATCACGATCTATTACACTCCCTTGTGCTGCGACACGTTCTTCTGCGTTTGGTGTGCTTTCCTATAAATTGTGTCACGCTGCCAGACAAAATCCATTGTGAACTAACAGCAAGCCACATCACACCATTTTATCATCATTTTCAATGTAGAATATAGGAGATGGGTTCGAAAAAGGGCAAAGGAAAGGGCTCCAAAGTAACTCACGCTGCCCAAGAATCGTGTTACAATCGTGTTTATTCATCCTTCTTTGTCTAAACAGAAGGTAATAAAAGGTAGCAGATCGTCATGAACGTCTCAAAATGTACGAAATCGCAACAGATCGTATACTCAAATCGTGATGGCCAGTACAAAGTCGCTACAGATTGTCAGATATTCGCAACAGATCTTCACTGAAGCATAACTGATCGCATATCCAATCATAAGAATGCAGTACAGATCCTATCAGAGCCTATGAAATCGAAAAATATACAAAGTGTTCCACGATCATGAAGATCTACTACGATATTTAGTTTGCGTTGGATCGGCCTCATCGTGGCCTAGTGTAAACGCAGCATAAGGGACCATTCATAATTTATGGCTAGGAGGGGTGATGATAATTATTATAGAAAGTGAGTGACACCCCACCCCACCCCCTGCATGCCATGTACAAAATCAATGACCCCCTTCCCATAATTTTTAATCATAATTTTTCAATATTTTTATGTACAAAATTGATGACCCCCCTACAACTGTTTTTTCTGGACCAGACACAGTTTTGAACAGATACCATTATATAGCTGGAATGTCAAAAAGTGCACATGCTTTTTAGAAACTGTGTGACGTAATATTTCAAGAGTCTGATCATTTAATTTGCAGACATGATTTCATATGCCACATCCGAAACTTCTGTTTAGACATCAAAAGTGAGTGAGTTAGGTTTTATGCACCTTTTAGCATTATTCCAGCAATATGATTGCTGGGGAACACCAGAAATGGGCATATTATATTGTTCCCATGTGGGGAATCGAACCCAGGCCTTTGGCGTGACGAGCAAATGCTATAACTGCTGGGCTACCCCACTGCCCCCGACATCAAAGTATCTCATCATAATAACCATGTTAAGATCAAATGTATACATTTTATGTGCAATATGTGTTGCTGCCAGCCTGTTATTTCGTCTATGAAATATTTATTCTAACTAATTGTGTGTTTCACTTTCAGAGTTTATTCTATACGGGCAACTATAACGCAGAGTTGGCAGCAGCTTGGTTATTTGAAAACTCTGACAAGAATCTTGATGGCCCTCTGGAGGTAATTACAACGGGCTTCTTCATTTCAGACAGGGCTCAATGTAAATTCAAGACATCTTGTCATGCTATTATAAGTTGGATGTGAGCACCTCAACATGAGGTTTCGTTTAACATGGTCATGATGATATCAGTGCCAAATATTCAAATTCATGGATTATAAGAGTTTCCCCATGCAAGTTATCATTACTTGTAGTACCCTCACCATCATGTTTTAGTTTTGCAAAATGTGAGTGAGTGAATTGAGTTTTACGCCACACTCAGCAATATTCCAGCTATATGGCAACGATCTGTAAATAATCGAGTCTGGATCAGACAATCCAGGGAGCAACAGCATGAACATCGATCTACGCAATTGGGATACGATGACATGTGTCAACCCAGTCAGCGAGCCAGACCACCCGATCCCGTTAGTTGCCACTTACGACAAGCATGGGTTACTGAAGATCAATTCTAACCCAGACCTTCACGGGTTTGCAAAAAGTGACTTACTGTCAGTGAATTCTCTACTAGTATAGAGAAAAAGCGCTAATATAATCATGTTAATATATGGTTTAATTAAATGCAATGTTAAACATGTTAAGCTCCAGAAAAATATGAGAAAATTGGGACTTTCAAACCCATTTTTAACTTAAAAGTATTGATTTGGTTAGCCAATTACACAAATCAAAATCACTTGAAATATATTTATGACAAAATATCAGTTTTTCGAGGTTGTCCCCATATATAGTTTATTTAAGATACTGATAAATCCCAGGAGTAATTGTTGAAATATGTTGACATTCATCTCGACTGCTTCAGAAGCTGTATTAGACTAAGGCTTAGTCTCTGAATATATATATTTTGATAGTAACAACAAGCCAATTTATATTGAAAAGGAGCCCTAGGGAGACCAGAGATTCAGAGGAAATCTAGACTTGCTTTATTTAGGGCTTTAGCACTGCAGAGAGGGCTTGGCAGTAGGGAAATTAATGTGGTTCAGGGACTGTGAGACAGACTAAAGCTGTATTTGAACTGATGTCTTCTCATTGCATCCAATTGTTACCCAACAGGATGATGTTGAGAGCGGTAGCGACAGTGATGTTGAGTTCATGTCTGGTGGCGCCCTCTACAAGATGGTGTTTGTGGTAAACGGAGAGCTACAGATGGGGGTGGGCAAAGTTGCAGCCCAGGTGGCCCTCGCGTGTCTGGGGTTGTTCCGTAAACTCATCGATGAGCAGATCAAGTATGCAGAGATGCTCATCAGCTGGGAACAGTTTGGGTTAGTTGGTGCTCCAAACTTCACTGATGTGTTTTTTAGATTGAAAATTACAGTTACGAAAATTTCACTTCCAGAAATATAACTAAACAAAACATTTTCAAATGGGAACATTAATAGTGCAAAACTAGGTAAGAGTTCCTTATCAATAAATTGTAGATTTATTTCATTTTTACATGTATTACTAAATGCAATAAAATCTGTAATTAAATGCAATAAAATCTTAAATTAAATATTTAAAAAAATGATAATTTTGAACAGATAAAATGTAAATGTTTCACAGAGAGACAAAGATTGTAGTAAAGGGGGAAAACATTGGCCAGCTGAAAGAACTCCAAGCCAAGGCAGCTGGTCTTGGTCTGCCCAACTACACAGTACAGGATGCAGGTAGAACACAGGTAAGTCAGCAATTCCGTGTATAGCTGGATCTCAACTTGCTTTTGTTTAACAGTTTGACGCATCAGTTATCTCACAACATATCAGCTTCATGTCTAAGGAAAACTGTACAGATACATGTCTCAGATGTTTACTACTGTGGTGAAACTCACAATCACAGGTGTAGTGCTAAAAACCCTAGAAACATTGAGATTCACACCCATGATGATAGGTGTGAAGCATGCTTAAGGGATGCAACTCTGCATACCAACTTACAGCACCGTAGATGACTGAATGTCCATGCTTTCAAGATAGGTAACACAAGGTGACTAGATACTGATGATCATTTACAGCATTTTGTTTTCATCTCAACTATGACAATTTTGAAGAAGTTATGTTATTCCTTCAGAACACATTTATACTTTTTGTCAGACAATTAACATCCAGAGTTTCTTCACCAACAACTGTCCAGTTTATCTACTGTATGAATGAATGTTAGGATTAACACGGTAATGCCAGGAAATGATGATTTTGCATAGTACATGATCGTTCAACTGTTTTTATACTCCAAATGTTGTATTCAGTGTATAGATAGTCATGACCATTTTATCTCGAACTCCAAACTCACTGCCCATGGCATGTTCAAAATGTGGGTTATCTGTTATTGTTTTGTAAGTTCTTATTTTTTATTTTTGAATATTCAGCATGTTCAGAGGCTTTGAACATTGTTTTTTCAATGCCTGTATGTTCTTGCAGTGACAATGTACGGAATTAAAAACACAAAACAAATCCTTTACAAATTTCCTTCCTCCATGGTATTCTGGGTGAAAATTCATCCTGAATAACCTATGGTGTTCATAACTGGAGATTCATCTGATTGATCAGGCTTGGTGACTTGGCTGGAATTTAGGCGGCATACCCAGTGGCAATAATCATTGTTATTATATCAATCACTGGATTATCTGGTCTAGGTTCAGTTGTTTACAGCGTACTCATGTAGTCTCAGAACAGCTGAGACAATAATGCACTAATAACCAACAAATATGTCTCTGTTCCTTTCAGATTGCAGCTGGCTCCACGACAGTACTGGCCATTATAGGAAAGGTGGATGCTGTTGATCAAGTGTCTGGAAAACTGAAGCTGTTATAACATCCCTTCATCCCCACTGTCACATGACCATGCAGCATCCAGTGTCACATGACCATGCAGCATCCAGTGTCACGTGACTTGCAGGAAGATGATGGAGCAAGGCTGTCATCAACTCAGTGTCACATGACCATGCAGCATCCAGTGTCACATGACCACGTAGCACCCAGTGTCACATGACTTGCAGGAAGATGATGGAGCAAGGCTGTCATCAACTCAGTGGGAGATTTGCAGCCTTGGTCTCACCTCAGTTGTTCACAGTCACCTCTTGTTATAGCCTGTGCTACTGAACATGAACCATTTGAGAATTTGTTTCAAAAGAAAACAATAAACATTTTTGTCTCATTTTATCATCAGTTTAGATCGATATCGAATCATTTATTATTATCAAAGCATCATTCATCATTTAATCACAGTAAAAAGGTTTCAGTTATGATTTGTGCCAGTAAAGAAATTATCATATTTTTTATATTATAATTTTGTTAAAATCAATTTTGCAATTATACTCTAGGACATAATTGTCTTGCTATCTTTTAGAGTGCTCCTTGGGAGTTTATACATCTCTCCATTTGAAGATGTGATTGAGGGCATAATTGCTGCTTCTGGCTAGGGCTCAATGTCAACAAGCCATGACTCCCTGAAGTCTGTTTTAACAAACCCATAATGAAATATTGAATGCCAATGTTTTAACAGTGCTGGTGTTTTCACTGAGACCCTCCATTGTTTGTAACTCACTGTGAACATCTTTATGGGGTCATTGCCATCCATGCAGTGCTGTAATGATGCACAAATGAAAGATACATCTTTGGTGAATTGTTAAAGACTTTTCAAACTATCCACATCACCAAAGGTCCGATATGTATGCAACTATTGTTTATGAGAAACCACTTGATTCAACTTGTTTTTGTTTCCTTTACATATCTTGGTGTTTATTAAAATTTGACATGAGTTTTACCTTCAACATATTTATATGCACAATAACAGGGTTTGACAAATATTTATTTAGTTAGCAAACAAACGTCGATGGCACAACCGAAGCAAAGCAAAAACAAGTATTTTTAGTTTTATCTTTTGCATTTCACTTTTTCTAATTTGTCCATACACCTGCTAAACAGCAGCAAAGAGAGATCCTGTTGCCATTTTAACCAGCTGGCCCACCTCAGGTTCAAAAATGAAGTGTTGGTTGATGTTTGAAGTAATTTGTTTTGTGGGTCTTCATCTTAAAACCCTGCATATTGAGTCATCTCAATAGTAATGGCAATACTCCTATCATCATGCATTTCAAATGTAAATAGAATAAAACACTGTTCATTATAATGATCTGCATCATGTTTTTAATATATAAATAATAAATATATATAAAAATGGAGATTGTTCATCACAATCCACATGATGACATAAGGTAAATATGGCAGGCTTTGTGGGCTGGTCAGTAACTGACTGACTGACTATGGTTTTACGCCGCTTTTAGCAATATTCCAGCAACATCACGGCAGGGGACACCAGAAATGGGCTTCACACATTGTACCCATGTGGGGCTTCAAACCCGGGTCTTCGGCATGGCGAGCCAATGCTTAAACCACTAGGCTACCCCACCGGCCCGCTGGTCAGTAAAGGTAATGAAGCCTAACAAATTGTGTCCTCATACCCTGATGGTGAGGACATTGCTTGGTTGGTTGGTTGTGTCCTCATACCCTGATGGTGAGGACATTGCTTGGTTGGTTGGTTGTGTCCTTATACCCTGATGGTGAGGACATTGCTTGGTTGGTTGGTTGTGTCCTTATACCCTGATGGTGAGGGACATTGCTTGGTTGGTTGGTTGTGTCCTTATACCCTGATGGTGGGGACATTGCTTGTTGGTTGGTTGTGTCCTTATACCCTGATGGTGAGGACATTGCTTGGTTGGTTGGTTGTGTCCTTATACCCTGATGGTGAGGACATTGCTTGGTTGGTTGGTTGTGTCCTTATGGTGAGTTGTTGTTGGTTGTGTATACCCCTGATGGTGGGGACATTGCTTGCTTGATTGGTGGTGAGGGACATTGTTTGCTTGGTTGGTTGGTTGTGTCCTTATACCCTGATGGTGAGGACATTGCTTGTTGTTGGTTGGTTGTGTCCTTATACCCTGATGGTGAGGGACATTGCATTTTGGTTGGTTGTGTCCTTATACCCTGATGGTGAGGGACATTGTTGGTTGGTTGATTGTGTCCTTATACCCTGATGGTGAGGACATTGCTTGACATTGTGTCCCTTACCCTGATTGGTTGGTTGGTTGTGTCCTTATACCTGATGGTGAGGACATTGCTTGATTGTGTCCTTATTGATTATGGATTGTGTCCTTATACCCCTGATGGTGAGGGCATTGCATTGCTTTTGAGGACATTGGTTGTGTCCTTATACCCCCTGATGGTGAGGACATTGCTTGGTTGATTATTGTCCTTATACCCTGATGGTGGGGACATTGCTTGGTTGATTGTGTCCTTATACCCCCTGATGGTGAGGACATTGCTGATGGTGCATTGTTGGTTGGTTGGTTGTGTCCTTATACCCTGATGGTGAGGACATTGCTTGTTTGATTGGTTCCTTATGTCCTTATGATGGGTGAGGGCATTGCTTGCATTGTTGGGTTGTGTCCTTATACCCTGATGGTGGGGCATTGGTTGGTTGGTTGTGTCCTTATACCCTGATGGTGAGGACATTGCTTGCTTGGTTGGTTGGTTGTGTTGTGTACCCCTGGTATACCCATTGCTGATGTCCTGAGGACTGATGGTGGTTGATTGTGTCCTCATACCCTGATGAGGACATTGCTTTTGCTTGATTGGACATACCCTGATTGGTTGGTTGGTTGTGTCCTTATACCCTGATGGTGAGGACATTGCTTTGTTGGTTGTGTCCTTATACCCTGATGGTGAGGACATTGCTTGGTTGATTGTGTCCTCATACCCTAGGCTAATAGTGTGAGACATTGCTTGGTTAATTGTGGCCTTAAACCGTGATGGCATTGGACATTGCTCATACTTTAATGACTGGTTTGTCTGGTCCAGAGTTGATTTTATAAAAGGTTATAGCATGAGCATAGCATTAAAAGACAAACCAGCACAAATAAGAAGACATTATTTCCTAGCAACGCAATAAACACCATTACAATTATAAAGTTAAATGTCTGAAGAAAGACAAGACACCACATTCACATTAAGATGTATTTCTGAAATATACAATTATGCTCATGGCAATAAGTTAAAACAGCATACTGAAGCTAGCAATGACACAATGACAGATTCACAGACTGAAGTTATTTTTTCTTTTGTAATAAATTTCATTTCATCTGATGTACAAATTAAAACAATAACATTCAGAAAATGGGAAAATCCATCAAATTAGCTTAACGTCTTCATCATTTTTACATAATATTTCATTAAACAAAAGTACCTTTCAAAAATTCATTTGTTCCCAATCAACAATAATTTTATTACCCACAAAAAGTGATCCATCTTGTTCGGCTTGTGAAGGAACTGGTCAGCATTTTGTACATTCTACAATTACTTCCAGATCTGGCAGTCGCAGATTTACGAAGGTACATATGATTTCAAACTAAAGAATTCTTTGTTGCACAACTGGTTCATTGTCCAATGTGTAAAGTGCATAAAAACAACTGTCTCATTTGCCTTATTTCCACTCAAACAATAGCACCAAAAAGCTGGTTGAACAAAACAAAGCACAGAATCCCTAAACATATTGCCACATCAACCCAATTTCTAGCCTAAAGTAACAGCAACAAAAACTGTAATTTCATTTATTCTTCATTCATGGCTATTTCCATATAATCAGAATTATGGCAGTGTTGATGTTCTTCACTCCTGATTGCAGCATAGATAGGTACTAGTATATAAGTTACCCAGGAGTATATATTTTGGAGTTTTCATGGTGGGAGGTTGGTTGGTGGTTCATGAATAGGAAGGCTGTATTATTGATGTGGACACACAGTGCCATCCTTTCAAAATAGGGAACCAAATACACAGGAACATTGTGTTTAACAATATGGAAGATCAACCCAATAAACTTCATTAAACAAACCCACCAAACTTCAAATATTTTTAGACCAGTAACCTTGATAACATACACTATCAACCATCTCACATTTAACTCATGCCTAAACAAGGTTTGCTTCCAATCTTGTCTTTAGGATTTCTCCATAAGGTTTCAATAATATTGACAGTTTCACTGTCATTGAATAACCAGGGTCAGTAACATTGGCTGTCATGGTTACAGTGGGATTCCACATATACGAAGTCAGTTCATAATTGATGCAAATATATCATATGGAGGATTGTCAAATAGTGATTTTTATACCATGCTTCTCGCGATTTGGAAATTGAACTTAATAAACTGGGTAACAGTTAGCCTTAGAATACGCTGCATGAGGGACCGTACATGTGGTCTCTGGTTGCATGAGGGCTGAAAAGTGACCAAAGTGATGAGTATTGACTGCAATCTGTGAACATCCATTGTTATTTTATCTGATCCAATACACCAGCACAGGTCATTGTACATATTGGCATGTGGTCATGAGTATCAATAAGCTGGAAAACAACTCTATTTGCTATGGGCCCTATAGCTCACCTGAACTTATGAATATTTTCAACACAAGTCAAAATATGAATATTCTAAGTAGATACGAGGTCAGTTTCTGACAGGTGAGTGAGTGAACAAGTGAGGTTTGACTCTGCATTTTGCAGTATTCCAGCAACAAAGATGCCAACCCTAATTTAGCACAATTAGTATTTTGGCCCAAACTTATGCAAAAATAAATATTTTTTGGTCAAAATTAGTATTAAACTTTCCAAAGAATTTTCATATTAAATAAAGAATTGATAGATATTTTAAGAACTTGTTAACAGTGTACTCGCCTAAATCAGTAGTAAGTATCCACATATACCTTGATACTGAATAAAAGGTGTTTGCAATTTATTGTGTATGGTACATATGCTATTTGATAATTTAATTTCATGTAATCTTTTAAAATTTTTGTATGTTTTTACTGCTATCATAGTCACATATTTTGTGTTGCTTTTTTCGTAACGAATACGATAAAATCGTATGAGTTGGCACCTCTGCAGCAATATCACAGCGGGGACACCAGAAATGGACTTAACACATTGTACCCATGTGGGGAATCGAACCTGGGTCATTGGCGTAAGGATCAAACACTAGGCTACCCCACCAGTCAAGTTTCTAATAGGTTAATACAAGAAAGGCTGATGGTTGACACAATTTCACATGGGCCTTGTTCAGGTGAGCTAACAGCTTTAGTCTGGATTATGCAATAGGATAAGTTTACAGTGTCTTGACATATATAGGTACTACACAGATTAACAATTATCTGAAGTATCTTGCAAGATGTACACTTAATAGATACATTACTAGGATTATTGGAGGTACTGTATAGCTGGGATACACGCAAAAGAGACCCCCACAACATTAGGACACAATCAAGGTTTTTATCCAAGGTTTTTAATAAAAATTAGGATGACAGCAAACATTTTATCTTTTTCTTTGAACTAACAGTTCAAGACATCTGTGTACATTAACTCTTGTTTTAATTCACACACAGCTCCAATGTTTGGTAGGACTACGTAAAGGTGTATTTTATCAAGTAAAGAATGGTTTTGTTGTCTGCTGCCTTGGGATGAAAATCGGATTTTTTCAATTAGGGCCTAGTCTTAATATATATGTGAGGTACTGTTCATGTCAATTTTAATGCTGGTAAACATTGAAAAGGTAAACGGTCAATAACGTGAAACTCCCACATATGTTAGTGGACAATACTGTGATCAATACAACTCATACAATCCCTTTGCCTCTACCAGTAATAAGTATACATAGTGCCTAGTAACATAACATTTGGTGAGTGTATTCACATGACAGGTACATATCAACAATAAACCCCCATCTTCATGGCTGTGGTACTACTTTCACACATGGCCACTGATAGGGTTTCAATTCAGTTTGTATCCCCATAATTGAAATTAAATCAATCAAAATTGACAAATAATCTGAGACCTAGTTATGAAATGTATTCAACTCTTTCACCCAAATGTCACACTTGCAATAGGATAACTCCAACTGATACATACACTTCCCTACAATGCCAAGAATCCTAGATAAGTGAGGCTCATATTCATATTTGTTTAAGAATAATGAACACCTAAAGTTTAGAACATCCACTTTCATTTTCGACAAGGCTGTACACGTTTTATTCCTCACTATTTCAGTCATGTCACAAACTGTCAGCTTTTTGGAAGAAAAATGTCATAGATGTTTATCCTTAAAGTGAAACCCACAGGCATGACTTTCAGTGCTTACTGAACACTTGCCGTACATATTTAGGGATACAATCTAGACAGAAGATCGTGGCACTGCAGAGGGACACAATCAATGGTCAGTGGAAGTAATACCACACCTGGTTATACTGTCCAAGAATAATAACGTCCTGGGTGCAGCTGTACAACACAACCTTAGTGCTACAACTGTCACATGTCTACGATACTGTATGGGAGTCACGATTATCATAGGGGCTGATTTCACCACAGACAGCGGTACACTCAATAGCAACCTCTTCCTATAACTGGATAAAACCCCATGCTACAGATAAAACAGAGACTTGTTGAGCATCACAAGAGACACAGGTCTGGATAAGTCAACTAAAAAAGTCACAGTAATTGGAGTAGCCACCAAGGACATCAAACATATCACAAATCTCAATCACAGATACATAACAGAATTCTTTAAAAACTTTGTACAAATTTCAATTCATTTTTTCCTGCAGGAACTAACATGCAACTGTTAAAGACAAGCTCATTATTCACAAATGAAAAGAGGTCAATGTTCCATAACACTGTGTTTTGTGACCTTCCTGACAGTATAACTACACTGGTTTAATGGCCTACCTCATGACAGCTCATCTGACATAAGAAGCTGGCATATATATTCAATTACAATTGTCTGGTGTATGTATTATACTATACAGTTAAATACAGATCATCTTACTTCCCAAACCACCCTGCTGACAAAAGCAGAAGACTACAATGTAAACACTGGGACAAAATTCTTTCCAGTGCAATCAAATAAGTAAGACAAAAAAATGAGGCCATCATACAAATAGACATGACAATAATTCATATAACCATCTCCTGTTTTATGAGTATTTGCGTAATACTTCGGAGTTCTGAAGAATTTCTACAAAAGGTGCGTATGGTCATGGTTAGAGTTTCTGTTTAAAAAAGTGACAAAACCATAACTTTGTACTAACCAGCAGCTGAAACACAATATGTGTAACATCAGCCGTAGTGCGGACAACTAGCATCTTTGCTGTCCTACCACACACTGTAACTGTGTACTAACCAGCAGCTGAAACACAATATGTGTAACATCAGCCGTAGTGCGGACAACTAGCATCTTTGCTGCCATACCACACGCTGTAAGGTCTCTCTCGGCATTTCAACCATACTAACAGGAAATACTTAACTTTGACAATAAAGTGTTCAGCACTTCTCAGAGTCAATGCTAGTACCCGGTATTAGCCAACCAATTCAAGACTAGTTACTCATGTCATGGATTATCTGAACTAGGTTAACATTACTGTGGGCAGATTTTATGTTTTAAGGCATTTCCATACAAGTCGAGTTGTCTGTATGGTTGTGGAGAGAATCAGAGAACATCACAACCAGAGACTTACTTGTTTCAGACAACACAACACTTAATATTCTGACTTTTTCCATACTTTAAAAAGGAATAAATCAATGATGACTGGTAGAAAACTTACAAAAATATGTAGTGAATAAAAATATATATTTGTAAGATACTGACTGATTCAACTGGCAGTTAACTAAAATGACTAACATTTGTTTCATGAACAATTCCTCAAGCACCAAGATGAAATGTCTGTCATTGTTGTATTGTAACATTAGATAAGTTTTGTGATGAATGAAATGCCTGAATGACAGATTATGTTTTGTGTCTGTATACAGCTTGTGTGATATAATATGTGATGTTGTGTAAACATGTGTGTGACTGATTCCTAGTCCTAGTCCTATTTTGTGATGTAGTTATTGACTCAGTCATTTAGTGTTGTAGTGTGAGTCAGGCATGTTCCTTGAACTTGAAGAGTTCATACATGATTGACAGAGACAAATTCTGTGGCGTAATGTGACTGACTCAGGTCTGTTCCTTGATAGAGAAGTGTTCCTACATGAATGAGAGACATTCTGTGATGTGGAATTGTCTCAGACATATCCCGTTGTGAAGGGTGTGTCAATCTCCAGCACTTCCTTGAGTTTCTCCTGCAGATCAGAATCATCACTGTCAGGTTGGTAGGGTTTGAATCCTGGGACATTAGCTGGAGGCAGGTCTGAGGGGGAGTCGGGGCGGTTGTCAGCTGCGTTGTTGCCATGGAACTCTACAACAAACACCAGGAATCAAAGGTAAACCATGTCCGTCTTTGTTAAAAATGCAAACCTAATTCTATTTTAATACCAATGCTTTTAATTATATCATCAAATAGCCTGAATGGCTCATAACTACTCATTCATCACTTTTGAGATTAACATACAGTGCTGGTCTGGTATCCCTAACGAGACAGGGAAGTGGAGATACATTCTGCCCCAGCATCCAAACTGAGACAAGCTTGAGGTGTTCAATTCAAGGATCGGGGCGGTGGGGTAGCCTAGTGGTTAAAGCGTTGGCTCGTCACGCCGAAGACCCAGGTTCGAATCCCCACATGGGTACAATGTGTGAAGCCCATTTCTGGTGTCCCCTGCCGTGATGTTGCTGGAATATCGCTAAAAGCGGCGTAAAACCAAACTCAGTCAGTCAGTCAATTCAAGGATCACCAAAGGGAGGCGAGCAGCGTTTTGGGACCGACACTGCACTAGATTCCCCAAAGGGAGACAAGCACGTGTTGGGAATCTATACTGCACTAGATTCCCCAGACAAGCAGGGTGTGCCCGAGATCTGCTCTTCCCTGGTGTCCCCCGACAGAGATACAAGCAGGGACTCTCCATTGTGCTTGAGACACTGACCTGAGTTGGGCAGCACCTCCTCCCACTTGTACTGCTGGATGTCCACCTCCTGCTTCACCCAGGCATTCCTCTCCACATCCTTGATGGTGGCTCGACACACTGGGTCCCCGGTGCAGCATCCACGTCACCAGGAACATCAGAGCTGCAGGCAACACAGTAAACACCAGCATTAGCTTACATGGTTAACATGTGACAGTAAGAGGGTGTCTATGTCATAATCTATGTGTTCATATTAAAATCTACTGAAAATAATGCAAACCGGTATGGGCAACCACACTGAAAGGTTTAACAGACTGTAGAACACTATTTCTTTTGTTCTCGTTTCTCTGCAGAACTACCTTCAGCAAAGTCATATACCCGACAGATAAGAGTTTAGACAAAAAAGTCACTAACTGCCAGTTCTTCAGCTAGGATTTCCATCAGAACTACACACCATTATATGACGGACGGGATATTAGTGCTGGTGATGTTTTCTACCAAGGTCAGTTAAACTCTACTGTATACATAAAACATAATTATCATTAGAGTTTTCCTTTGTCAAAGTAGGCATTACTCTGAAATGCCTACTGAAGCAACACGAGGCAACATGTAGTTAGACCTGGATAGTGTGACTGATGGAGTGATGGAGATAACATGTACATGCCTCAACTAGGTACTTACATCTGGAAACACCAAATGGTGGTTTGAGTTTACACTGTATTGTCTCTTCGACATCGAAGAACGGATTCTCCCCAAACACCAGTGTGTAGAGTGTCACCCCCATAGACCACATCTCAAGCTCTGGACCTCGGTATCTGAAACAATAACAAACTGGTGAAAAGGAGAAAGAAGTTGCCTGTAGTACCACTAAATAGTCATAGATAGCATCAGCGAGAACTGCTGAATAGAGCGAGTATATGAGTGAATGTCTGTTTATGCTGCAGTTACCTTTATTCCAGCTGCTTCAGGATGGCGGGTTAAAGGATAACCAGCGTATGTTAACATCTTAATATGTTTGTAAGACATTCCATAACATACCATCAGCCACGTGAGACACTGCCGCCATTTAATCACTATAATAGTCGCCTCTGTTAATTGTGTTTGTTGTTCAATGCAGCACTCAGCAGTATTCAAGTTACATTGCATTCTTTAATAATCATTTCTGGATCAGATATTCCAGTGATTGACATCATGAGCATCAATCTACGCAACTAGGACACAATGACATGTATGCAACAAGTGAGCAGGCTTGACCAACCAAACCCTGCTCAAAGACCTATTCAAAACCCGGACCTTGACCTTGGACTCACATTTTGACTACCACTAACACTGCACATTGTGAAATACACACATTATTGCAGTAAATCGTTACAGCCTTAAAATACACACTATTGTAAATCTGGATGCCACAAGTATACACTGCACATCCTAAACAGCATGACACAAACTGTGGTGAACTCACTTGTTTCCTAGCAACACCTCAGGACTGCAGTACTCCAGGGTTCCACAAAATGTACCAAATAGTTTCTCGCCTCTCATGTAGGTGGCAGCACCAAAGTCTATCAGCTTGATACGAAACCTCTCATCAACAATGATGTTCTCATCCTTAATGTCTCTGTGTACAATATTCTTGCTGTGGAGATACGAAACACCAGCAACCATCTGCAGAGGACAAACAGTAAGGTATAAGGATGGACTAACGGTAAGGTATAAGGATGGACAAAGGGTAAGGTATAAGGATGGACAAACGGTAAGGTATAAGGATGGACAAGTATAAGGATGGACTAACGGTAAGGTATAAGGATGGACAAACGGTAAGGTATAAGGATGGACTAACGGTAAGGTATAAGGATGGACAAACAGTAAGGTATAAGGATGGACAAACGCTAAGTGAGTGAGTGAGTGAGTTTAGATTTACACGCTTTTAGCAATATTCCAGCAATATCACGGATGTGGACACCAGAACTAAACAAACGCTAAGGTATAAGGATGGACAAATGCTAAGGTATAAGGATGGAAAAACGGTAAGGTATAAGTAAGACAAATGGTGAAGCATAAAGTTAAAGTCAATCAAGTCTAACAAGATGCTTGTCCTGTCCAATTTGGGTTTAAATAACATCATTTTTTTCACTGATACATTCATGTCAGACTAAACCAATGATGGACAACAAACAGTACTATCCAGCATCAAACTCACTTGTCTAAAGATGTAGCTGGCCAGTGGCTCATCCATGGTCGGGTTGCGATCAATAAACTCAAACAGATCCATCCCACTGCCATGCTTCTCCATCACCATCTGCACAAACTCCTCATTCTGGAACACGTCTATCACCTGGAAGTCATGCAACAGATCCACAAAGTCGGTTCCATATGTTGTTCTAAACTTATTTAGGATACAGCAAGTCACACAGCAAACAAATACCTTGTAACCTAGACACTTCTTGTAACCAAGATAACTCATATCCTGTGTTAGCATCTAAGTTCTATTTAAGTTATCACTTGTTGGATAAATATTTAACACTGTGCTGCTGCACTACAGAAAATGATTATCACACGGTTGCAACAATATTTACACGTTTATAACACTAAACACTTTCTATAACTGTCTTACAGTAATTCTGTCAAGTCAAGCAGGTACTCTACATTCAAGGGGCTCATATCAAGTATGTTTATTTATTGTACATAATAAACAATCTGTTACATGTGGCTGTTAATCAGCTCGTCATACACACAAAACTGTTGTCAATGTTTAAGTCAAATACACATGTAGTACCAGTGTTTATTTACAGGCTGCACTAAATATTCCAGTTACAACAGCAAAGTGTAAATAAACCCGTCAGATCAGACAATCCAGTGATTGTAATTGTGCACAACAATCCATGTCTTGGTTTTAATGACACACAATCAACCATGAGAACTCCCTATATATCTGGTCCTGTTACTACCAGCATAGGTTGGTGTGGATCTACTCCTACCCAGAGTCCCAACAGGATGACCCATCCAGGAACACATAGAAGACTCTCACCTTGACAATGTTGGGGTGGTTCAACTTGAGCAGCAGGCTGACCTCCATCGGTATACGGCCATGAGCATCATCAAACACCCAGCAGTCCTTCAACACTTTACCCCTTCGGATGAACTTCACTACCACCTGGGACAACAAGGAGAGCAAGAGCTGTCACAAGAATACATTTATTAAATAGAAATAAAACTTTCAAGTGTGAATCGTATTTTACCAACATTACGCTGGTGTGTATTTATATAGTTGTTGGTTTGTATCAAAACTGCTCATTTACTCAGTCAGAGCAACATTCTTATTCAAATCAAGGCCAATTCACTTCCATCGTGGTCCATCTTCAAAAGGACCTCAAAGAAGTCATCCACATATTGGCTCAAAGAAGTCATCCACATATTGCTTTCCTGTTCCTTGATCCACTTTCTCTTCCATAATTTACACCTTGCTCACCACCACAATCTCATTGTTTTCCCTCACTTTTCCCTCTCTACTCTGCTTTGTCTGTCTCAACTAACTTATTGCCCATCATCTCTCCTCTCCACCAACACCCTATGTACTCCACCCTATCCACACCCCTCACACCTAACACCATCCTACCCTCCCTTGGCCTCATTAAGTTCCACCCACCCTCAACACCTGATGTCCTCAACCCCAACTCCAGCCCCACCACCCCACACACCTAATACACCATCCTACCAAACCTTGGCAAAGTCACACCAATCATTACACCCACCTCAACACCTGATGTCCTCAACCTCCAGCCACACCACCCCCCACATCTAAAACACCACCCTCCCACCTTGTGTCTCACCCAAACATACCCCACCATCTCTCCTCAACACCACACACCCTATCCCCACCTTGGTCTCACCAAGATACACCCACCATCTCTCCTCTCACACCCCAACTCCAGCCCTCTCACACCCAATACATCATCCTCAACACCTGATCTCCTTCACCATCCTCAACCCCCTCTGGTCTCACCAAGTTAAGGACCACCCACCATCTCCCTCAGCCCCAACTCCAGCCTCCCACCACCCCCACACCCAATACATCATCATCTACCCCACCTTGGTCTCACCAAGTTATACCCACCATCTCTCCCTCAACCCCAACTCCAGCCCCACCACCCCCCACACCCAATACACCATCCTACCCCACCTTGGTCTCACCAAGTTACACCCACCATCTCTCCCTCAACCCCAACTCCAGCCCCATCACCCTCACACCCAATACACCATCCTACCCCACCTTGGTCTCACCAAGTTTACCACCATCTCTCCCTCAACCCCAACTCCAGCCCCACCACACCCACACCCAATACATCATCCTACTACCCCACCTTGGTCTCACCAAGTTACACCCACCATCTCTCCCTCAACCCTCAACCCCAGCCCCCCACCACCCTCACACTTGGTCTAATACACACCATCCTACCCCCACCTTGGTCCACCTTGGTCTCACCAAGTTACACCCACCATCTCTCCCTCAACCCCAGCTCCAGCCCCACAACCCTCACACCCAATACATCATCCATCCTACCCCACCTTGGTCTCACCAAGTTACACCCACCATCTCTCCCTCAACCCCAACTCCACCCCACCGTCCACCACACCCAATCCTACCCCCACCTTGGTCTCACCAAGATTATACCCACCATCTCTCCCTCAACCCCAAGCCCAGCCCCACCACCCCTCCACCACCTACATCATCCTACCCCACCTTGGTCTCACCCAAGTTACACCCACCATCTCTCCCTCAACCCTAACTCCAGCCCCACCACACCCTCACACCCAATACACCATCCTACCCCACCTTGGTCTCACCAAGTTACAGCACCCACCATCTCTCCCTCAACCCCAACTCCAGCCCCATCACCCCCTCACACCCAATACACCATCTTACCCTACCTTGGCACCCCCATCATCCCTCAACTTCAGTCCCACCACCCTATCTTCTACCTTGGCACCTAACCACCTAATATCTTTCCACACCCCACCCACCTCTTCAAATCACAATGTCTCCTCAACCACCTGTCCTTTCATCTCTGTCCCTTCCCCAACCTTGGTGTATTGCAATATATATTGCAATATATTGTGAAAGTGTAAAATATGGTTTAAGGTAATGAAATTACTGTTTCCTTTCCTTTGAAACAATGTCACTGTCCTCTGTCAGGACTCTAATGTGATTATACAAGAGATCAATTGAAAATGTTTCCAAATTGAAGACTTCGCTCTAAAGTTTGGAACTCGAGAAAAAGCGCCTGCAGCTGCATCTGCCATCTAGGTTTGTTTATCCCTACGGTTTGTGCCAATCCTATTTTTTAGTTATTTATATGGTTAAAAAACTCGCAAATGCAATTATATGACCAATAAACATTCTCAAAACAATTAATGTATAATAATATAAAGCCGGGCTCCCAAAAAAAGGCCGTATCGGCGTATGTACAGATAAAAAAATATGCACGATACGGTAGGAAATAAGTTAGAAAACGTAGCAGATACGCACCACAGTAATGGTGTGCGGTCTTAGAATCATTTACAGACGTATTTAACTGAAAAATTATTGATTTATTGTTTATTGACTGTAGCAACTTTCAGCTCGCACTTCTCTTGACGTGACACTGACCGACTCCGTGAATGTTCTTGCAATAGCTGCATAAACAACACAAACTTGAATGTCTTGTTTTCTGTTTACTGATCCATTCCCATTGTTACACTTCTTCGCACGCATAAGACAATAACTCATAGGTGTGGACCGTCAAAACAGTCAAGTATTCCCTTGGATACAAATCTGACACGCATCGCACCCGTCCATCTTTTCTAGAGCACACATCGTCACCTCCCGTTCAAGGGAAGCAACTCCACCCTGCTACCAACGCTAGCCGCTAAATAAAATTGCGATTTCGCTGGCTACTGTTACACTGACCTTTTTACACAAGTGTAGCAATGTTGTGGTGCATATATGAAATGAAACACAAGATTACTGATACTCCATTATATTCCATTCAGTACTCTAAATGTACTCTTAAGGTTTTCCAGTACTCCTGTATTGAAAAAATAAGGAGTACGTACTCCTGATGTTGAAAAATTATCTGGAGCCCTGATAATGGAAGTATAAATGTTAATATTTTTTACTACATCATGAAAATTACCGATCATGGTCATGGAAATTGCAGATCATATCGAGTGAACCGGTTTGCGAAAAGTGTACCGCGATATTGTATTGTGAAGTTTGAACTACAATATGCCGGTAAACCGGTCTAACGGTCGACGGGGTGGCTGGAGAGGTATGTACTACTACATTGTGGGTCTCTCTCTTACAGCCACAGCAACTCAACAGTTTTAACTAGTAAATAATTTCACAAGTCATAAAAGATACCAACGATAAAATTTATTATATACAATAGCCAACTTCTAACAGTAAAGACAATATGCAATCACGCCGCCCAAAGCTTTACTCTACAAGTAATAAAGTACAGTACAATTATATATAGTTACAACAGTGGAAAGATTTTACATGCGCTTCATTGAGTAGAGTGCCTCTGGCAAGCCGGGTGTATTGTTTTCTTCTAATCGACGGAGATGCCACCATCCAACTCCCAATGATTCGTCTGTCTCCTTCAACGGTTAATCGAAGAATCCCTGATCTCCTTTATTTCTATTGTGACGTAAATCCTAGATACGAAACCTTCTAAACACCTCGTTATGTCGTCACAACATCGCGGCGCCCATGTCGAGACGTAGCTTACCTGAGAGCAGCACAAATCAACACTAAAGTCGCAAAATAAATTACGCCACTTCAGGTAGGCCGATGGAACGAGGTGAAGAGAAGGCTTGGATCTGTTTTACAAACTAATTCCAACGGTATGAGCTCTCGTAATCCTAAGATCACGGTAAACTATATGTTGCAGTGCACTGGCACGGAACAACACTATATGGACAGTAAAACTGATACCGCGGGAATTAGTATACCCAAAATATGTTGTAAATAGTAAACATATTTATATAGGGTAATTATTATCGATTCCCCTGTACATTACACCGGTATTATCGTCCACACCATTGTGATGTGACCCTACCTCCTCCTTGTCCATCTTCCTACAGCCCAGCTTGACAAAGCCAAATGCTCCCTTCCCAATACAATCCTGTGTGTCGTAAATTTCATCATACAATCCTGAGCCGAGCATGTCAACCACTTCCTTGTCCTCCTCCACTGCATCCTCCATGTCCTCCATGTCATCTAGGATGTTGGTCTTGGACTCAGAGTTTGCCTTGTCTGTCAACAACTGGTAAAATAAAGGGTTTATGTTAAAAGATTTAGATCACTATCATAAATGTGCAAGAAAGTCAATATGTGTTGCGTGATGCTACACTCAGCAATATTTCCTGTTATATATCTGGACTTAACAATTGTCAGCAATGACCCATATAACAGGGATAGTCAGTGAGTCAGTGAGTTTAGTTTTATGCCGCAATATTCCAGCAATATCATGGGACACCAGAAATGGGCTGAGGAATCGAACCCGGGTCTTCGGCGTGAAGAGCAAACGCTTTAACCACTAGGCTACCCCACCACCCTATAACAGGGATAGGATGTCATGGATCAACCAAGGCTGATCTCCAGATCCCGTTCATCACCCTTTACCACTTATCCTAATAATCCCTGAATCCCTGTGGGGTAAGAAATTTACAATTCACACTAGAAGTCAAGTTGAAAGCACAAACTATCAAATATGCCAATAGATTACAAAGTGAAGACAGTCATAACAGCACAAAAACACAAACACCAGTCAGTCCATCCACTACATTCAACTCACAAACTACATGCAATAATAGCTGGAATTCCTAAGTCAGAAAGTCCTTGGTGCAAAGATGTACCCACCTCTCCGAGACTCATATTAGATTTATCAAGAGTGCTGTTGAGACTGGAGGCGAGGGTGAGACTGGCATAAGACCTCCCTCCTTCCCCCGGCTCTTCTGGGTCTCGGGACGTCCACATACAGTACACAAACTGTCCATCATTCAGCTCCACTCGCTTCAGTTGGAATATGATACCTACACACCAACAGATACAATATTTAGACCCGGTCTACTTTGAGACACAAACATCAACAAGTGTTTGCCACTGATATAAAGAATGGAATATCTATATTTACTACTTTATTTTTTGGTCACATACAAGATGCCTGAAATGACTGGTGCCAGTATAATCACCCAATGTAGGCTGTTGACATAATTGAAAACATTGGGTGCAGTATTTTATGAGATATCGCATTTAAATAAGTTTGAAAAGTGGTCAAAGTGCCGTGGTGACCTTGAAGATAAGGTCAAGGTCACCCAAATCAACTGGTGTCTGCGTAATCCCCCAATGTAGGCTGTCACCAAATTTGGGTACAACAGTTCGGGAGATATCGCGTTAACAAGAATACCTACGCAGCATAATATCAGGTATCTACGCAGCTGAATACATAGTCAGATGCTTGATGGACATTTAGAAGTTGGGAGGTAACACAACAACGTATGGTATGGATTTACAACTTCTTTAATATTTACAACACGACGTTTCGCGGCTACTTCTTGCCTGATGAAGGGGCAAGAAGTAGCCCAGAAACGTTGTGTTGTAAATATTAAAGAAGTTGTAAATCGATACATTACGTTGTTGTGAATACATAGTCCCCCGTTCCAGTGGGGGACAAAAACACAATCAAAGTAAACACTTTATATCCCAGGGGACTAAACTTTTATTTTATCATTAGGATTAAAAACATTATCATGGTTCTCAGGCACAGCCTCACTGTCACAAAGTCTGCAGCATGTTTCTTTCTTATTTCCATTTTCCACAATAATAAAACTTTTGATAAACATGCATAGTTGTTAAGCATGAATGTATTTTTGTGCTCTTGATTCTATTTCTAAGAATTACAAGTGTATGAAAACTTGGTCTTCCTGCCTGAAGAGTTACCAAGGTGACCACAATAACTTGCTTCAAATTGGATGAAGAGATAAAGATATCAGTATTGTACTTTTCAAGCACTAATCAGTTTATGTAGGGAGGCATTTTGCAAGGTTGAAAACAGAAAAAGGCTGCCCACCCAATATTATTTTTCAAAAGTGATAATCTGAAAACCAATTCTTATTTAGTAAGCCTTATACAACAATAGGTCACACTAAAACTACAATCTGATCTGAAACATGTATGCATTGTCACCTAGCCTGTGTCCATCTTTATGTCGACACTGTCCAGTGAAACTGCCCTCAGGTATCTGGCTGGGACCCTCTGTGTATGAGGTCTGTGTGCCCGATTGCCGAGAAGATGGACGGGCATTGAAACTGTTGTTACTGTTGTTGCTGTTGTAGCTGTAACATAAGGAGATATTTCATATATCGTATTTACAGCTACCTGATATCTTGTGACCTGTTACTAAATAACAGAAAAATCTCAAGTTGATGATGTTCTTAAAGATCAGTTGATATAACATTTTCTTGGATTTCTTTCATGGAAGCCCACTCTTCCATATTCACAAAGATAATTTAATGATACAATGCTATACATACCATTGTTATCTGGCCTAATATCTGGCAGAAAATGAATGTGTCAAAGAACTTCGTTCGTATTTTGAAACATTTCTTAGAGCAAATTTTCATTTCTGAAGTGTCACATATAATTTAGTCATAATGGCACAATTTTGCAAGTGAGTTAGCATGTGTGTCATATGCCACTATTAGTCACAATAGAAGGCACAAGCATATACACTGAGGACATGCTGTGGATCAATCCTGGGTTGAACCAACATCCTAACCAAATAACCCTCTGCTCCTCTTTTGCAAGTTCATCGTCAGTTTCTCTGTCATTATGCTCACCTATTAGATGTTTTGTCCCTGACCTGACCAGACATTTGGTGAGGCTTGTCATCACAACCTTTGCCACTCAGTCTGCTAAGGGCAGACTTTGCAGAGCCACTCGAGTCCGAACTTGGGTGAGATTCTAAACCATCGCGACTGAAATAACTTGACTCTTCATCTAGGTGAGTATCACTAGTTGAATCTAGTGTCTTATTCATATACAAAGGCAGCAGATTCGTAATCTGTTCCCCAAACTGAGAATATGATCCTTCAGCAGAGCTGGAACTTGAGTCTCCATTGTTCATTTCATGCTTCCTAGATATTTGTTTCTGAAGCTCAAAGAGCAAGTCTTTTTGTTTGCGTTTTTGGCAATTGATTCCTTTCTCGGATGACATGGCCAGCACGTCTCCACTAGTGTCAATTTCATTGCTGATATCCCCATTGTATCGATCCTGACTGCTCTCTACTCGCTGTGAATCTTCAGAAATACAACTGTCATTATCCGTGAACTTATCAAAGTCGACCTGTGGGGGTGTAGCAGACAGAACTTCCTCTGTGCTCTCACTCAAACTAGACACATCTTTATCTTCTAGGTAAGAACCACTGAGGTCCTCTACTGGTTCTCCTGGAGACTTGACACTTTTAGCACTACTGATATCAAGCTTGTCCATTTCACTCAACACCTTGTCAATTTCCCCATTCTGACTGTTGTTTCGATTACTGCATCCTTCTACTGCCATTTTGGAATCCTTTGTGTCCTCTTGCCTAATTGATCAAAGTGGAAAATTTGAAGACATTAATTATCATCTCAGATATCTATCATTATGGGGCACTGAATAGGTTCAAAATATATGAAAGTGTCTAACAAGGGGATCACAAAGTGGAATAGGAAGAACAGATCATGAACAATCATTATTATTCATACCAAAAGACACTGAACATAATACAATGACACCTTCAATATAGTAACAATGATATCTCTTCGACAGTAAAAGCATGGTTTGATGCCACTATCAGCAATATTCCAGCAGGGGACACAAGAAAAGGTTTTCTCAGTTAACATCTGCTGTACATATCCTCGCCTATGTCTGTCACTTGTGTACTTTGTTGTAAGATGAATTGTGTAACTATCGGGAGAGGGCTTTTCTAAGTTGGATAACTTGTGCCCAATCCTTTTCTTGAATGAATAAAATATTTTTGAAACAAAACAAGAAAAGGGCTTCACATATTGTACCAATATGGGGAATCAAACTTAGGCCATGACAAATAAACGCTTCAATGACTGCCCTCCAACACTAAGGTTACTGTCACCCTTCATTACATACTTCTTTATTTCTACTGTGTCTGTTGTTGTCTGGAATAGGGCTGACTAAAACAGTAACCCCTGATAGTGCTGTAGCTACCTGTGTTCTGATGTCTCTGTAGGTATTCTGGGTGTGGAGGTGACACCTGGTTTGTGCACACACAGCTCCTTGAGAAGATCACACCTCTCTCCATTCACTTTCAGTGGCGTTTCTGTCAGCAGGAAACATATTACATACAAACATACATACAAACATTTGTATAGCGCCGATATCCAGTACAACTGCTCAAAGGCGCTTTGTTTTCCCTCAATCATTGGATGTCCATCACAACGGCACATCATATTTTCAATCTCAACTCCCTGGGGATCATACAACTCTTGCTGCCTACTAGGCGCACCGAGTTAATATGGCTTTCCCATCCTTACGAGGTACCCATTCACAGCTGGATAGACTGGGACATATAGTCACAGTACTTCGTCCAAGTTTACTGCATGTTGCTGTACCCGCAACTAGGTGTTTGCATGTATACATGTGGCCACCATCTGGTCATCTACCAACGGATTCGTGGGTTCTTTTAAGTACACAGGGTTGTGTACTGTAAACTAGGGGTTGTGACAACACTGAAAGAGTCTGCACACAAAGTTGACTCCAAGGTTTTTTACACCCGGTCACAGGTGGGCTCGATTCCGGCACCTCCAAGCTTGCTGGATTACTAGCCTGGCACCTTAGACAGCTCGCCCACCGCGCCCCTAAGACTAGTCAGTCTTGCTGTCCTGACATCGACATGAGACTTTTTATAGGCTAAAATTACCACTTCTTTTCCCCATTTCCCATGTTTGCACCTGTATTTCACCAGTTCAGTGGTAATTGAGATGGGATAGAGAGCACTGTGTATGTTGTGATTATGTTGCCAACCATGAAATACTAGAGAACTTACTGAAAAGTCTTGGACATTAACATGTGTCAGAAACATGTTGTCTACGGTGTATGCATGTGTACGCCATGATTATGTTGCCAGCCATGAAATACTAGAGAAGCTACTGAAAAGTCACTGCCAATAACAAGTGTTTATATACTGATAAATCTTGCAATGTAACCTACTGTATTAAAACCATTGTATTGTATCATGTGTCTTGTACAACACCAGTTGTAATTTATACATAACTGGTGATAATTCTCTGTGGTGACTTCTTAAGATTCTTGAATACTGATTGGCCTCCTTTGATATTTGAATATTGATAAAGACTGACTGACTGAGTTTAGTTTTACGCCGCTTTTAGCAATATTGCAGCAAAGAAATCAGAAATGCACAATGTTAGAACCGGGAGCTTTAACCACTAGGCTACCCTACTTCCGCACTTAATCTGTAATGTACACGACAGATTAAGTATAGTCATATTATAAAGAAATCAGAAATGCATTAGGAGTCTTGTACGGTTAAGTAAGTGTTTGGAAATAGGTAAAAAGAGATGGAGAACAATGCAACTTGTTGATCTTTCTTTTCATAAACTGACACTGGTCCTTCAAAGAATATAAAACTCACCCCAAAGAACAATTCCACACAAATCACAGCACATATCATATTATCCTGAAACTTACCAAGTTTCCCCTGCAAGATATCTGGTTTCAGATTCATTGGTATTACATCTTCCTCCTCCTCATCATCATCTAATGGTGGAAGGGGATCCCATCGTCAAGGTCAAGGATGTCGTAGAAGTCTGGGATCAGACAGGAGATGTCCTGCAACAGCATGGAAACATCCAATACTACTCAGTCATGGTGATCTGGTCACATGTGTATATTATTTATACACCTACAAGAAATTATGAATAATACACCCCAAGCGAAATGTCTTTGTAAGTTTTGAGCCCTGGTAATTATCAACAGGCTTTCCTTGGCCCAAACGGACACATCAGCTCAGTTGGCCTATTCTGGAACAAATCTTCTGTAATAAGTTATGATAAATTGCTCATAGAATGTCATGTTGCAAAGGGTCACTTTAAAAAATATTGAACACAATGGAACAATCAGAACTAACAAGCCAATCAGCATCAGTAAAAAATATAATGCCCAGCAAGATTTACTGAAACTAATTGCACTTATATTTATGCCATTATGGGTACTACATTTGGGCCAAACAACCACTAAAAGGTAAGTAGTACACATGCTGGAGAAAGGACGTGACTCAGTAATGAGAGTAAGAGATGACATGACAGTTTCAGTTTCTTCACTCATCTTCTACAACCTACCTTGCCCACAAGCTCCTCCTGGCTGTACCCAAACAGCATGCGGGCGAAGTTGTCATTGACACTGTGTATGGTGCCGTCAGGCAGGAAGGTGATCATCCCACTGATATTGGCAAACACCCATACCACACCCGTGAACACAACTTCATCTCCTGCAATTCAGAACCAAGTAGTGATTCATTGCTTCCTTGCACTTCCACTCTATAATGCCTCTTTTGAAACTGCATGAACAGAACTAATACCTTTACTGATCAGGCATAACTTGTGTTATTACTGACCAATCTAATATTGTTCATTTAAACCTTGCTCATAAGGGACCCTTCACAATTTACGGTGGTGGTAGTGGTGTGTGTGTTGGGGGTGGGGGTGTTTTTGAGGGTGATGATTTTTATGGAGAAGCATGTAGTATTGTACAATGTGAATGACACCCCCCCTAAAATTTATGTACAAAATAAGTGACCCCCCAGCATGTCATGTACAAAATCAGTGACCCTCCTCCCCTTCCCATAATTTCTAAGTATAATTTTAAACATATTTTTACAAACAAAATTGCTGACACCTCACCCCCCTAATATCGTGTGTATAAACTTGCTGACCCCCTAGCTCCCCAGAGCAAATTGGGAGACCCCTTAAAATCATCATCACCCCCTCACCCCCACCCCAGCCATAAATTATGAACGGTCCCTAACCTAGCTTTTCAAGACAATGTTCAGCATGATCGGATTGGATGCAGCCAGATTTTTACTTGTTCGATTAGTGTCAACATCTATCAACTAGGGGTAACTGTAGATTATACAAAGGTATGAAGCTCTCTTTCAGTCATCATCAATCTAACACCCAGCATCAGGCCTCGTTTCACTAAGACATTATTGTGTAACACATGTTATATTTGTGATTACACTTTCTCAGTAAAGTACAGGTTCTAGTACTTTTGCTGGGTTGAGTCCAATCCATGATTCGAACCCACATCCTCAGAGTGAGGCACCTAATCGCCAGCGCACAAGTGTAATCCCAAATGTAACATGAATAGTATAGTAATGGGGAAAAAAGGTAGCATAGGTGCACCCTGCTTAGAAGCTTCCATACTAGCTAATTCCGCTCCCACAGCCACCAAAAAATGAGTGTTTTGCACAAAACTTCGATAAGACCACTTTTCGTCTCCCGACGCAAGTGCACTCCAATCATAAGAATCTCATTTTCGCTAGGCAACCCTTTTTTTTCAGCAACCACAAACCCCATACCAAGACAGGTATGCAAAACACTGGCACCAATGATGGCTACAGAGGAATTGCCAGGCTGTTTGCGGTCTAAGACGCAGGAATAGTCTCGGGTGTAGTCGATGCTGTAGATCCCTAGTCCGGTGCCTTGTAGTTTTGTTTTTAGATTGGACAATTTCTCTTGGAGTCAGTCGATCGCGATTTCGCAGACGTCCACTTTGGCCACAGAGACTGCATTAGGGGTTTCGTTGCCGTTTTGGGCTTTCCATGCTCGTAGCGATTTCTGCTGGGTTTCGCTTTCGATCTTTTGGATCGTGCTGGCAAAAGCTCCTGCACTCGTCTTTTGCACGAAGTGTTGCATACATTTTGGTTGCTTCGATATACTCTTTGTAGGTGGTGCGTAGTATCCAGTGGAGTAGTCCGACAATTTTTTTCGCGTGGCCGTGCTCTCCCGTCGTACACTGGACACTTCCCTAGTGCTGCACGATGTCTTTGCGAGATAGATAGCCAAACACGTAGAGGTCGTCGACAAAGGCTGGAAGACTAGAGAGTGGTTGCAGGTGGGTTTCCCCGAAATTTCCAGCGAGATAATCTACCGTCGAGATATCAGACACGAGGTTGTCGTGCGTGTTTTCCAGTAGGAGGTGGTGTGCGATCGATTTGCTGCATCAAATGCCCATTTCTTGGAAAGTTGCTGCGATTTGTTTTGCCATAGTCGAAGTGTATCCTGTATACTGTAGCAACTCCATATGTCTAATTGGAAGTTTGAGCAACCTTGGTGCCAGTGTTTTGCATACCTGTCTTGGTATGGGGTTGTGGTTGCTGAAAAAAAGGGTTGCCCTAGCGAAAATAAGATACTTATAATTGGAGTGCACTCATTTTTTGGTGGTTGTGGGAACGGAAATTAGCTAGTATGGAAGCTTCTAAGCAGGGTGCACCCATGCTACCTTTTTTCCCCCATTACTACACTACTACATGTCTTACATTTGACTGACTGACTGACTGACTGAGTTTGGTTTTACGCCGCTTTTAGCAATATTCCAGCAATATCACGGCGGGGGACACCAGAAATGGGCTTCACACATTGTACCCATGTGGGGATTCGAACCCTGGTTTTCGGCATGACGAGACAACGCTTTAACCACTGGACTCCCCCACCGCCCCCTTACATTTGACAACTTTCTAAATGGCATTGTGTATTCATGACAATGTAGTGGTATAATACAGGCATCCCTTGCCATAACGCGGGTCTTGGGGTCCATGGATGACCCCCCGCGTTATTAGACACCCGCGTTATAAGTAACGATTACATAACGCGGAACAAAGGCCAAGTAAAATCGTATTTTCCATGGACATAACAAAACTGCTATTTCGTGTATTGTGCCCAGTCAAAACTATATCGTATTGTTGGAGGTGAAAAAAACAACAACTTTGTAAATAAAAAATAGATGTATGTACATGAAACTTGCAATCAAACACCACAAGACATGATAATTCAATTGTTGTTCCTGTCATGCTACCTGTTACTCAACTAAGCCGGAAATAGCAATCAGCTGGGCACACATCGACGTTTTGGTCCAATGTACCGGTGATTCATTTAAAAACGATCCGAAAATAAAACATCCAAGAATTTCTATTCCATTATCAGAATAATTGATATGTCAAGCAGTTATTCTAACAGAGATCTTATATATTGCTATCATTATATAAGTATAATGCATGTTTTCTCACGAACATATTTAACATAATAATAAGCATTGCTAAGCACTTTGGGTTACCTGGCTGGATACATTTTATGTAGGAGACAGTTTGACAAGTCACCGCTGACTTCCCGCTGGTACGTGCCACTTTGATTGTAAAAACAAAATGTTGGCAATTAATTGTCAAATATGACTTCAACGAGTCAATAACGCGGGTCTTGGGGTCAATGGATGACAAGGCTGTAATCTGTTCGTGATTGCTGAGAAAAATGTGAAATTGGTGCTATCGCGGTAGGCGCGAAAAACGGACCCTCACGAATGTGGTAAGCGGGTGTTGTATGGAATGAGGTAATGCCATTTCACTCACGGTTTCTCCGTTGTTATTGTAAACAGTTTTAATGAATGAAAATGGGATTGAATTTAATCAAATAAAATGTGTTTTCTGACATCATACATTCTCGGATGGCGGTGTATACCAGCGCTAATTCGCAGTGTGTTGCATCATAGCAAAGCGTTGTAAGTACTTTCGGCTGATAATCGACATGTCTTTATGATAAAGTTATTACGATGTTTCGCTGTTCATCAATTATTATTGAAAAAGACCCTGCATGTTTTAAGCATCTGAAAAAACATGGATATATACGATAAACACTGTTAATTGCAATCCGCACTGAATTTCACTAGTTTACTACGTGATTAACCAGAGCTCAACAGCGGATTTGTTGATGTGCTATTTTCGATCACGTGAATATGTGTGATCACTGGGCAACTTTTTTTTATGGGAGCCACGGATTACCCCGCAGTTTAACCGAATCCGCGGTATCGCGAAGAGCGTTATTGCGAGGGATGACTGTAGTTGCATGTCAAGGTTAAATTAGTGGAGTGGAATATTGAAGCAACACTGTCTTTCTGGTTTAATTCTTGAGACATGAACACCACCATGCTTCAAAATCATTTACATGTCTGCACAGAAGTCACATTTGAAATAAGGCCATACAAATTTGTTTTGTGGCATGCTTGCAAATACAGTATATATTTCTATCCAGCCACATTTCGCTAAGCCAAATTGATTCCCTCTTAGAGTGAGATATACTGAATGCAATCTTCCCTACTTTCATCTGGGGGGATGTTCCTCCTGTCTCGATCCTCATCCGTAGGTTTGACCACAATACTAAGGGGAAACATGGACCCATCGCGTGTCCTCCCTGTGGCTCGCTGCTTCCGAGTGTCCTAACCAGATGAGGTGAAACAAAGGTTACAAAACATGCTCTTAATGTTATACAGAGGGAATAACAATGACACAAACACAAATATACACATACATATCTTCACACTAATATTTGTACAGCGCCAATATCCAGCTCAGCTGCTCAAAGGCGCTTTGTTTTTCCCTCAATCATTAGATGTCAATCTCAACGACACATCATATTTTCAATCTCAACTCCCTGGGGATCATACAACTAATGCCACCATTAGGCACACCAAGTCAATGTGGCTTTCCCATCCTTACAAGGTACCCTTTTACAGCTGGATATTCATGTGGCCACAATCTGGTCATTTACCAACGGATCTGTCAGTTCTTTTAAGTGCACGGCGTTGTCAACTGTACACTAGGGTTTGTGATACCACTGAAAGAGTCTGCACACAAAGTTTGACTCCAAGGTTTTCTACTACTAAATAATAAAAAGTAGGATCATCATATGTGGATATGTGGTCAATAGGTCACTGTCAGCATTGATATACAAGACAATGGTAATCAATTTCGAATTTAAAATACTGCAAAAAATCTCAGAATATTTATGTGGAACCAGACTAGTAACTTCGCATGTACAGTTTCATTTTCCACTTTGAAATAAGTAGTAATAAAGGCCATAAACGGATTTTTCAAGTAGGTTGCTGAGGAAGACATGTTGACAATTCAAACCTATTTGGTGTCCCTACTGGTAAGTCACATTGAATTTGTGGCTTCTGTAGAGCTTTAAACTGTGAAATGATGAGAATGGAGGATGAATATATGGTATACCTTATCTAGTGACAATCTGGAGACAGGACATTTGAAGGCTGGTATCAGATCCTTCATATGAAGCCCACTAACTTCCTCCGGGTTTGGGAAGCCATACAGCGAAGCCAAGGTCTGGTCACAGCCCAAAATGCAGCCCTGTAAATATATCACTGAATGTATTATTTGATCATATTGTGTATGAAGACTGCTTCCCTGTAGTAGCAGGAACATTCCAGCAGGTCACTTATTGGCAATCCCAAGCATGTCAACAATATACTCACCAGTTTTCACCATTTACCATTTCCAGGTTTGCCAAATAAAAATTCATCATCTCAAAATTGCAACAAAAAATGACTGTGTAGCAACAAGTTCAGGAGATAAGAGTTCAGGAAGATGTTATTTTTTCTATTTACAACGCACTGCTGCACTGGCTTTTGAAAATGAAAGCACGAAGGAGTCATGCATGGCCCATTGCAGTTCCTTTTGAACGCCTGATAGTGCTCGCAGGCAATATATGGAACAATGAATGACAAGTGAAGTTGAGATGTGCAAAACAGCCTGCAGCCTGCAGAGTAAGGTACAACAAATATGGGCTCAGTTTCCTGAGAATACATGCACAGGAAGTGAACACTTGACAAATACCTGTCAATCAAGTCAGTTGGAATGAACATGTAGCAGATCAACACAGTCCCTATACAATGGAACTAACAGATTACCACTGGCTTGCATCCTCACCTTTGTATCAAACTTGACCGTGGCAACAGTTCTCTCAACAGGCTCCATGACACACAGGCATCTTGGGTCCTTCAGGACCTCCAGCTTTTTCACCCACATTGACACAGGGAGGATAAGTCCATTACTGTCCACTACATCCACCTGAACAACCAAACAGACACATAGTAGCAGTCCTTCTGTGTCACCTTGCAAGACATCTGCATGTAAAGGAGCTTTTTCTGCAACTATCATTACATTCACGTAATAACACTAGAGCTCCATCTGTGCTTTATCCAGGTGGATTCTTTGGTTACAAGTAGACTATCCACAATAACCATGTCCACTATTAACAGTGAGACTATCATCACATTCACGTAATAACACTAGAGCTCCATCTGTGCTTTATCCAGGTGGATTCTTTGGTTACAAGTAGACTATCCACAATAACCATGTCCACTATTAACAGTGAGACTATCATCACATTCACGTAATAACACTAGAGCTCCATCTGTGCTTTATCCAGGTGGATTCTTTGGTTACAAGTAGACTATCCACAATAACCATGTCCACTATTAACGGTGAGACTATCATGTGCTAATAAAGCTATACATTCACTTTAGTGGCTTCATCCATTGAAGGAAAATAAACACAGGCTATTATTAGCCTAATTCGGTATGTCATTTTGATTTTAACTTCTTTGAGAGGCATTCAGAAGTTGGAGCAGTAAGGAAGGGTAACAACATATGGATGAACAACTTCTTTTAACAGTGAGGGTGACATTTTGGTGCAGGTTCTAACACCGTTAACAAGCAAGTGATTGGCGAGTCTCACCATGAGTTTGACAGTCTTGGAACCTACACCGAAACATCACAATATATTGTTACCCTTCCATTTTGAATTGACTGTGAAACGTACTTTGATTTGATAAAGCCATTTAGTGGATTAAGAAACTGGGGTTCAACATACAATCAGCAGCATTATAGTAGTATTCCTGAATGATAAGTAACATGGACCAAAGTTTGGTATGGCAGGCAATACTTCTCAACATGATACCACTAGCTACACATAATCTACACAGAGAAGTGAATGAGTGATTGTGTTGATTTCACTGCAACTTACCACTTTGCCTGAGATGTCAATGAGTTCTCCATTCAACTCGAGGTGAGACTCCACCATGGTCTGCTGGTCACGGGGCTTCAGGTGGATGAGATCTCGGAGCCTCCTCCCAAGAAGCTCATCCTGCTCGTAACTAAACAACTCACATGCCATTTCATTCGCCACTAGGATCTGTAATAACAAGATAAAATTGAACAATAAATTTACATAAAAAAGAGGTGAGGTGAGGTGAAATTGGGTTTAATGTCGTGCTTGAGAATATTTCGCTCATATGACAACGTGCATGCGTGTGTATGTGTTGGTGCTTGTACTAGCCCAGGCTTAAGCTGGTTTAAGAGTGCTAACCCACTGAGATACCATGCCACAGTGAAGCATGAATACCCCACTCAGACACATTATACTGACTCCGAGCTGACCCATCCTTGTTGTACCCATTAATGCCAAGCGCCAGGCAGGGACCAACAAGTACCATATTTTAACGTCTTTTGGTATGATGCGGCCGGGGAGTGAACCCGTGACCTTCCGCTCTCGAAGTGAAGTGGGTGAGGCGAGGGCGATTGTGTTTGGAGCGAGTGGCGAGTGAGTGCGTGTGCGTGTGTGTATGTGTGTGTGTGTGTGTGTGTGTGTACCAAGCCATGCATGATGGGATCTAACCATGAGCTTCAGCTTCACCAACTGAATGCATGAATGTTTACCCAAACAATTCAGTTTGAATTTTGAATTAAGATAATCAATACTTCCAACTTTGATCCATATAAATGTGTACTTGTAAATGTATCCTTGACTGTATCATTAAAAGAAACCACTAAAAACCAAAACAACACACCATTTTTCCTACATGTCCTTATTGTGAAATGTCGCATAATGAAAAACATGATCCTCTTTCACATCCATATTATGATATATACACAGCACACTTGAATAAATCTGCATAATGTCTTGTTCAATATTCATCTCTCACATCCATCTCAGTTGAGTCTCAGTTCAACCTACCTCGGACGTATTGCCATCTATGGTACAGATGGCCTTGTTTGGGTTCCTCACAGTGGTAGGGAAGGCCATGCCAGACTGACCACCCCCGATGTAGTTGTAGAATGACCAGCTCTGGTTTAGTGACATGCCACTTGAGTAAGGGTCAGGGGTTGCCGCAAATGACCCCTTGCAGAGTCCCGGAGAAAAGCTGACATCATTCAAACCATCACCTTCAACACAGAGATAATGTATGTGAAAATGCATGGCTTTCTAATCATACATTAAGGCCAAGTAGCACTAACATGTAAAAACTACATGAATCCAAAACAGAAACAAATGACCCTCCATTACATTGGTCCCTTAACCCTGTAAAATGTAAAAAACCATCAGTTCCATTGTTTTGCCAGTACACACTGCATCAAGTATTATTACCATGATTTCTAGCACTGAAATTATTGAAAGTGATGCCAAAATACAGGTTTGAGCAAATCTAAATAACTGAAAATTAAACAAAGGTATTCAAATCTATCTGGAGCCAGAGATGAAAATATAATGTTTTCATCAATTAAGGCATGTGATAGAGGTGGAATTTTTTGTTGGACTCTCTTGTACTGAGTTCAGATTAGTTAATCAACCATATGCCAACACCTACTTCATGCCAGAAAGAAATGTCAGCACTGTAATATCAGGCACATAACTCACTTGGAAAATAGTGGCAGGCAAAACAAGGTGAAGTCTAAGTTGTGGTTTTCCTACTTTGAATCTATGTTGATAAAACTCACTTTGCCAACAACTGAACACATATGTAACACCCACGAACACCCCTCATACAAAATTTCAATATGTTTTATACAAGAAGTCCCATTAATAACCCTAAATGAGTTTCCAAGCATGGCAGCCATGGTCATGTCTAAATATCACTTAAAATCCAGTGTGGAATTTTCAGAGACACCTTAGCTAGGCTCACTGCTGTAGGGGGTCAGCATCAGAGACCTTGTAGTATCAGGGAAGATGCCAAAAAAATGCAATATAACTGGAAGTAGTGGGACAGTACGTCAGAGGTCAGGTTTGATACAGCAGAATACTCAACATATGTCCTGAAACCTTGTCATGTTATTCTGTAATGACACCAACTTGCTGGATATATCATGAAATACCTGAATATTGCCAAAAATGTCATTGTCAATTTAGTGGCCGTGTTTACAATTAGATCAGAAATCTGTCAGCAATTTTCAGTAACACCACAGCAGGGATCATTCATACAAAGTTTCAGGTCCACAGGTTTTGTAACTTTAACAAAGATGTCAATAACCAACACAGAGATGTTCTTACGCAAACACAAAAGACAATGCGATGCAACACACACAAAATACTTCCACACACAGAAGTCCAAGTGGAAATAGGCTACTCACATTGAAAGTTGTTAAGGTTGACTGGTGTGGCAGGTATATCAGGCTGTAGTTTTGACTTAGTGACCTTGGGGAAGGACTGATTGGCTTCGAAGGACTCTTCTCTGCTGGCAGCTATCCCCATCTGTAAGGCCCGGTCCCTGCGCCCCGTGCGCACCCGATCCAGTGGGGAGGGGTACGAGGGGCTTCCAAACACCATCTTCTCCATGAACATGGGTTTGCCCGAGATGTTTAGGTGTTTGTTATTCAGCTGAGATTTCTGCAAAGAAGTGAGGAAAGTTAGTGAATTAGTGAATATTTATAATGCAAATGTCAGCAATATTCAACTTTTAGTCATAGCAGCTTATAACTTATTGAATCTGGACAAAACTAAGCAGAAACAATCTATGCCATGTGGGCTTCAAGACACAACCAGCTGAGTCACTGAGCAATGATGAGACCCTGTTCCAAAAGTGAGTGAGTTTAGTGTTATGCCGCACTCAGCAATATTTCAGATATATGGTGGTCTGTAAATAATCGAGTCTGGACCAGACAATCCAGTGATCAACAGCATGAGCATAGATCTACACATGGATGCGATGACATGTGTCAACCAAGTCAGCGAGCCTGACCACCTGGCCTCTTTAGTCACATGTGTTACTGTAGATCAATTCTAACCCGATCTTCAAGGGACCCCTGTTCCAAAAAAGCAACTTTAGATTTTCATATGTTCATGTTAATGTATGATAGTTAGACAGTGAAAAGAACGGGGCCTTGGAATAAGGGGTGCAAATTTATGGAAATTTACTTCTGTTATATGAAGGACATGACATTTTTTAGTATGTTCTTAGTCCTTCACTCAAAATACTTTGAAAGGTATCCCTCATATTACAGGGGGCGGTGGGGTAGCCTAGTGGTTAAAGCGTTGGCTCGTCACGCCGAAGACCCGGGTTCGATTCCCCACATGGGCACAATGTGTTAAGCCCATTTCTGGTGTCCCCCGCCGTGATGTTGCTGGAATATTGCTAAAAGCGGCGTAAAACCAAACTCAGTCAGTCAGTCATATTACAGAAGTTGAAATCCATAACATTTCACCCTTTATGTGTATGATAACAATATATTCAATTTTGATGGAAATACACAGTTTGTTTTAAACTGAACAAGCAGTTGTCACTAAGGTGGCATTATCCCAAGCCTCAAATTATCAGATCAAACTTAAAAAGTAGTAAAAGTGAAGGTCGGTAGTTTAAGATGAAGTTAAATGTGACCAGTCAACATGACCAGTCAATGTCTCTTGATATCTTGCTCTGTAGAATAGAAGAATAGAAGAACAGAAGAACAGAAGAACAGAAGAATAGAATAATACTTTAATGCCTTTTCAGGAATTTGTGTTACATCAGCAGAGCTACTGACACATTAGAGAGATACCAAACATATTTACATAAATTCTTCGATTTAGGTATCTTCACATTTGTTTAAGAGAGATATGGTACTTGGAATAAAGGATGTACAGGCTCTCTTAGTTTTCACAATTGGAACTTCGTAGCGGCGGCCTGAAGGGAGGAGGTTGTATTCCGAATTTAAGTAGTGAGTACCGTCAGATATGATTTTGACAGCTTGATTCACGATTTGCTGCTCATATATGATAAACATTCAAATCTGACTCCAGCGATTTTACTTGCAGTGTTAACAATTTTGTCTATTTTAGATTTGAGATGAACTGAGAGAGACCCGTACCAACAATTGAAGGAAAATGTTAAAATACTCTGAATAAATGCTACATAAAAAGATGACATCACAGATGGGTTAACATTAATAGATCTCTGAGTTTACGCATGAGATGAAGACGTTGTTGACACTTTTGTATAGGGCTTCAGTGTTAGAGTTCCAGTTCAGCTTAGAGTCAATGAAGGTTCCCAGATACTTATACTCCGACACTGTCTCAACACATTCACCGTTGATTATCACTGGAAGCATTTCTGTGGGTTTACTCGAAAGTCAATTATCAGTTCCTTTGTTTTTGTGACATTTAAGAGTAAGTGGTTTTCTGCACACCAAGTCGTAAAATGATTAATGTCCTCTTTATACAGTTCTTCAGAATCAGTGTCGTTCAGTTTGCCGACAATTGCTGCATCATCAGCGAACTTTACAGTTGAACAGTTTGAATTCGAGCTTGCACAATCATTAGTGTAGAGGGTGAAATGAACAGGAGATATTACACAGCCTTGTGGTGCACCAGTGTTGGTGGTCCGTTTACTCGATACAGCCCCGTTAACTTTCACGTACTGCTGTCTGTCCGCAAGAAAGTTTTCGATCCACTTGATGAGGTATGAGTTAACGCCCATGTCTAACAGTTTCTGTATCATGACATGTGGCTGGATAGTGTTGAACGCAGATGAAAGTCAACGAAGAGGATCCTGATGTATGACTTAGGTGTCTCTAGATGTTTCTAGACATTATTAAGGAGTGACAGTGTGGCATCAACAACTCCTCTCCTTGACCTGTAGGCGAACTGAAGTGGGTCCAGTATGTCGGCAACTTCCTGTCTGAGATGTCTCAACAAGATGCGTTCTAGCGACTTCATTGCTACAGATGTGAGAGCAACTGGCCTGTAGTCGTTGAGTTCTTTAGGCTTGTTGCAGATTGTTTTGCTGAAACTGTCTCTCAACTTTCTCTTTGTACGCTAGTTTACACTACGAGCTTTAAGATTGATGTCCTCCTGTATGCATTTGAGTTTTATTCTATCTTTCTTCATGTATGCTCGTTTCTTTTCGTTTAATAAAGATTTCATTTCTTTTGTGATCCAGGGCTTGTTGTTTGGGAAAATTCTGATTTCTTTTTCTGGTATTATGTTGTTGACACGAAAATTTATATAATCCGTAATGACGTCACACATTCCTTCTAATGTTTGTTCTGCATCATAGAACATGTCCCAATCTGTACACGCAAAACTTCCTTGTAGGGTTTCAATAGATTCTCTGTTCCATGATTTGACAGTCTTAACAATAGCCTTCTCTGTTTTTAACTTTTGACGATATATGGGCAGCAAATACACAGAATTGTGGTCCGAAGCTCCTAGGGGTGGTTTACTATATGATTTGTAGGCGTTCTTGATGTTACCATAACACAAGTCAAGGATCTTGTCTTTCCGTGTACAACATGTTACATACAGATTGTAGGTGGGGAGCACAGACTTTAGCTGTTCAAACACACAAATATTTTCAAGACTCACTTTGACCTAGACATGAATGTCATCGTGTATGAAATTTGCCAAAAACAGTAATAAAGAAATTGCTATCAAAAAACATTCAAGAGAAATCTTGAAAGTCTATGAAGAAAATTCAGTGGCAATCTTAACATGCTGAAATCTTCAAAGTGTTGCCATGTCGACTGGGCCCTGCACATTCCCTAGATAAAGCTTGGTGTCAAATATGAAGAAAATCCAGTGAATGGTCCTTAAGGTATCCCGCTGACAAGCTTAACATGCAGGTTAACATGCTGGAATCTTCAAAGTGTCACTGTGACCTTGAAAATTACATGAAGGTCACCAAAATCAACTGGGCCCTGTGACTTCCCTATATGAAGTTTCGTTAAAATATGCATAAAATCCAGCGAACGGTTCTTGAGATATCCCGCTGACAAGGGTAAAATGTTGTCCCCTTCGGACGTTGAAATGAAGGTCAAGGTCACCAAACATGACTGGGACCTTTCGCATACTGTGATGAACCTAGGTACCAAGTAAGAAAGAATCTAGTCAACGGTTCTTAAGATATTCCAATTCGTACGTATGGACGAACGGAAACTAATGTTATATCACCTCATTTCTTGCTAAACGTGCGGCAGGGGATAAAAAGAGCCATATTAAAGAGGGTGATCCTGAACCTGAGGAAATCTAGACTTGCTGCATTTAGGGCTTTAGCACTGCAGAGAGGGCAAGGCCGTAGGGGAAATAATGAGGTGGAGGGACTGTGAGACAGAGTACCTTTGTGTGTATGACTTCTAAATGCCATTCATGGACCCTGGAATGTCCACAGGTCAGTGCATACTGTACTCTCGGCAATAACTGGGTCTTAAATACTCTTATGAAGCAAACTCAACCATCACCTCACTAATTGGAACCCGGCTATCAAGGACAAAACAGATGTAAAATTATTAAATGTGTCATACACACGTCATAAGCAACACAAATTTTTAACAACTTTCAAAATTAATTTACAAATGTATATATTGGGAAGTAAAACAAAACAGTCCAAAGGGAACCACCAAACACGCAACACTTCTTATGAAACAAAAGTACAGACTCATATACAATCATGTTCTGTTTCTAAACAAGGGGCCAGTTTAAGACAGTCTGAACCCTCCAGACAAAGTTTCCATGCTATATTTGAACACCCAATTATCATCATACTGTTTTGATGATTCACATGACATCTGATACTGGCATCCCAAAAAACATTCAAATAGAATGCCTATCAAAGGTAACAAAGTACCACTCTCTAAACAAAATAAAAAACCATCATTTGATAAAGTGATAATCTATTAACGAAAATAGGAATGTGAAGTTGCCTATTCCCAGGGAAGCATTTAGCTCATTAAGTTATTTCATGGTTGCCAAAGAAAAGGGTTTGTATCAGATCTCTACAATAATATTCCAAACTGGCACCATAAACAGCCTTATGCAGAGAAAATATCAAGCCCATAAATATTGAACGGAAGTTTGAAAGATTAAAATTCTGTAGCACAAAACCTGTGATCAATATCTAAAGATTTATAGTCATTAAAGAAGTCTTTACATGAGGCAGCTTAACAGGAAAATAAATGTTATAAATCACACGTGCCAATGAAGGTTTGGAATCAAAACTAGCTAGTTGATCTTGTGAACTTCATAAATACAACAATGTATGTACAGTTCTTTGACACTTGTAACAGATACACACAATAAAACATATAATCTGGCACTACCATCAATTAGAATTAAACAACCAGTTGATAACCAGCATATGACAAAAAAAGTAATGGTATAAAAATGTCAGATCTTACCGGTAATCACAAAAAATGACAAAAACATACCAGAAAAAGAATCACCCTTTCCCTACCTGAAGAAACCTAAACAAAATTCAAGACGATGTATGATGAGACAATCCTCCCTGCTGTATGCCCCAGGTGAGACTCACAAGTGACCATCCACTGGAGACATTCTGTTGCTGGGTTCACCCCTGCTATCTGCCATTGACATACCATAGACGACGTACCCATCCATCCATTACACTACACCATCACTGACAACTGTGTTATTGATGTGATGTTTACACTTGACTCAGACATACTGTCCCTAGCAACTCATTCATAATTCACAGTAGGATCTTGAGGTGTTTACATGGTAACCAGCAAAGAGCCAATCAATTCAATCAGTTATTCTACTCCTGGGTTTTTGTCTCAAGAAGTATGACAGAAAACTCGGTTAAGAAATTACAAAGCTGTGTCAGTGTTGAGGGGCTGACACTGATGTAATTTTCACAGCTAGTTTTGCTGCAGCGAGGCTCCTAGCACGAGGATTACCACACCGATCTGCTGATGAATCAATACATGTGTCAGCACTGACATGTCAGCCACTGACAGGAGGGGTACAAGATGGCTGGCAGCAACACACTGCCCGGGCCCGTGTTAATGTCATGCCAGGTATTGATTACTTTTAGTTTTAAGGAAATTTTAGTTTCTTCATTTTTTTCAATCATTTAAATCAGCATTTGTTCTTTGGTTTACCGATAATACTGATTCCCACCCAAACAGAATGTATTTTATATCTTTTAAGAATGTGAATTTATGCATGCAGCACAAATTTATGTTGCATAAACTAGGTGCAAGATATTGGATCATCAAAGTTTAATTGAACAGACCAGCTGTGCAGCCATGGCAACAAAATCTAAAGCTTTTCAAGAACAAAACAAAGAACTAAAATCTTTTAAGTGGATTTTTCAAAAGTAAATTTACAATCAATGGGGCTTAATATCACATTAATCAATACTGACCTTCAATTCCAAGTATTATACATGTTGTATGTAACAGACCAAAATCACATATTGTCAATTACTATTTACCATAACAAACTTACAGCTAATTAAAATATCTCAAAAAACACATTGTAACTTTTTACAGAAATATTTTGTGGCTTGTGTATACAGAATTTGTTTTTCCGATTTACAATTAACATGTTTAAAGATTTTGAAAACAGTTTTTATCTTCCAGCATTTTATAAGGTCAGTCCAACAAGAAGACAAAGTCATCAATATCCCCCGCAATGGCAAAATACTCAAAATACTCATTTATGTCTGCGAGTTATGATTATGTCAAATATTTAGGTGTGTATATAGAAAAGTGGAAGGAGAGTATTGAAAGGTTTTTAAAGTTCTGCTCCAGAAAGGAGCACTATCACCAATTTCAGGCTAAGTCTAACTTGTTGGCATGGAAATGCCAAAAATATTTTATTCAGAATTCCCAAACTACCAAAAGGCACCAGTACACCACCGGACCAATCTATGTGCCAAGTTTGGTGAAGAAACATTGAACGGTTTTAGAGTTCTGCTCCGGAAAAGAGCACAACCACAATTTCAGGCTAAGTCAAACTTGTTGCCATGGAAAGGTCACAAATATTTTATTCAGAATTCCCAAACTACCAAAAGGCACCAGTACACCACCGGACCAATCTATGTGCCAAGTTTGGTGAAGAAACATTGAACGGTTTTAGAGTTCTGCTCCGGAAAAGAGCACAACCACAATTTCAGGCTAAGTCAAACTTGTTGCCATGGAAAGGTCACAAATATTTTATTCAGAATTCCCAAACTACCAAAAGGCACCAGTACACCACCGGACCAATCTATGTGCCAAGTTTGGTGAAGAAACATTGAACGGTTTTAGAGTTCAGCTCCGGAAAAGAGCACAACCACAATTTCAGGCTAAGTCGAACTTGTTGCCATGGAAACGCCAAAAATATTTTACTTGGGCTCACTGTGCAAATTAACCACATCAATTCACAATATTTATGCACACTGGGCACAATATGCATCTGACAAAACCCTGCTGCCAAGTAAGCTGTTGCAGAGAAGCTCTTTGACAATACAATACACTGATTTACAATTCATATAAATGATATATACATTACATGAATATAATGTCCAAGTAATACACTGAATAACTGAAGCAGAAAATAGTGTCAAGGCACTGTAGCTCACCAGGACATGATGTCAATAGTTTAATATATCAACTAAATGATGCATAACATGAACCATACATGCCAAAGTTCAGCTTGGTCAGTCTAGCAGTGCAAGAGATGCAAACCTGCATTTTGAGAGAAGTTTAAGATCATTACCATGCACTCTGTAGCTTTTTCAATATGGCTGCCATGGTGGACATACTGAATATCAGATCCAAATCTCCTGGATAAATTCAGTATTTATTGTTGATGAGAATAAATATGCGAAATTTTAGCTTAGTGGATTTCTAAGTTTCTGAGAAGGTGTGTACACTAAGTAGAAATGCGTTTTGAGAAAATCTATGGGCATGTTTCATAGTACAAAAGTCAAATAAAGGTAAAAAATTCAAAGTAATGAAGAAGAAAACAGAACCTCTATGTTGAGCCCAATTGACCAAATGTGCCAAATTTCATGACACTTTGAACTAAGATGACAGAAAAATGGCCCAAACTATATATTTCAACAGGGATTTACAGGACGCTAATTCCTGAGTCCCATACGCATACAAATTGACAATGGACCCAACAAACTTTATTAGCGTGTCCACAGGGGCTCAGAAAAAGTCCAAATACTTTTTGTAAAAATTCCAATCAAGTGAAAATAAGTTATGACTGAGTTTGCTACTAGCTGGGTTATGGTATTATTTGCAATTCAATTACTGTAACAATGTGAAAATCATGATACACAATACAATAACAGTATTAAAAATAATATTTAAGTGTCTGGGACCCCTGAAAATTAAGAGTATGAGTCCCAAGGACCCTCAAATACAGGTCTCTATGTATATCCCTATTCAATATGGCTGTACAAATCGAAACTGTTGTACAAATTGGGGTGCCATCATGGTCTGACATGATAGTGGGAAGAAATATGTGAAAATTTCAGTTTCATTGACTCAATGATTTCTGAAGAAAACATATTTAAAAAAATGTTCTCATGTGGTGAATGGAGTTTTAATGTCGATTTCAAGATTACTGAAATAATATAGTGAGATGCATACATGTATGTGTGTGTAGGTACTTGGACTAGTCTGGACGAAGGACTAATCCAGGAACAATAATATTTTTTTCACTTCAACACTTCTTAAGACTGCATTGAGTGGAAATAAACGTCTGGTTGTCTGGTCTTTTAACATGTTTAAAGTGAACATTCCTGACCATTTCACTCCAATATGTCAAGCTCCTTGCAAATTCCGTGCAATCCGAACAACAACTGTCCAGTTGTGTTTCTTTGGCCATTTTAACACCAAAATTTAAATTATTTCATATCATTCTGTGGGTTGTGACAAACGGAACATATCATTGGTTCCGACTGCTAATCCCATGGTTGTCTCCTGCCCAAGCTGGGTATGAAAATTTCTTGCAGCAACGATCACTAAGAATTTTTCAAAAGAAACACAAGTATACAAGTAACACATGACCGACAGTTAACCTACCTGATGTAAGGATGGGGATGATTTGAGAAGTCTGTCCCCAAACATATCTGGTGAAATTGGGCGTGGGTCATCAGGCAGACTGCACCTGACACCTCCGCCTCTGGAGGACTTTGGTGTGGACATTGCCACCCTGAAATAACACAACAGGCATAATACAGCATTGAATTGTAATAAATATGTAAAGCTTTCATCATTTTACTTTGAAAAATATAATGAATAAACAGTGGAAGCTATCTAAACCGGTACTCGTCGGGACAGAAAAAATACTCCGGTTTAGACACCATGCTGGATTGCAGAGCTGACACGGTTACCTGTGACTACCTTTGAGCTCATATTCACTTTTATTCACTACATTTTGGGTTGTTTCTTCTCAACTGACGATTCAAGAGCGATTTTCTCACCGACACTTTCTAAGTTCTCAATGTGGGACAGCAAACACATCTCGCTGGACAAAGCGAAGTGCTTCATTTCTGTGTGCATTTTGAGAAAATCTCTCATTGTCAAGCAAGTTCTTTTTGTGATGGCTGAGGAATAGACTCAAAGTCTTTTATCAATTTCAATTTCTGATCTAAAGTAAGTTCCAAACATGCCCGTTTGGCTAGCTTTGCCATGTTGACACGATGAGTGGCTGTTGGTGTTCGAAAGCCGCCCCTTATTTAGACATTAGAAAGCAAAACCATAAGTACTGAGAAATTTTCCTATTTGTTGGTTCCAACTGTTTGCAGGGTTCAGAAGGCTGCAACTGAGGTTATAGCCCGGGAAAGCCACATTTAAGAAAAACAGAGTTGAAAATGGTGCGGCTCAACCGGCAAAGGGCATGGTTCAGGCAATCGTGTGACTGTGGCTCTCCCGGAAATGCTAATCCATGTTACCGTAAATAATCATAAATATGAAAAATTCATTATATAAAATCTAGAAATCTAGTTGAATTGTTCAAGGAGAAAAATCAAGAAGCAAACTAGCTGCCTCACGTAGGTACTCAAACTCTTTTTACGAATTATTTATGATTATACAATCAAATATTTCTTTGAAGCATTTTAACTAATATGGGAGGATCAAATCAATGCTTTATCCCTTTCTGATAACTGTTTGAGATAAAAGCTATGGTTGCCTCAGTTATTATCTTTACATTCATGCTAAAAACTCAACAACAACAACAAACTTAGAAGAATGACCATTTACTCCACAAATATACTTATAAACAGCCACATATGTGACACTTAACTCTTTCCATTTCATAGCTGTTTTTAAGCAACATTTATGTCTAGATTTTCCAAAATCAGTATTTTTGCCACCGTTGTGGAAATGACAATTGGTTTAAAGTTGAAACGTAACAATAAATTTTATGGAAAATTCTTGTCCAAACTTCTCTGCAATATACCAATCATACAAATCAAAGAAGTTTACATGAAGACATAAAAAAATAAAAATAAAAAAAGCGGTGGCTGAGCGGTCTAGGCGTCTGACTTTGTCTGCTAGCGATTAGGTGCCTGACTCTGAGGGTGTGGGTTCGAATCTCGGATGGGACTCAACCCAAAAAGGTACTAGAATCTGTACTTTACTGAGAATGTGTAATCCCAAATATAACATGTTACAGTACTCTGGTTACATTACAGAATGGATATCACCATGATGGGGAGGCAAAAATCATCATGGATCGTGGAATAGAACCCACAATCATAGGTTTTTAGAAGTCTAAGGGACACAACTCTGCACACCAACCTGTAGCACCGTTTAATCCGCAGCTTGCAACATAAGCTTGATCATGTTGAATGAATGTCAAATTATTGAGTGTGTTGAGGTCATTGTAGTTTAATCTAATCACTACTTCAAAATTTAAACAAAAATACAAAGGTTTCAGATAACGGTATACATTGTAGGCTGGACCATGTAACTTGTGATTAGACACTCAGATCATTTGTCAACCTACTGGGACTTGTTTCCCAAGCTACATCAGAGATAAGACTGGGGGGATCAAGATAATATTACCACATAACTGATACCTGCACGCATGAAGAATAAGAATGGAAACTGGACAAGTGACACATACCATATTTTTGTCAGTGTCACAAGGTCAACATAGATTAAGATGACAAAATGTCAAAATGTAAGTTGAACATATCTTAAAGGAGAATACTAACGCCAAAGTTGTATTTTCCATGGGGTAAAAGCATTCTAAAGGTAATCTTCCATGATTAAATTTGACCAAAATGTTTGTAAAATCTCAATAAACACATAAAACCTATTCCACCTATTACAGGAACGTCTGACAGTTAATGAGCAGAAGCGGGTATCGACATGATGTCATATGTGCCTATTGCAGAAGGCTTCCTTTTTTGATTTTACCTGATAACAGTGGACATGGATCATGTGAATTCTGGAGCAGTATAACATGTTCCCGACATTTTTGACATGGATGTTAGACTATGAATACGAGCGATTTTACAACTTGCAAGAGAAACATTAATTTAATTTGATGAAGAATCAAGCAAAATGGAGGCACCACTTGATGTCAAAACATTTTTTAAAATAGACGACATAATATATCACCAATTTTATTAATAAGCAAAATGTGATACAGTTCCAACCAGCACACCCATCCCTATGATAAATTACCAATCCCTAAGAAAATATGTGAAATGTGATTGATTGTCCAACAAACCAATTGATTGTCCCAGAAAATATTTTTTTTTAAATAATTATGCTTTAGAAGGTGGAAAACGGAAATTGTGTACTACAAAAATTACACTGCTACAAGGAAATATTTTGTTGAAAAATATTAGGATCCTAGTTCTCATTAACACATTATCTTATCTCCCCATACAAGATCCCAGTCTGGTCAAGCAGAGATAATATAAGCGGCACAGAAAATTTATGTCTCACAACTGGTGAATAATAAAATACTAATCAGGACAACGTATATTTCCCTAGTTTTAGCTGATGGAAATAGTTGTGGTCATAACCTTCGAATGACATCAGGTCAGCCAATGAGAATACAGAACTACTTTTGCAGCACACAATACTGACAAATAGTGAGTCTGATGCCGATGCACATACTTTGACAAAATGAAAAACAATGATGAAACACTTACTTTATCATTTGCCGTTGTATTTGTTGATAAATGTTTAGAGGTTGACTTGACTTCATTTAATCAATTTAAAAAAAATACCACTGACAGTAAGCTGCAACATGTAATGATGTAGTATAAATTGAATAATAAGAAATAAACATGATGTATTTTTGTACAAAATCAACAGTCTGCTTATGTATATCTGCTTGCAGAATAAGCATAATGTCCAAAGCAGAGACAGCAGAATCTGTTTTCGCGATTAAAATATAAATGATAATACTTTTGCATTAAAAATTGGGATACATATTTCTGATGACTTTATCTTTAACAGGCAGTTATTGCAATTTTCCAGTATTCTCCTTTAAGCATGTTAAGATATCAATGAAAAACATATCAGAAGTCATACGAGACATGACATGGGAGGATATTTCTTAAAATATAATAATATCATTGATAAGTGAGTGAGTGACTTTAGTTTTAAGCTGCAGTCAGCAATATTCCAGCTATATGGTGGCGGTCTGTAAATAATCAAACCTGGATCAGACAATCCAGTGATCACCAGCATGAGCATCGATCTACGCAAGTTCGCAACTGGGACACGATGACATGTATCATACCAGGAATCATGATGTTAATGTTTTGGAAGAATATGAAATAATAATTATCTTGGGTAACATGAAATACAAACAAAAGCAATGATGTAACAATAGTGGATACAAATTCCAATAAATTAAACATTGACGTCTTCCATCATGTCATAAATTTCAGTCCCAACATTGGAACTTGTATATATTATATTTATTTTACATTTGTTACATGTTACTGACACATACTTAACCCTAGTCTGTCATAGAGACCCTGAAGCAAATATATCCCCGTGTCAGGGGTTTTCCAAGATGTAATTCCGTCAGTGATAAAGGATATATTCATTTATTTCACACAGAAATATCAAGAGTTTCCTATAAAAGTAGCTTTGATGACATCGTATTGGCGAAACTGTTGTCGCTCTCCACATACAGGGATTTTGTATGGGTTTTCGACAGTAAGCCATATTTTTCGCTCCGCACTACGAGAGAGTGTTGGGATCACGTGGCTTTCCTTTTATGTACTGCCTGTCACTAACAATCGACTGATCTAACTGATTTTTTTGTTTTTTAGGCAATTGATTTTGCATCAGAAGTGGTATTAACGATCTCGGGTAAATAACATCGATGTTTGTTTGCTTTTAACTTAACTTCCGGATTTCCATTGTCAATAAAACTTCTCACAACAGCGACTGGGCATCCGCCCTACCGATGAAACTGCTTGTGCACTTCGATCATGCACGTACTCCTCCAATATAGCGTGAGCAATGAAATCGTCAAAATCACCAGAACGTAAAACTCAGCTCGCTTTGGGATATCCAAGAAAGCCCATGCAAGTCAGAAAATGTGGTAAGTCTAGATTTTAACAGCTTCAGATGGGGTGTGTGTGTGTGTGTGTGTGTATGTGTATGTGTGTTGTGTTGGGGGCAATAAATATTCTTGTCACACAAAATTTCAGCAGTAATGGGTGATAAGAACCTTTGTACATGTTGTGAAATTCCAAGAAATTATCCCTCTGTAGATTTGTTTAGTCTCTGAAAATGAAGGAAGTTTCAGGGCTCCTTTTCATTTTATGTTATTTTTTTTAATATGAACTTTTTTTCTGTAAAATATGTTCATTTCAGAGTTGTTAGTCTAACTTAACCCACACTAATAAAAGATACATTAACATCAACAGAAGAGGAAGACCTCATCGGCGACTGTGAGACAGAATGGGTAAAGATAAACCCCTGCAGAAATATACAACTATACATTGGAAACCACTACATGCCATATAGAAACTTGAAAGACATCCAAGAACTGGAGAAATCCCTTGTGAAACTAAACGACACAGCAAACTCTAAACAGACCATCTTAGCAGGGGACTTCAACTGTCCTAACATCAACTGGAACAGCCTACCAGTTCACCCCAGTGTGCCATACAGAAAGGTTCAACAGGCCCTGATTGACGTCTCCTGGACTACGCCTTACCCAAG